CCAGATGGTGATCACGTGGACCATCGGGTGATCTTCGGCTGATACCCATGGGCTGCAGCGGAACGCTGCATCCACATCCAGCCAGCTATGGCAGCTGCGGCAGGCATGGCTGCGGCTGCCAGGAGCTTTAGCATAACAGGAAGACTAGGACACCTAACTTAATTCCTTTACCAACCACCTCGACAAAAGCCATTTGGACCACCATGGGGGAGGTATGGGTAGATAGAAGGACGCTCATTTGGGGGATGGCCACAATGTCCAAAACCTGCCCATACGCTCCAATACCTATTCGGACTATACTGATGGCCGGAAATAGCAGGTCCACCAACACAGCAAGCATCAATTTCTTCAAGATAATAATTTATCTGTCCGCAAGGAATCCCTACGTCTATGTTAAGCTCCTATTAAAACTTGAAAATTAGATATGTTAAATATATAGAAAGGAATTGTTATTATAGTACATACACTGCAAAGATAAGTGCCTGTTGTCACTTCGCAAGTGGTACGGCGGCATTCCCTCCTTGGAGTCCCGCAAGTCCCACCAATGAGCCGCAGATGTGCTCTAGCACTCTAACCAGAGATAGAGTCATTAGTAGATCTAATAAGAGGAGGATATACGAGAGTAATAAATGTAGGCTAACCCGAATCTCAGCATGTGTGCCAGTGGCCATAACCGAACAGGTAACGGGATTGTCACTCTGCCGCTTTGTAAGTATATCGAAGCTAGCATTTGCCCTGACTTCGGAAGGGACATCAGCCGGTTCGAAATTTGGGTTTACAGCGATAATTGCATTATATATATCCTAATAATATTAGAATAAAATCTTAATAGCTATTACTATATAGAATTACATACCGATGCAGTCCCATAGAGGACAATAGGCTCCTCGCCTGCAAAAATCGACCCAGTCCATTTCATACTGACGCCATCATCTTGTGTCATAGTCACTAGAGTATCGAGAGCTGCTGCTTGGGGACTCTGAGGTGAGACTGAGGGTGGAAAAGCGAGTATTCTAGCCCTAGCCTAGATATAACTAGTTAGAAATATAGTTAAGTAGGGAAATCTTAAAAGGATCTTCAACATACCAGTCTAGCTAGGAAAACGAGGGCAACTTGGGCAAGCATTGCTGATGTCTTGATACTTAGTAGGTAGAGTAAAAGCTGAACTAGTTAGATTTATATGGAATAGAGAGCTGAACTAACCCTTTTAAATAATATTCCATCGAGGTATATACTTGTTAGAATCACCATTACTACTAAGGTATAGTAACACGGCGTAGTATTAATTATACGTCCTAGCGCTAACGAAAAGTCGTATCCAATTCTTAGCACCAACGAAGAGTTGTATCCAATTCTTAGCACCAACGAAGAGTTGTATCCAATTCTTAGCACCAACGAAGAGTTGTATCCAATTCTTAGCACCAACGAAGAGTCGTATCTAATTCTTAGCACCAACGAAGAGTTGTATCTAATTCTTAGCACCAACGAAGAGTCGTATCCAATTCCTAGCACCAACGGAGGGTCGTATCCAATTCTTAGCACTAACAAAGAGCCGATATACTTTCCAATCACGGCGTGGATATGGAGAGTACTTGGTGTGGGTTCGCATAATCGTGAGTGTAGACTTAGCTTACAGAGCCTTCTCTTTCTTTTCGGCTCTACCTCTGATGCCTCTTCTTTAATATTATATTCCTACCCTCTAGCTTATCTGATAGATCGTTGACTCGTTTCTAAACCCTCTCTAGCCCTTCGCCGGAGCTGAGCTCTAGTTGAGGTCTCGGCCTTAACCCAGCTCTCTTAGTTCCCAGTGGCTCGGGTAATCCTCGCAGTGATGACTGCACTCGGCGTAGGCGCGCAGTGCGGCCTGGGCTGACCGAGGCGGCGCTGCCTGGGCCTCCCGGACTATCCCATTACATATAGACAGACCAACTCATCCGGGACCGGACTATATTAGTGCAATATACGATGTAGGAATCCACGATAGCATCGAAATTAGAGATAGAGGTATAAACGAAAAGTTTAGGTAGGTTCGTATAGACCCCGGGATCAGAATTGTGATATCTCTAGGACTTTTATTAGCTAAGCATCTTGACCATATCTACTCTAAGGTACTATATGTGAGTCCTTAGCTGAAAAATGTACCCACTTTTAGACCCTAGTCGTAGACGGCTTAAGCTTCCACGCTAACAAGTCTGATCTCATAAGCTGTATATTATCTTCACTAGATATAGCTATTAATCAAGTATCCTAGGCCATAGGGACCTTAAGCTTTCTAGAAGGTATTAATAGATAAAGAGTAATAGAATAGGAATAGTACTAGATATGAATTTGATAAGTTGTAGTTTTAAAAAGGCTATATATATATATAGGAGATATATTATAATTTATTATATTATATATTTAATAATACTATGTATAGGTACTAGTAGGAGTATCTTAGGGCCTATTGTTACGACTAAAGGTTATGCCAACTGGCTTGCTGACAACCGAGCTGTCAGGAAGCCGTTGGAGAGATAGTGGTATCTCTGGAGTGATCGTGGGATCACTCGGTCGCTGCGAGGGTTACTAATCCTTAAGGGTCGCTAGGTATCACTTTCTTATAAGATATAATAGTCACGATGGAAGCTATGGTATCTGATGTAAGGTAGTAAAAGGGTTGGTTTCTTCTCTCTAGCTAGTAAGGGATTCCTTCCTTTTTATATCTAGTCTACCCTTATCTACTGCTTGTAATCGCTTACCCTTAGTTTCTGCTTGTGATCACTATCTTAAGGATAGCTCATGAGGAAGGGTAGCTCTTACTTACTTATCAGTGTTCACTGACTAGGCTAGGATTACGAGCTGGTGCTAAGGTTGTGGTTCCTGGCGGGTCGGAATCGTAAGCTTATGGGGTCTATCGTCCCTTTGCGCTGCCAGTCAGGTGGCGACCTCCGTTGGCCTAACACCTATAACTATTATATAATAAATAGTATATTTACTAGACTACTAGGGAAATCCTAGGAACTCTACTAAGATACTTGATTAGGCTATATTAGCAAATATAGTGATACCTATACCTATAAGCGTAAAGGCTCCTAAAACCTAATTCTAAGTGGAAATAGCTCTATTATTAGTTAGTGCTAGTATATTAGCAGTAGATATAGAACTACCCCTAGTCTCTATAGGCCTAGCCCCTAACTAAGTTTTAGTTATAGGATAGTTGAAAAGATAGTACTTAGTATAAGGCTTAGTAATCTTAATCTATTTATACTATACTATATAAGGCCTTACCTATATAACTAGGTATCTAGTAGCTAAGATAGATATAGTCTTACTATTAGCTATCTAGTATAAGATAGCTAATAAGAGATAAGTTAAGTAACTAGAAAGAATATTAGGGGTAATAGTAGTAATAAAACTATACTATTATATTAGGTCTATAATTAAGTATAAGAAATAGTCTTAGTCTATTATAGTTATTTTATATAGCTTAAGTCTAACTAACTAGCTATATAGATTAACATTTTCTAGGATATTTCTAGTTAGAGTAGGGATACTAAGGAAATACTATATAATATCTTCTATTATATATTACTAGGGGTCTTCTAATACTATTTAAATTAGTGTAGGTATGGTTGTTAGTACTTAGCGTTCTTTAAGATTAGTGGTAGTAGGTAGGAAGTAAGGTATAAACCTAGTAACTACGCTAGTAGCTATTAAATAGAAAGTAGCTCTACTAAGGATTATTTTAAGCTATATTATCTTTATATATTTTGACGATTGAGGGTTAAGGGGTAATAACTTAAAACGGTCTTAAGGAAAAGTAAGGAAAGGAAAAGGAGATAAAGAAAAGGATAGAAAGGAGAGATAGTAGAATTATAAAGGGGCTAAAAAAGAGGGAAGAAAATAAGAAAATAAGATATATTTTATCGATTCCTATAATTATTAGCTTTAGTAAGTAAGAGAAATTAGGTGAGAGAGAGAATAAGGCCTTAAATCTCTTCTATTCTCTAAAATTAACGACTATCAGTACTAGCTTTTTAAGATTAGATATAGTAGATACCTATTAGCTATATGCGGCCCTTCTTCCTATAACTGCTATTTATAAGCGACTTTACATATATAACCTTAGTTATCAGTTCTAACTTATAGTAGTAATTCCTATATTATAGAGAATCAAATAAATGAAGTTAAGAAAGAGTTAAAATATAATAGAATTAAATATATTATCTAAAAATGATAGACTAAAAGGGAGTTTATTAAGTAGGGTGATAAGATTTGCACTGGATTTTATGTGCCCTTCCCCTGTTATCTGATAGCATAAATTACGGTTATAAGAGGGGCGCCAAACCAGGTTTAGTGTTGTAATGCCCAGACTGTAACCAAAGACGGGAACTGTTCCGCCTAACCAACAGCCCAACCAACAGCCTAACCAACAGCCCAACCAACAGCCTAACCAACAGCCCAACCAACAGCCTAACCAACAGCCCAACCAACAGCCCAACCAACAGCAAATCGACATAAAAGGATCTACCTCAGGAGCGTCCCCCACCTAAGGCGTCCGTGCAACCCGCGATTCACCCCACAATCATTAGGAACGATCCGTGGATAGGTGAAAAGGGCAAGGTGACAAATTAACAGCTAATAACTAAAGGTCGAAAGCGATGTCGCTCCTTCATAGATTTATCTCTTTTTCTTTCTTACTACTTATCTAAAAGATTCGATTACTGAGCGTTAAACTAGAATCAACATGTTAGACCTCCAAGACGTCACCTATTCCCGAGAGGCCACAATTGCCGCCATTACCGACTACTACAAATTCCTAACGCAGATGTACCTACATGATTCGCAAGTTGTGTATGCCCCCAAACTGGGTGGCCATCGATTATCGAAGCGGCAAGGAATCCCACCTTTATGCGGGAATTCGGTAAATCAGACGAGGTTATAGATCTACTAGCCCACCTTCCCTATGTGATCAGTGCTGGAATAGAGGATGGAATTTACGCTGGTCCTGTTTGTGCGCCTTACACCCCTTTCGTCAACTGGGCACAGCGTCTCATACCTTGGGGACCGTCCCTGGATAGTGAAGCCTTGCGCATGGTGACGGAGGGCCCTGAATTCGCCAAGTTCAGGGTTCCACATGCCTTTGGACTTACGAGCGGCTCCCGCGAAACCCCGTAATGGTTCTCGACCTGAAGCTCGGAATTGTCCATTGGGAGGACTGCCCCGACAGCATCGCCTCTGGACAGCATCGAGAACGTGTCGACTATGGGGATGGGCCTGTGGGTGAGGATGAAGACGAGGACGGTGAGGAAAATGGCATCGAGGATGAGGACGCGGACACGGACGAGGACGAGGACGCGGACACGGACGCGAATGGGGCTGGGAAAGAGCGTGAGGACGGGGACAAGGACAATGTGTCGCCGGAGGAGATAGGGTGGCGTCAAAGCGCGGATACGTGGACCATCCCCGATTTCTTTGAAGTTCTAAAGAATGAGTTTCGGACACTCAATTGGATACCTTTCGATCCATGTAACGTGTGGGACGCCAGGTGGAGTGAGTACCCGGATCAAATAGGGTCAACATCCGCAGTGCAAGATGTTTATCGCCAACACGGGTGGCCCGACTTGTCTGTCTACCGTAAAAGACAATGTATGCAGGCGGTACGGAACCTGTTGGCGGAGAAATATCCTGATAGGATCAATGCAGTATAGTCGGGGGTCTTAAATACGCCGCGTTGGTTACCCTTTCAAAACATGTTATAAGAGAGAGTGATATTGCCAGGTCACATTGACAGTAAGGGTATGTGTAAGGAATCAAAAGCCGTAGAGATTTATCATATAATTGCCAACTGAAATTACTCATGTCACTCTATATGTGAATTTAAAGTTACTGTAGTTGCTAGGAGGGAGCGTGTATAGACTACCCGGGTAAGGGCGGTTAGGTCCCGAGCAATGGAACGTGACTAAGATGAACCCTGTCGCTCTCTTAGGGTGTGACCCTCGAGGGAGTAGACAAGGAATCAAGAAAGGCTGTTCGCGTGATTGGTCAACTATAACTAACAGACCTAGGGGAGCCACTAATGGGTAAAATCTACGTGGAATTCTCGCGGGTCGGCCTAGGGTTTACATAAAGTTAGTATAGTGAAGGGTATGCAAACTAACTAGTGCCTCGTAAATAGTCAATTCAAAAGATGTCTAGCCCTCATCGCTGATAGACTTATAAGCTACGCGGGTCCGGAGCATTTCATATAGTGTAATCTTATAGCTAAAAAGGTTAACATATATAGGCAATAATCCCACCAGGAGATTCCCGGGGTTTTCGACTTTTATCCGCTTCATATAGGCATTTCTATCTAAGCTCGTCTCATCAGTTCACTCCCGTGTCCCAGCTGATACTCTACTACAACGGCCTAGCATGAAGCCTGCTTATGTCCCTCTCTTCCTGCTGTTTTCCGCACACGTGGGGCAATCGACATTGAAGGCGCCAGGGTTGTCGAATCACTCTCAAGCGATGACCCTTCACTAATCGCTGACGTCCTCGCCTATATTCCTGATCAACATGACTGCCCCTTACCGTGCCATACGGATTACTCTAACCTACATCGATGGACTCTCTATTACTCTGTGGAACGGTTGCAGCGCTGTAAAATGCCCATGCTTCTGCATTTCTCCGCTCTTCGTCCTTCAGATGACCCACAAACAGATATCTTGATCCAGGCTTGCACCCTCGGCACTCCTCGAGATGAATGCCACTGATAGAACTGTGCTTAAAGCTACCGCCATGTCAATAGATAATCCTAAGCACAGCACCGAGCTTTACCAAGCCAGTCTGGATATCGAACCTGCCTGTGCTATAGATGGTAAAGCAATCAGCCACGGGCTCTCTTTCGCCACGGGTGGTGGCGAAGGGTTAGTGCCGGCTCAGGAAATCACGTCCTTGTTAGACGGCATCAGGGACTTTTTCGACACGAAGGATAACTGCGATGAGACTTTTCTGTTCGCATATAATAAGAATATCGCGGCTAGTCTTCATATTGGAGCTGGTTTAGGTAAATCAACTGTGTCATCGGCTGTTCAGGCCGTTGCGGGCCGGCTCCAGACAGGCGGAGCGATTGCCAATCAAACCATAGCACAATTTTGCCGAATCGAAATGAGTCCCGGGACCACCTTCGGCATCTTTATCGACACTACGAGGGATATTTTGAAAGCATAGAAAGTCGCAGCAGCCTAGAGCCAAGGAAGTTGTGTCCCCGAGACTGACATCCCACCACCGTTCAACGAGGAGGTTTTTGAAATTGATGTCTTTGACGTTGCTGCCACCCCGTTAGAAGTAGAAGGTATAAATCAAACCGCTATATCGAACACAACTATTCCAATTACAGTACACGATCACCATAGACGTTCCAATATACTGTGGCGGAGATCCGGCGTACATAGCAAGCGAGCGACTTGCGCTTACATCCCAGTTATGCCAGCGGATGGCTGCGCTTCCTTGCGGCTAAATGCGGTATCTGAGGAGCTGATTTCCTCAGGTACAACGCAAAGGCAGATCTCTGCTCCACTCTTAAGGAAGGCGATTACGTCTGTTGTTCCGCAGGTGATCCCTTCACAGATCCTAAGCCTGAGCCCCTAAACAGAACCCTGACGGGTCTTGCGCCGTCCATCTTATCACCGCAACTGATACATGTGAGAAGTTAGGTAAAGCTTTTGGCCTAACAGAAGACGAGATTGAGTCCTTCAATAAGGGAAAGACTTGGGGCTGGACTGAATGTAGGGGTATGCTTGCTACATATAATATGTGCCTTAGCACCGGGACACCGCCATTACCTCCACCACAGCAGGGTTTACAATGTGGACCTCAGGTTCCGAGGACAGTGTGGACTGATCTCTCAGTGCCTATGGCGGAGCTAAACCCATGTCCCCTAAAGGCGTGTTGTAGCAACTGGGGATACTGTGGCCCCTTTCCTACACACTGCGACATCCATGCTCCATCAGGAGGAGGGCCGGGCACCAAGGTACCCGAATTTGCGAGTACCTGCATTTCTAACTGTGGTAACGAGATCAAACAGAACTCTGGTCCACCCGCGGTGTTCTCCCGTATCGGTTACTACGAATCATGGAATATGGAGCGCGAATGTCTCTGGCTCAGCGCAAAGAACGCAAATACTGATGGAACGTACACGTATATCCACTGGCCATTTGCTAAGATTGATCCAGCGACCTGGTCTGTGGTGATCAAGGATCCGCATGGTCAATGGTCCGCTTTCAAGGCTTTGCCTAATGTGAAGAAGAACGTCTCCTTCGGTGGCTAGGCTTACTCGACAGAGCCTGCAACCTACAATATTATTCGCCAGGCGATCATTACAAATCGTGACACTTTTGCAACAAATGCAGCAAAATTTATAAACGATGAAGGGCTTGACGGCATCGACATAGACTAGGAATACCCAGGGGTAAGCCTCTTAATTCCCTTAGCCTCCAAGAGCTTAGCCCGCGGCCCGAAGCTTTCATAGAGTGGCTAATATATACTCCCTTGTGGAAACATAGGCGCCTGACATCTACGTCGATGGTCAGCCCATCGGCCAGGCAGGTGATGGCGTCGCGTATCTTAGATTCTTAACCGTTTTAAAAGCAAACTCCCTCACATTCGGTATCAATCGCCGCCCCAGCTTCGTATTGGTATTTGAGGGCCTTCCCTATTGACAGGATTGCTGCGGTGATTGATTACATTGTCTATATGTAAATTGAGCTCGTTCTATCAATTAAGACGCATCCCTGCATTTGGTGATTTGATTCTGATACCCTTTCGACTATCTAGGACCTACGACCTCCATGGGCAGTGGGACTACGGTAATCCCAATGCATTCGATTCTTGCGCGTCGGGTAAATGTATCAGGAGTCACGGTGAGTCGCAACGTTAACCCTCAAATCTATACCGTTAACCTTTAAATCTATACTATGTTCGTCGTTACTAACTCAGCCTCTTCATATCATATTTCAAGTAAACTTAACTGAAACCCGAAACACTCTCTCTATCGGTATGTAATAATATACCCTAATCATCTCGCGATATATATCACAGCTCGCGTTCTTTAAGGAGATGCCATCTCCTTATGCTAACACTATTGCCGGGCGTTCTCCGTATAGTTACTAAAGCCGGAGTGCTTAATAAGATTTTTGTCGGGGAGGCTAGCTATGGCAGGTCATTTCGCATGGCTATCAATGATTGCTGGGGGCCAATGTGTGAATTCACTGGCACGAGAACCGAGTCGGACGCGAATCCGGGAAGGTGTATGAAAACGGGTGGTTATATCTCAAACGCAGAAATCAAACGAGATCATTCGCGCAGGAATAGGCCAGCTACTCTACGATCATGAGTCTAATATAGATGTCCTACTATATAAAGGTCTGATATTTATTTACCCTACCTATTAACCATTTCCGTAAGCGATCGACTAATTTAATAGCGTCTAGGGACTATGTAAGGTATATGACGCTATTAACGAAGGGTACACGCCGAGTCGATTGGAAGGCCCTCAATTTTGCCGGCACTATCGACTAGGCTGTCGATCTACAGGCCTTCGGTGCTGATGATATAGACATTCCAGCAGACCCCCTCCGGCTGGGGCTGAGGGTTGTATTTCGGGGGATAGTAGTGATTTCAACTCTGATAGTCTATGCCAGTTCTCATATAGCTACGGCTTCTGTCCAGAAAATACTTGCACCTGCATACAAACTGGTCCCGTTCGACAGCTTCCACGGGCAGTGTCGACTATGGATTTCGTTTTCTGGAACTCATTCGACGTTGATTATCAGCGCCTTTGCAAATTCGCTTGTAAGTATGGGTTTTGTCCGCAAGACACTTGTGGAACCCCTATTGTGGATGAGTGGGATGATGGGTCCGTCGATGACAATCGGCCGACCGGCGGGCTATGGGACAAAGAAAAGAACTACGACGAGAACAGAAAGCAGTGTTTCATCTATCAGACGGGGAAAAAGCGAGACGAAAGTGCTAGTATGTGCTATGAGGCATGTCGCGAGACTATCGAGGCCGCCCAAGCGGAGGGTCGAACTACAAACTATGGGTGCACCGGATTTTGGCCGTTAGACGAACCAATACCGTGGACGACATACCCTGGAAAACATAGCCTCGATGATATATATGCCGTTGGACGCTACACATGCGATAACAACGCTATAAACCTTTTCGCCGATCTAGTTATCGATGCCCTGCCTATTATTGCCCAGGTACGTTCTTTTTCCTCTTTATACTTTTTACAATCGACGTCGTTTTTCCCGGAAATAAGCCTCCCTACGAGCCTTAAATCTGACGTTAGAGTTATTTAGATTGGGTGCTACGTGCTCATGTCGGCATTTAAACTCGTACTAGATATAAGACTACAGGCTATACCTGGGGTCGGTAAGACTCTAGATGCCGGTCTAGGTAAATATTCCCATGCTCCCGTGTATCTTGTAGGCCTTCGTTCAAGTCCATCATTCACTTCTGGCGCTTTACTCGGCTCCCGGGCTAACATCTTTGACATAGATGCAGCGACTACGGCGGCTCAACTGATCTCATATGCGTACCCTCCGGAACAAGACCCCGTCGGAGCTTTCGAGTGGTGGCTCAGTCCCTGTGGCGGAAGCGACTTCGTTCCAGACGAAATTAAACACGTTTTTGATATTCTAAGCTCTGTAGCAAATGGTGTCTCGAGCTTCCAGATACCCAAGAATATCAGGAAAGGTAGCGGTAAAAAGGGCGACGCTGCTAACCCAACGGATCGCTCAAAGCCTAAGGCTGGTACTGGCTCTGGGCCAAACGGCACTGGGGGCAGTGGTGTGACAAAGAAGCGGAAGTGTAGGATTCCTGCCGGAAAATCGACTTATATACTAGGTCAGTCGAAAAACACCCTTCGAGAACAAGAATGTGTCGCGGTTCCGGGTGTACTTGGTGTCAGTACGACTTCCAAGCATCACTATGTGATTACAGGTGTGGAATTTGGTCCAAAACCGACTACCGTAACCATGGAATGCGAGGAGCGCTTTTCCCAGGCTTGTTACCATTACAGCTCTGCCATTGAACACAATCCGGCGTGGGAGGCTATAAAGTGTCCCCACGGAAAAGTTAAATGTCCGTGGGAGAACCGTCCCGGTCCTCGAGCCTGGGAAGCGCAACATGATAAAACCTGGAGGACGTCAAACGGTAGACCTTATCAGGGACAATGCGAGATCGACGAATTTCCACCACGCTATCTGCTAAGCGACCAAAGTCCGGAGATGATCAAGGCTGGTAAGTCAGGTGGGCAGCTGATGCGCTACATCCCACAGCCAGACAATTACGGAGCCGGACAACTATGGAAAGGGTTTTGCTTTAAACCCTATATCGAAGAGTTTGACACCCCGGCCAAATTCAAGGCCGCCTGAACACATCCCTCTCTCTAAGAGAAAAATAAGCGTGAACCCTGGAGAGGTTAACGAAGAGGTGGAGATTCCGGTTCCAGTGGTCCCCTATTTCGCAATGTCGTTTGAGCATTCTAGAGCGCCTTATATCCCCCGTTTGATGATGGGCTTTGGGTAAATGGTTGTTGGCCTAATAGAAGGGCCCCGAACGATCCAGGATTTGCACTCTGGTCTTGGGATCCATGGTATGAGAGGAACGCGCCTAAACCTAAGTGGAATTTTGGTAATCCGTATAATCAAGGCAGTAATAGGTCTTAATTACTCGGAGTTAAGAGGCACTAAATTTAAACTTGTCGCGCCTCGCCGACATATATATAATATTTAACTCTAATTTGTATATCTTTTAGTCTGAAATCTATATATTAAAGTAGAGTTTTTAACCTCACTACTATTATAGCTAGCCTAAGGAGTGTTAATGTCAACCTAAGAAACCAGCTAAAGTGGGCAGAAGTGGTAGAAATAGCTAAACTACACCAGGAGCCCACTACTACTAAAAAAGGTCTTCGAAGTTGACTATAAGCTGGAATTACTAACTATAACAGGACTTAAATCCCCTATCTTCTATCACTATCAGAACTAGTATATGACGACATACCTACTAGAGGATCGATTATGTGGACACTAAGTCTAATAATATTCTATATAGTATAGAAAGCATATACTAGTATTAAACTTAGCAGTATAGGCTATCTGCCATTACTGAGAACTTAGCTCTCGCTACCTGAACAGATTTTGACCCCCGCGGCAGGTGGCTGAGCGTCCGCTCCAATGTTTATAAAAGACTCTGATACACTTCCTTGCTAATTTTCCCAACCCTAAAGTCCCAGTCGATCGCCTTTCGCATAAGCTGCACACCTACCACGACGTGGTGAGGGTACGGATCGATCGACACAATCGGAACGGTGATAGGGGGTAGCCGCCGTTCGCGGTTCCATTAAGTGAATGATTACTATCTGAACCGGAGGAGTCTCGCTTGATAGCTATTATAGTATGAAGGCCATAGGCTCGGGTGTTCATTACTATAGTTTCTACATCGCTAATAACCTCGACTAGGTCCGCGCGTAGTTCCCGATGATCCGTGGCCTCGATAGCATCGATAAGCATAAGGATGCTGAGATAATAGTGAAGTATAAGAGAAACTACCGAATCAATATAAGTTGACAAACCTCGCGACTATACTTAGAGTATAAGATTATAGGTAGAGAACATTAACTTTAGACCTACACTATCGCAGTTTAGTTTGTTGGCTAAGAAACTGTAACCGTTTATAACACTCCTCGAGCTGAGGATGGTAAACTGTATTGAACTCTTTAATAGAGTCGAGAACGGCTACAAACGCCTGGTGCACTTCTGACTCGTTATAGCCCTCCCGCACGGCCTTTTTAAAAGTAGCTGTCAATTTCCATCCGAGAAGTTTCCAGGAAACACCCACAGCGATGATTTGGTTCGCCCTATCGTCAGTCATTTCGGCTTGCTCTCGACGCCACTGCTTAGACGTCTCGCGGAAAATCATACAACACGTCCTTACTAGCCGCCATAGAATCTCAAATCGAACCCAAAGAGGCCCGAGGAGAGCAGCGGCCTGCAGTCCAGGGTGAGTGACGCGGACGTGTCAAATGGTAGAGCTGCCCAGTACGCGATGCTCTCGGCGTTGATAAAGTCAGATGAATCGATCAGGTTTGGCGGCGTCACGCATATGGTCGGGGTTTCCGATAGTGGAGAAACTTTAGAGACGCTAAATCGAAGGTTCCTCTGCCTAGCACGGAGGGTTTGGACTTGTTGCAACGCTGCGTGAACACAGGCCTGCCCGGAAATCCCGTCAACTTCCTCCTCTTCTGAAATTCCTGAGGGGATGGGTGTCAATGCGAAGAGGAATAAGGATAGCATAGACCGGTACGAGGGTCGGTGGATGATGCGGAGCATATCCCTCCGTGCGTGTCTCCAGAGCGTTTATGTTACAGTAAGATAGTCACATTCTCGGGAGGAGGTAATAGGTAACCACCTTGCCGAGAATACGGAAATGGCTCCCTTGAGAGAAGATTCAGCCTTCTGATCATGCTGGTTTTTTTATGATGTATCGTTTCCTTAACGGCTAACCTTCCCTCACTGATAGTAGATTCGACCATGGTTTGGTCGAGGCGGCGGCATAGGTCGGATATGCTCACATATTTATAGGCGAAGGGGTCTTGTTCGAACCTAGTATTATTGTTAAATCCCTGATGGACTATTTATGATACGTGTTAAAAGGAGGCTTCTTATAAGAAGAGACAGCAATGCCGACCCATCCAAGAACCGAAGACTGTCTCGAATCCTCAGGGTTTAGAGCCATTTATAATCGCCTTCGCCTAGACTAGCTATATCCTGGGACGTGGCGAGTGAGTTGGCAAGTAAATATTGATTATCAAATGTAGATGTATTTGAGGTCAAGGCCGACGCTGTTACTATGTCTGTTTGAGATATCTCTTTCGAGCTAATAACTGACTGCTCTCTTGAATATGACTCTGCTATATTAGTATTATTATCTACACCCTCATCACACTGAACTGACGATCCGCCGGTTGAAAAATGAGACGCCGGCCTACGACATCCCTTGCGCTGTGTTCATTTTAATACGCCTACTTTAACATCTTGAAGCCATTACGTCGAGATTTTAGCTATACTCAAAACACTTTACATTATAGGCATTGTCATTGCTTATAGGGAAAGGGCGGAGCCTCTCTTGTCTTACCTTGAACGTCCATGGCTGGCGGCGGTTGAGACAACGAGTGCAGCGCCCCGGCGACTCCCATCAGAGCTCGACGCTGAGGCGTCACAGGCCACACGCGATCTGCGGCATTCGTCGCAGCTAGAAAACTGGATTCTGCGAGGGGCACGCCTAGTACAGGGCATTGCGAGCTCGCTGAGTGTGGATCATATGCCTTACGTGAGGGATAAGGCGAGTATAGGAGAATACGTGAACTAATATGAAGCAGGCGTCGGATCCGGAGCGAGAAACGTTGCGGACGAAGTTAAGGAGGGGATATTCATCGAAAGAGTAGTGCAGCACCTAGACTACCTTGCCCAAATGAACTAAACGAGCATGTCCGATTCAAACCACAATTCTCGGAAGCGGGGTTTAGAGGCGAAAGGGTGCTCGGTGGTTATGATACTGTTAATATCAAATGTCAAGACCACTACGGATAGGTGTATACCTCGGTATAAGCGTCTCAAAAGCCCAGTCTTGTAGATCGTCTAAACCTAGCTGGGAGAGGATCGGCAAATCATTTACAGGAGTTTTCTCTAGAGCATCCCCGGCACACCTGAAGAGGCGAATCTTAACAGTTATTGAACAGATCGTTACATTAAGTGGAGTCGGCGCTTTGTTAAACGTAAAGCGATGTCCAGGGGGCAAGGGGGATGACGTCCGAATGAGGGGTGGTGGATGCCATGTTCCAAGCCAGCGCGACCGCGAAGACAGCTCGTCAAGGCTCGTCCACGTGAATAGATTCCTCGCCACCTAATATTTTTAAGAATTCTTTTCTAATTGTCCCCTGCGCACTTGATCATAGCGGTGCTTAGCTGGTTTACGGTCTCGGCCTTGTTGTCACCTACTTATTAACCTATTTAAAAAGGTTTTTTTCCCGAAGCAACTCTACTAGTACCATCGGATCCGGCGTGACATAATGTTACAAGTGCCGTACTCTATTGCCGTACTCTGCATACTACATTTCCTGGGAGGTGAGACCTAAAAGAGGTACAAATTATGCCGAGCTTACTTTTACCGCCGCGCAACTTCATCTCCCTTATAGCTAACGGATCCGATACTTGTCTCCTATATCGGTTCCGATGCTTACCGTCCCCAGGTTGACACCACCCCTTATCCTCCCCATGCACCTAGCAATGCGGCAAAGACCGGCGCTAGGGCCGGTTTGACCCCGGAGCTCACGCCCACCCTTCCACCCCCTCAAGCCCTCTAAGGTCATACCTTGTTGATTCAAGGACGCGGGGAAATTGCGGGGAAATATAGGGAAGGAAACTAGAGGATCGAAATATGTATATAAGACCGCGAGAATACTTACCATCGCAGTCGTATAGGGTGCTTTTTATTATCACACTCTTTTAATAAATAGGAGAACTTCTAGGACCTAATAAGTTACTAAAATTAATCATTGATCATGGCGGCGTCATTTACACCTCTCGAGAAGATACCGGCTGATAGAGAGAGTAATCTCTGTTACCACAGCTCGGAAAACATCGAAAGGGGAGAGGTCGTCGATGTAAATAATATCACAACGACCACTAGGATAGAGCTCGACTCATTCGCACACCTCGACCAGAAGAAGATTCTACGTAAGGTATGTTAACTATCTTCATATATAGCTATAGGTGAATTATTTTAGTCTCAGTTTTCTCACAGGTTTTTCTTTTAGATGGATATTCGATTGATTCCTATGCTCGCGCTCCTCTACTTGCTCTCCTTTCTCGACCGTAAGTCCCTAATCACTCTTACCTAGCCCAGCTAAGCCGCTTCTCTTCTAACATATAAATTCACTAATAGGAGGAAATATTGGAAATGCTAAGATTGAGGGCCTCCAGGAAGATCTTAACATGACCCCTGATCAGTATAACTGGTGCCTCACAGTCTTCTTCTTCACCTACGCAGCTTTCGAGGTCCCTTCCAATCTGCTACTTAAAAAGCTTCGCCCTAGCATTTGGCTCCCTACTATTATGGTCGCATGGGGTGTTGTTATGACTCTGATGGGCATCGTAAAGAACTACCACGGACTCCTAGTTGCACGCATCTTTCTTGGCGTCACGGAAGCAGGCCTGTTCCCTGGCGTTGCCGTACGGTTCTTGCTTCGTTGCACTCATTTCCATGCTCAAGTTTACAACTGACCTCTGGATTAAATAGTACTACCTTACCATGTGGTATTGCCGCCACGAAATTCAACTCCGGCAGGCTTTATTCTTCTCAGCAGCCTCCGTCGCCGGTGCATTTAGCGGCCTGCTCGCGTTCGGTATCGCCAAAATGGATGGCGTCGGTGGACTAGAGGGCTGGCGCTGGATCTTCATTCTCGAAGGAATTGTTACTGTGCTTGTCGCCATCATGGCGTACTTTACTCTTTTCGATTTTCCAGATACCGCCAGTTTCCTCACTGAAGAGGAAAGAGCCTTTGTTGTCTTCCGATTGAAGTATCAAAGCGCGGCGGGCAAAGGACGGGAGGGCATCGTCCTTGTTGCGGAGGCTGAGGAGTTTAGGTGGGAATACGTCTGGGCTGCCTTCAAAGACTGGCAGGTTTGGATTAATATCTTTGTTTACTGGGGTGTAAGTAATCTTCCTTTTACCTAAAGCATTTATAAACGACCAGCGCTAACAATAGGTGCTAGATTGTATGTCCGCTTTATGGAATCAGTCTCTTCCTTCCAACTATAATCAAGAGTCTCGGGTACCAAAGCAGCACATCCCAGCTTATGACTATCCCTATCTACGTCACAGCCGCTATTCTAGCAGTGATAATAGCGTGGGCCTCTGACCGAGTTGGAAAGAGGAGCCTTTTCATCCTACCAATGCTGTGCATTATGCTTATTGGTTTCGTTATGTAAGGATCATGAGCATTCTTTCACTAAGATATCTAATCAAGACTAACACCCTATATAAGGTGTATCTCCACTAATAACCCTAAGGTCGTCTACGGAGGCGTCTTCATTGCCGCATGTGCTATCTATCCTGCCTTTCCTGGTGTCATCACCTGGCTTAGTAATAACTTAGCCGGGAGTTACAAACGAAGTGTAGGGATGGCTCTTCAGATTGGCGTTGGTAACCTTGGTGGTGTAAGTATTATAACGCTGCGTGATGTATCTTTATATAGAGTCGCTAATAAGAGGTTACTTAGGCCATGGCCTCTAACTTTTACCGCGCTAAGGACTCCCCTCGATATATTATCGGACACGCTTTGGAGATTGGTTTTATATGCGCTGGTATCATTGCGACTTTCATCCTCGTGTGTGGATATAATCGTATTAACAACAACCGCGAGAAGCAAATGGCCCAGGGCGCTGCTAATCACTTTAGCGCTGAGGAGTTATCAGCACAAGGAGACAAGGCCCCCACTTGGAGATATATGTATTAAATATTCTCGGGTTATTATAGGAAGATAGTAGAAAGGAGATCAAGGTTCTTTTCCTTAAGGGTGTATCTACCGACTTATATAGTTTTCTTTCTTTACTATCTTGATCTTGGTCGCTATTACTTATTCGCTCTAACAGTCAGCCACTCATCCGCCCGTTGAGTCTAACGTCTATCTATTCAACCGGTCAGCCGAGCACTTATCTATGTATCCTTATGTATTATCCTACCCTATACCTAGACTATATTTTTCTTTATACCTTTACTTAAAGTCTATATATTAAGCCACCCCTTTTCTATACCTTTTACCTAGACCGTATATCTCTTTTCTACTTACAATTGCGGTCTATGCCTAGGCCGCGACCTCCCTAGTATTGAAAACGCTTGATAATGTTCCTATTCGCTACTTAGGATCGAATCTTCTAATAGATCCGCTTCTACCTCGGTAGAGTGCAAATCTATAGTTCTTATTGTTGGCAGGCGGGCTGACTGGAGCACCACCGTTGGTGCCCCGATCAGTTCGATCCTCTCACACCTATTTAGTCCAGAACGGTTCCCCTTCTGGGAACCTTTTCCTCCCCATCTTCCATCACTCATCCACATTCAAATCCTTTTCCCACCATTTTCTCCCCACGCTTATATGTTACGCTAAAACCCCGGGCAGCCGTAGCCGGCATGGCTACAGCTGCTATGGCTGGCTTGCAGCGTTCCGCTGTAGCCGATGGATATCAGCCGAAGATTGCCCGATGGTCCACGTGATCACTGGAGGATGAAAGAGGGGCCCATATCCGGTGGCAGCCCGGATCCTAGTCTAGCTGGAAAGGTCGCGTCTCCAGCTAGCAAGAATCTCAGCCGCAGTGGCTACCATTCGTTGCCTCTAAGAATCTCTGCCTCAGCTGCGACCATCGGCTGCCTCCAAATAGAATAACATTTAACGATGGATTTTGTAAAATAGCCTAGAAATATCAGATATAAAAAGGGCGGAATTCCCCCATAGAAACGGATCTATTAGGAGGATCTAAGCAGCGAATACGAACACCATTTTGCCCCTATATTTCCCCCTCTATTCAATACCTATATCCTTCAACATATTCTCTTAAATATATTAGAGCCCTTGGAGCCTAATCTTTAAGGCATATGGATCTAAGTTGCTTTTTCAAGCCACCACTCTCTAGCGTTCTCCTATAAAACCAATCCTATAGCACATAGACCCCCATTTCAACTTAGTCTTAAAACATCCCAAGTTTCTTCTAACTCTTCTATTTAAAGTAACGTGTTATTCCGATCATCATCTTATCCCGGTCGTGGCTCTCTTATCTATCATCATATTCTTCTTCCACTATTACTATAACCTAATCCAACTTAACCTATTTCTCTCATCTTAACCTAATCGGGAAGTAGTCTTATCATTTTCTAGGACCACGAGTACGACCATGCCTTCTAGTTCTATAAAACGATGCTAACCAAACGCAACTCTAAGAAGAGCATCAGGACAGAATTCGATGTTATAATCGCAATCAAAACAGAACAACCGGATCAAGATAGCTGCAATGTATGATTTTAAGTGCGGCACATGCGGTAAAGACTTTCCCGCTGGGTGGCGCGCCCGGGAGAACCATTGCAATTCTACAGGCCACCAGCCGCCTTTATTCGAGTGTGATACATGCCCGCGGTGGTTCAAAGTCGACAGGCTTGCGACCAGCATATGAACGATTTAAATCATTATGCCTATAGCTGTCGCGTTTGCATTGAAACTTGGCCGACACAGGAAACTCGAGTGCAACATGAGAAGGAAGACCATTGCTACTGTGCTGACTGTGACCGGCATTTTCAAAATTCGAACAATTTAAAAATGGTGGGTGTTTTCACCATATTTTCCGCTTCCCTTAACTTGTATATATTGAAATTGGCCCTCACAGCATTTAAACTCTCGCGTCCACAAGGGAGACCAGATAGGCTGCCCCTTTTGCGAGAAAGGCTTCACAGCCGCCACTGGACTTACGCATCACCTTGAAAAGGGCTCCTGTCCCAACGCCCCCGGTCTCAGCCGTGACAAAGTATACGAAATCGTTCGATCCAGGGACCCCCAGGGTGCCATCTCTAAGAATCTATTAGGCTGGTACGGTTCCGTCGAGTATGCGGCCACGGAGAGGTCCTGGAATGGTGACGCTTACGAATGCTATATTTGCCATCGAGAGTTCAACCAGTTAAATAGCCTCAACCAGCATTTGAGCTCTCCTACTCGTAAGTAAAGAAAAATGTAAATTCCTCACTCTACTACTAAAAGGTTTTCTAGATCAACAGAGTTTATATCATTGTCCTAACACGGCGTGTCGGATGGACTTTAAGAACCTTGCTGCGATGATCAATCACTTAGAGAGTGAATCATGTGGATTCATGCGATTTGACGCTGTCCAGAGAACCATGGGCAACCTAATCAGTAGTAATCGCCTTTTATCATTTTAATGTAGTTACTACTGTAACTATCCCTTAGGGGTATACTATATGGGAAGATAGAGAAATTCGTACATCTCATAGTGTGATAGAGTAGTCTCAGTGATGCACCCACTATGTTGATGTTACTTAAACCTCTTTAAAGCTTCCTCTCTTATCTGTAAACTTAAGATATAGAAGCGAGTTTTAGCGCCGCTGCACTCAAACTAAAAGTTACATAAGATTGATTTGAAATATAGGGCGAGAATAACTTCTCGTAACTCAGTGTCTCTAATATAGCTCTTAAAACTCTAGGTATGAAGATTATGTCGATGTTGCTAAAGGCGCTAATCTAATAAGATATAATTCTAGGTAGCTGTTCTTCTTAGCGATCCTTAGTATAGTGAATTAGCTAGGAGCTCACTGTAGTCTGTTTTGACTGATGTAAGACGGCGTAGCATAATTTTAAATAGTCGGAAAAGAGCTCCTTATAGTACTAAAGGCGGCGGTTATATATACTAGCAGAATTTAATATAGGGTGGGAGATGAGGTGGGCTTCTAGTATACCTTACTTTCATAGCCTAGCCGAGCGCAAAGTATCTACTAATCTAATCCATATCAATTTCCAGATGATAGAGAGTTACTATCTAACCTACGGGAAGTTTACGGGCTGATAGGCACCCTGGTAGTCTCTAGAGTTGTCTATAAGGTAGAGCTCAGTGATGGTTCTCTAGAGAGCAGCGACGGGGCCGAGTACGGGATTCGGGAGGCTCGCACTAGCAAGCCTATGTTTTGAAAATATATAGACTGTACGTTGCTCCTTTCCCTAAAGTCTCACCACTAAGCCATCGTCGGACTCTGAGCTCGCTGGCAGGGCTGTAACTATTCTTCTAGAGGACAATCAAGTCTTAGTAGCGTTCTATCAGACATACCTCCCAACGTAACTAGGTGCTACGAAGCTTAGGAATTAATAAAGAAAGGTAGAAAGATGTTTTTATTTATCAGAATACGAATTCTAGGTGTTAGCAGAAACACGCTTAAAAATTCAACCTTCAATACACTGCTTACTAGTGAGTCGTTATCATGATTCGATAGGGAGGACTTTCAGATAATAGCTTAGTTGAATGCTAGGAAGAGATGTTAGACATTATAAGGGCGAAAGAGGACCTAGCCACTAAAAATAGAATAGGGCTAGAAATACTCTACGCCCTCAATTTCTAATATAGCTTAAATATAAGAATCTTCTTCTAACCCTTTAGCAGATGCTGGCTGAGAAGCTTTTGTTTACAAGTCGAGCAACTATTTAACACCCCGAGGCCGCACCCTATTCCTATAATCAGTTACCCGCCCCTACTTATTTATATAGAGACTATACTACTTCTAATATAGTAGTATATATCATAGTAACCTAATACTAATCTAGGTTATTAGCACGTCGAGTACTATCCTGCTAATACTAAGGTATTATTAGCCCGCGGAGACCTGCTGACAAGTTTATAATACTATTTAAAACCTATATCGCTAATTTACCTAGCTATATCACTTAGGTAGTGCTATAAAGAAAAGTTATTTATGTTAGTAGGACTAGATAGGGCTTAGCATAGGGGCGAAGAGCGCCGGGCGACCGGATAACCTCTCGTGGCAAACTCCCGACGAGGAGCTAACTCTCGAGGATTTCGTTATGAATGTTAGATCGCTAGCTAGCCCCGCTGAATAGTGATTCAATATAGGAGGGATGGCGGCGATTTCTCTAAAATAGCTTAAGTAAGGGGCGAGGTACCATCTACTAGGTCCCCGGTAAATAGAGATATAAGTTAGTAAATAAACAATAACCTCACTCGAAAAGTTAAGCACCTCTAAACCTAAGATAGCTTAGCATATGTAGCCTGAAGCCTTTCCTTCTCTCTTTCCAAAAATATAGTATATGAGCCGACAGGTACCCCCAAGATTTAACCCTATCCATATCAGCTAACGAACTTTTCTCCCTCATACTTATCTGCGCCTCGAGCATAAGATTTGTTTTCTTCCCTTCCTCTACTTCCTCCTCAGATAGGAAGCGCACGCTCATCTTCTTCCCAACGGCTCGGCCTAGTCTCAAAATCAGATCCTCCGGTGTGATCAACTCAGTAAAAACGTCGACGCGCTGCCCAGCAAAGGTCTCCGGGTCGAGTAGGGCAGCTGCCCCGAAAGCGCCAATGTCATCGTTGTCCACATAGGGGCCTGTCACACCTTGGGAAGAGCAGTCTCAAAGACTCCGGTGGTGGTGAGATCGCCGAACCATCTGGCCGCAGGGCCGATGAGGTCGCTAAGAAACTTAGCTGGACGTAGAATCGTGTACGAGGGGTATGTAGTCATCTCCCGGGTGACATCCCTCTTTATCTGATAGATTTTAGCGACGATGCCGTTCGGGTCGAGGCCGGGTCGGGATAGCTCATCCTCCTCGAGGCCGAATGAACTTGAGTACACGATGTGCTGGACGCGGGCCTCCCGGGCTGCCGATACTAGTGTCTTAGCGTGGCGGAGCTCCTCCTCGAAATCACTGAAAGATGGGGAGAAGTTGAGGAATGCTGTGGTTACGCCGTTAAGGGCGGCCTTGAGCGAATCCACGTCGTCGTAGGATCCACGAAACACTCGGATGCCGTTTTCGATTAGCGCGTTAGCGTTAGTCCCATGGCGGACGAGGGCATGGACTGTTGCATTGGCCTTGCGTAGGTGACGGGCCACAGCGCCACCTTGTGTTCCTGTAGCGCCGCAAACGAAAACGGGTCCGGACATAATTGAAGATCTTTTCGTTAAAGAGAATCAATCTAGTCGTGGAAAATGTTATTACGATCCTTTCCGCTCGAAGAATGGTTTTAATTCCCTTCTATCATCGTGAGGAGGTCCTTACCTTATAATTCCTTCGACTTCGCAATGGACTTCGGGTAGTGGAAGCCGAATGACCTGCGGCATTCCGCCATATGTTTTTTGCGGGGTCTAGAATTCGAGCGGGATTCCGCCAGAATGTGATTTCTAGACTAAAGTAGGCGCCATGTTCCGCGTCGCACCGCTTCGCACTCACCTAACAATGCTTCGCGACAGCTGCACTTGATACAATCCGAGAGGCCCGAAAGGTTCGCAAAGTAAAACCAAAAGCACACTGCCATGGCCGCGATGCAAAATCGTGGAATCCCGCGCCAAAAGTCTTGCTCCGCCTGCGCAAAGGCGAAGCGGCGGTGTGATTTTGCAGTCCCCACGTGTCTCCGCTGCTCGAACCGCGGTATCTCATGCATTTACCCCGAGCGGACGAAGTCAAGCATATCAAGAATGCGTGAGAATCGGGAATTACTATCACCTAGCCCAGCCGATTCGGGAGACTGGCTCACCGAGGATCTCCCTCTACCGCCCTCCCGCTCCAGGAGCCGATGTTGAGCCTTTTTGGATCCGGGAATGCACTAGAAATCGCCCCATGGACCACTATGAGCCCCGGTTGCACCGGGGCTGATCCTGATCTGCTGATGAGCCAAGGGGCAAATCTTAATAGTCTCGCGAATGAGAACGAATGTCCCGACGAGGGCGACGACACTACAGACATCGTTGAGTTAGCAACTGCGACGCTTGTACCAGGTTTATCTACCACGCCACCTGTGACATGGTGCCCAGTTCTTCGGCCCCTGTCGGCGGCTATGTCCGCTAGAATTCGGTACGCGATAAAGTATCTCTCTGATATTCCAAACAACCTTGTGAAGATGCTAGAAATACCATGGTGTCATATGGAAATATTCCAACGTACTGAGACCTTCCCATGTCTACGCGGTTAGCAATATCCCTAACAACTTAATTTATATATTAAATGAGGGCTAATTCTACCTATAGATGCGGTTTCATGCTGCGCACTCTATATAAGCAAAACAGAGAGGAATGAACACTTCGTTCTACAATCAGCAGTAGCTGGACTTAGTGACCTAACGAACTGTCCAACCCCGACGTCTGCTCAAGACTGCCTTGCGGTAACCTGCGCGCTCGGGATCTATCATATCATAGCGCTACTAGACAGTGATCTTGAAGTTCGCTCAAGAGCAATAGATAGTATCCCTAAGATTGAGGCATCATTGCACGCTCTTCTCTTCCATATACGTTCGGCACCCTATACAGACGCTCCTCCGCATCTTGCCCTATATCCCCTAGCAGAGACAGACTTGTTCTGGCGACAGTGGATCTTGCAGGAATCCTCTCGCCGTACTGCAATATTTACAAGCCAGCTTCTCATGATTTACGCGGTAGTTACAGGCCAAAGCGTAAGCATTCCCCTAGAAACCCAATGCCAACCGTGGTCGCTCTCGTCGGGACTATGGTATGCGAACAACCCGGTAGACTTTGCAATAGCCTGGAACACTGGTAGTGTACCTACGGCAACGCTACAGAGTCTCGAAAGCGCCTTGAAAGATAATCGGGTAAATAACTTAGATGAATTTGGGATAATGCTTTTAGGTTGCTATCTAGGACATAATGGTGTACGTGGCTTACTTAAAAACAACGGTTGAGCAGGCAAAAGATTGGCGGAATAGTCGGATATACTATCAAGGATCAGTTCTAGGTCTCTAGCTAACTTAGTATATATATAAAAGGGATCTCTTTAAGTTAAGACTATATTAGTAGTGGATATCACACTCTTTATAGTTGTAATAAGATAGTAGACCTATCATATCATCACCTCGAGTATCAAGATTGATAAACTCTAGTAGTATTCCGTTAATATCAGGAGTAAGCAGCCTTCAAACCCGCATAATCTACGCGGTGGTAATACTTTATAAGGAACTAATCTACTCTAACTTAAAGGATGGTGAGTATAGTAGATCTAGATAAGTATTTTGATGAGTCTGTCTTATTCTCATATAAGATCGTCGAGTATAAGCGTTAACATGATAAGGGTCGTTAACTTCTAGGAAATACTTAGCGGACCCCCACTATATTCAAAGTTCGTAAGGCTCTATACTAATCTTTATAGTAACTTGCTTCACTAAGAAGAGGTATTTAAATCTAGTTATTTTAATATACGGATTGATATATTTCGTGAATTCCTCTACTATAGTGTGCTCTTATATGTCCCGAGACTAATTATAGATTATAGTCTGGGTTTCAATTCGAATGCTAATAAGATTGAACTTTAGGGTATATCTATTCTCAGCGGCTGCCGATATCGAAGGCAAACTTGAGGGTACCTACGTCCCTAGCAGCACACCTAAAATGAGAATATTTATAATTGTAATACCGAGGTGACTGATATACCCCTGAGCTCTAGCAATGATACGGACTCGGTCCTCGCTCCGCATGCTTACATGAAGCAGCACGGCTTCCGGGACCCGCTTCCCCAGTTATTCCGCGCGCCCCCGCCGGTTCTTATTACTTTCTCTTAACTCTGTTCCGGGGCAGCCTCTAAGTCTACAAGTCGCTAAAGCTCCTAAGCTCTATTGTAACTATATCATTGTAGCAGACGCTAGTAATGCCGCCGTTAATCAATAAGATAGTAGCATAGGTCTTATTATTTAAAAGTAGGCTAATAGTTAATTTTCGTCTGTGCAAGGTTTCAGGTATGACACGGGTATTACGTCTAGTCGAACTTACTCTATAATATTTACTACGAGTCTCTATATACTTCAAGCCAGCTACGGCAATCTCGCCCTTATTCGCTTCCTCGACAGTATGAGCCGACATTATATAAGAGACCGGGACTCGTTGCAAGGAGGGAGGAATATACTGTAAGCTCGTTATATAGGCCTTTACTAGGGGAGAATGATGGTTCGTCTTAAGCCTTTACGAGCTTTTGTCCTAATAGTAGGTCAGATTAGGACAAAAGCTCGTAAGGCTTAAGACGAACCGTTTTTCAAACATTTATTTACAGCTAAAGGAGTATCATCTAAACCCCCTCAATATCTAAAATGAGGACCATGTCGGCGGTTATAAGAGAACATTTGATTTTGAACTTATACTTTAAGTTTAAAACTACATTATTACTAGGCATCATATTTATGTTTAGGTCCGGTCCTTAATATTACATTATGATCATTTCAGCAGTGTTAAGTGGATAGGTCCGGTCCTTAATATTACATTATGATCATTTCAGCAGTGTTAAGTGGACATTTCAGCAGAGTTAATCCACTTAACACTTCTAAGTGGCCTTTCACAAATCAAGCTACGCGCTCTGTCCCGATATATAAGCCCAGCAAATGACCCTTCCTATAACATAAATACGTAAATAACGACCCTACAGCAGCTGCTAAGCATTCTGCCCCGACGCGCGTAAACATTAAAACCAGAAGATACCTAGACGACGTAGATACCCGATGCCACCCTAAGAAGCCTATTTAGTGCATGTCAACACAAAACTGCCGTGATATAGTTATTAAGATACCTAGACAGCCCTGCTATGGTGGTTATGGCAACCCATATGCCTATCGTCGTGAGTATGGTTGGGGTCTTGTTGGTCAGGCCAGTCCGTCTCAATAGTAACTTCCACTTCCTTTCTGATACCGCCATAAGGCCTGGTCTTAGGGATTATGCCGTCCTCAGAATCCCCATCATTGAAATTCGTAAAATCGTCGCTGCTAGTACCTTTACCAACAGCATTTGCAGTAACAGTGGCTTGTGTACGCTGCTTGTGCCAATCGGAATGATTAGTTCGATCACCGAGCATAATGCTTCCAGGTTCGGGTCCGGTTGTCTTCTTATTCGAGGATAGGATAGAGCCAAACCATCGCTTGAGCCAGCGGCGTACGATGGCCCATATCATTGGTAGGCTGGAGGTGGCAACGGCAACGAATGATTCTCGAACGGCCCACGCCGAACCTTGTCGAGGTCCGGTGATAGGATTCTATCAGGGGTGTAAATGGATTAGCGTCAACACCTCCATAAAGGAGAAAAGGCAACGCATTTTAACGGTATTTTACCTGTAGAATTAGAATGCACCGTAAGATTCCCGCGGTCATAACAAATATAGCCCCGGAGAAGATGACACAAAGGCCAATCCTCTTGATAGTTGGTAGCTGGACTCCCCATAGCATCGGGATAGGTATCAAGACGAGATATATATCTGTGATAATATTGAGAACAAGTGTCATGAAGATGTTAAGGTTAGACATTGCTGGCTGGCAAAGATCTATGGTAATTCACGCGTTAGCGGGGCTTGTAGGTAATGGATAGACAACGGGGGTTATCCCAGATGTCAATACTCACTACCGGGATCAGGATTTATCTGCCAATTCTTTTCATCGAGCTACATCCAAATAGAATAGAGAGGAGAACGGCAAGGTAGGTGATAATGATGAGTGCAAAGCCAGCTATCAGGCGGATTCGATACGCTTTTAATCCGGCCTTTAGTCAAAGGTGAGATATATTGTTTAGGCGGAAGGTTCAGGTCGCGGAGATGTGCGTTGATTGTAGCATCCACTTACTGTGAGGCGAATGTAGAAGGCGCAAAGAGACGCCTTGATGATCCAAAGCACTGATACATACATAACCCAACCGGCAACCTGGATCTTGGAGCCGATGATCCTATAATTTGTTAAAAACGGCTTAGCAATATACTGATGAATGCAATCCGACTGACCTCCATGAGTATTCTTCACTGTCAGGGCTTAAAGCGGCCCTCTGTTCGTCTGTTAGTCCGCTGTTGGTTAATCCATTGGCCGCAGCGCCCACGGCATATCCAAGTCCTGTCTCAATAGAGTACGGTACGACCACTAGAAGCATGAGGTAGTCGTCGGCCTCTAATCCTGAAAAGCCTACTAGTTTCCATCGTGCGAAAGTTCGGAAGAGAATGATCGAGATGCCTAAGGAGAGGAGGGTGAACGCCTCAGTGGCGAAGGAGTCGAGAGCCATGAGAGTGATCCTATCATAGAATCTAGTCCTGAAACGTCTTCGTACATGTGCTAAGGTCGAGGCTGTTAAGGAATCTGGGGATGAAAAATGAAAGAAAGAAGAAAAAGTAATTAGAGCGGGGCGTCGTGAAGAATGTTTCAAGATATATAGGTTGATAGCGCAGCGACTGCTGCTCGACGCTAATAAAGAACAAAGATCCACTATCGTAGATCTTTACCACTAGCCACCTATGTCCCGCCTATGAACAGCATCGACTTAAAGAGGAAATTCCAATTTAGGGCTGATTTATTATCCCTCATTAGATCGAGGCGTCGATGATGTATTCGGACTCTTTACCATTGATTTCGCGGGCCCGGGTTTTCCGCCCACGTGTGAGTGGGTTCGCATGACTACAGTATCGATACGGGATGCCTGGTTCAGGTGTCCCTTCATCTCTACTATTTGCTGAAACCCTTCTAGCGTACCACCGACTTCTATAGGGCATATGTCCAGGTTTCCAATTTGTTAGAGTCTCTATTCAGTAGCACTTGCCTTGAGGATCATCATATATCACCTGAATTGCGCTAAGGGGATCAGTACCGGATGAGCCTTAGCTAGATGGGGCGAACGCCGTCTCCCTGCAGATCACGGGGAGCTACCCAGGATGAAGCAAAGGGGAAACGCCACGATATACTACTTCATAGCTAAAAGGGGTAAGAGCGTCATATCATAGATAATTTCGGCTTTAAAGCGACCTTCCAGGATGCTGATCACCCTCTACGAGACAACCCTGAGGAGGAAGATCGTGCTTGGCAAACTCGAGCAGTGCCGGTGGTGGCGTTTCAAAGCGGGAATTTCCGGGTCCTTCTCTAACCTAAAACAGAAGCTCGGCCAGGTCCCTGCCTAGGGTTATGTGAATACGTAAGTTCAGCCATCACACACGTAAACAGCCGTAGCTATAATTGGTTAAGCTTACAAGTGGCTATCCCTAAGCTGCTTGCACCTTCCCTTCGCGTAAGGGATTGGATACCGATTATCGAAATGCCAGCCCGACGGCGGCTAGTGGTAGGACGCTAGTCTTGATTGAGCTTAGACGAACACATCAGGTTCAAGGAGTGAAAATCGACCTTCCAAGTCTATCATAGTTAGATAATACGACGAAGTACGAAGTATGACCATCCTTTTCATAAACCCACCTCGCTCTAGTATTCCGTTGTTAAGAGGAGACTAAAACCGGTAACCTATTGAGGCCATCAAATCTATCTCTTTCTAATGCTAGCTTAGGTGGACTATGTCACGTACATTCTATTCTTTCACTTTCCACCTTATTTAATCATCAACGATAGGCGGCCTAGAAAAGTCTAGTATACTAAGCCGCAGCGCTGAAATATGTTATCCGCGGCACCAAAACACTTAGCCGGCCTACCTGGTTTTAGATGGAAAATGCGAGTTCATTTTCTTCAAGCCTAGATCGTAAAGCTTCAAGCTAAGGGCCACGGCGGGAGGGGGTCACCGCCCACCGGCTCTCTGCGTATCCACACCGGATATAGAGCCACAGGCTAGAGGAGCCGAGTGTCAGAAAGACAGCTTTAGTGAACCTAGATCGAGAGGGTGGCAAAGTTATATGCCTGGCTCGATCAGGCATCACCTTCAATAAAAGCTAGTCTAGGCCAGTGTTTCCCGTTTAACGCCACCTCTGGTGATTCGACATCTAAAACAGGAACAGTATAGTGTAGGTGTGCGCTGCGATTCAAGCGATCGTGTCAGGCAATTTCATAAGAAATTCTTTAAATTAATCAAGAACCAAGGCGTAAGCCGTAGGGTGGGTGCATGATATAGGACAGAACGGAATAAGATAGACTTGACCTACCCGAGGCACTTGAATTCCTTCCACGACTTGACTTTGATATATGGTCTTTCTTGATCAGTGTTGAATCCGGGGCCGCCTACTCTAAATGATGAGTGACTTTGCATGATGGTGTCTTACGAGACTCCGGCTTCTCTTCGTCAGCTACCTTGCAACGAAAGAACTACCAAATTGGCTACCTTATGATCTAGCCCGGACTAGTTATACTATGGGTATTTCCTATCACATGGACAGGTGAGAGAAGAGTCACGAGCCCCTTAGAGAAAGCATTTCGCTTCTTCCATGTTTCACGGGCTCGGTCAGCCCGGCAAGTCTAAGCACAACTCTGCGCCGAATCTAAAAGGTCAGGACTTCTCTATGATAAGGCATCGTAAGCGACAGTAGATCAAGTTATGCCGGCGCCGAGAGCTAGGGGTGAACTTTGCTTACTATAGTCCGTGTAAAGAAGAAGCGGTCGGGGGCTGTCTAAACGCGGCAATAGATGCGGCTGATTCTAAGACCACTTCATAGCATGAGTGAGAAGAACGAGTCAAGATGACATGACGCTTCGCAGGACAGTCCCCGCTATAAACCCAAACTTATTAAAGACCAAACTCTAGCGAATCTATTGAGAATATAGCACCGCAAACGCGCTATATGTTGTCTAAGCAAGAGACGGAGTTGGTTTCAGTAAAACTCGAGGTGCCCAAAGCTTAAGGATCGGTGGTTATAGCGGCTAAGACTTTAGGACATGCTAAGCGACAAGATTGTTAAGTAACGAGGTCTGACTTACGCGTTGTGCTATCTTATGACTATCTACGCTATAGAGGCTTCCCCACTATAAATAAGTGAGTAAAGCCGTGAGTCGGGCACTAGAGTTAGTTATAGTAAGGAATACCGAGTTAAGAGTCTATCTATGATCTCGGCCAAGCTCACCTCGTACACCCATGGTCAGTTAGGCGCTCGCGTAAGAGCCTCAGTAGGCTCTCATAATATACTTTGTCCGAGCTTCAAGCGTTTGCGATCTCACTTTAATTTACTCAGCTATTAGATCAGCCCGCACTCCCCTCTAGTTATTGATCCGGAATTGAGCAAGTTCTAATATTGACTTGATAATCTAGGTTATGATTCTATCTATACTTTTTTACTGTTGTTTTATTACGCGATTCCCTGTTCCACGAGTGGCTTTGAGTGTAACGATCGATCATAATACGTGGAGGAGCAAAGTTACATAAGCTGAATGGAGGTTACACGAATGGGGTTTAGCAAGAGCGACTCGCGGTGTGACCTAACGACCCTCATGCAACCAATCAGTTGTCACCTTATGCATAGGACACGGGCGGTTCGTGGACGCACAGCCTGTATCTGGGGCCGGGGATGAGAATTCTGAGGTTGGGCTCAGAGGAAATTATGCCTCGGCGGCCGATCCCTGCTTTCATTTTGTGAAATGCAACCGCAGAACCCTGGTTTAAAGCCTAAAATCTCACGTCAGCTAAGCCATTCACGTCTTAGGCATTGATGAAAGCTCGGAGAGCGCGCTCAAAAACAAGGGATCAGTAGAGGAGAAAGAAAATATTTCTATAATCTACCTGACGTGACTCTTTGACGGTGAAGCTGGACCAATCCCTGAATTGATCAATTTGGATACGGATTGAATGAACGGTAAAAAGCAGTGCACCTCCCTCCCGTCTATGTTCATGGTGCCTGCCTGTCGCGAGCGGATCAGGGGACATACGAAGGATCGTGGGAACCAGTGGATGCGGGTGATCCCGGCCTTCACCACAGCTAACCCTAGCTAGGCCTGCATCAAGGCCAAGCGCCGTTAATTCGAGATATGCCGCCTCCGCGTTGTACAAGTGTATTTATTCTTGCGGGATGCCCCTATTTATTAGGAAAAGGTCCTCGCACCATAAAGCCGGCCCTTCTTATCTTTAATCATGGCGACAATTGACTTTGACCCAAACCCCGTGAGGGAGCGACTCCTCCAGGGTGGACAAGCGCTTAATGAAAAGCAACCCCACATCGCCACCACCGACTACAACGGCACGCACAATAGCGAAGCATTACAAAACGGCGCAAAACAAGCTCAAATCTACTGGGTGCGAACTTTGGTCTTAATCTTGATCCCATTAGCCATCACCGCTTGGTATGCCATCATCTGGATTTGGCTTGTCCTTGGTATCGAGCATGATGAAGCCGCCAAGTACCGTACCTTCTCCGGTTCCCTCATATTTTACTCGTGGTTTATTATCGGCGTGTTCGCTTTATCCTGGGCGAAGTATGGCCTTGTTGGCGTCGAAGTGGCCATGCTTGAGACTCGATTTTGGAGAGCCAACAACCTCGTGGCCTATCTCATGCATTCCGGTTCAACCTGGAGCAGCCCCTCTGGGTGGCTGAAAAGTCTCTATCACCGAGAGTTTCACCGACTCTGGTCATTGCTTTTCCTCCTTAGCTTGCTGCCATTTTTAGCATTCCCCCTTTCTGGCCTTGTTTTTGAGATCAGTGATGGATATATTGCAATATCCGACACTCCGATGGTAGTGGGATATAATCAAACGAACTTTAACAACCGATCCTCTAATGCCGGGATGGCGAAGGCCGCCTGGGAAGCGGGAATGAACCCGACCGTACCAGGCTTTGGGATTGTGTATACGCCCGCCGGTTTCGACCGGGCTGATAACCCTGGCCTTGCCCGGGCCCCGAATACCTTACCGCTAACACAGTCAATTCCGAGCATGTTCCTCGCGCCGCAGGCTGAAGTTCCAGTGTCGGGTAGAGCATGGGGCCTCCGCCTAAGTTATAACTGCTCATCTGTTCGTAGCGCCTCTGAATTCACGATTCTCACGCAGAAGCCAATGTCCACGTTGAGTTACGTGGATACTGAGCGCTCTCAAGATACCTTCAAAGTTCCTTACGTCGTCCTCACAACACCAACAGGCGGCCAGATTACTATATTAAATAGTAGCAGCGACACTTCTATAACTAATTTATGGTCGTATTCCGAGATTGGGACAACAGCTGGTCGCAATGATGACGAGAATTATAGGGATGGTTTTGGTGAATCTACGACGCACATTCTTGAATATGCTCTCTGGCAAATGCATGTGCTTGGCTTCTACGAAAACACCTCTGGTGTCCAGAACCCTTTCAACACCACTTTGAGCACAGTGGTGGAAGGATTGGGCAGTCCATTCATCATGCTCGATAATAAAACTGTCGTCGCAAACGATACGTTTTTACTATCATGAGCGGCGAATCATATACTGTTCGATTCAACGGCTCGGAAAGCAAGGTTGAAGACTCTCTGAGCGACCTCCGTCTTTTCTTTCAGCCGGACCCATTACTTAAGACCCAAGTAGCACTCCCCATCTTAGATGTGGCTCCCCTATTGGTGTCCGGTGCGTTTGGTCCTCGGTTGTTGGAATGGCAGATTTGGACGGGGTAACATCAACATTTAGCGGATTCGAAACCGTCCAGCCCGAGAACAGCCAGTCATACGGGCGCGTGTTTGGCACGCAAGCGCATGAAATTATCCGTGCAGTAAACCCACAGTTCTTTCACCAGGTGGCTCATTTACCCATACCGAGGATTTATATGAGTTTGGACAACTGGCCGGGCTATCTCCCTTCTCAGGGGTTATTGAAGTCTCTCTTATTAGCATACGGGATGGACGCGCTGGAGCTAATGTACGACATGGTGTTTGCAGCCGAAAGGGCCTGGCTACATCCTACTCTAACATCATCACGAGAGGGAAAGATATTAGGCGTGGCGTCACTGATACCAGGGCATGAGACTGGGTACCTTGTTTTAGCATTATTTCTGCTCTGGACTGGACTCTCCGTTGCTCTAGGTCTAATCTATGGATTTCGCAAGAGGAGCTCGGACAAGCTGGACGGGTATAGCGTGTTTAGGCGCGGGGCAGACTTATCAGAGGATCTCAAACATAACCAAGAGTTCGAGAGTGGCCAGTCCTTTTACGCCAACGAGACATTCCATAAACTACCAGGCACCTAAGGTGGCTACTACCTCTATATTACAACTAGCGGCTTTACTCAGGATACCATATTATTTCCTCAATATCGTGGCAATATATACGATCGGTTTGACCTCGAGCTGTTGTCTCGGGAGCTGTATTTTCCTAGAACCTGTCTCGAGGCTCTAAAATATCCACTGAAATATAGTTTTACGAGATTTTCCTATAATATTTACACGCGATATGACTCCACCTACTACTCCTTGGGCTAAGATTTGGCAACCTGCACCTCGGTCCTGACACTATAGTTCGTCAAACCATGGGATAGACTCCTGTGCCCCTTTCCGCGTCACCGTCTTTGACGCTGCTAGATTCGCGTGGCGAACAGCCCTCTCGATGTCAAAATCGGGCTTCACAGCCTCTAATGCATATACACCGACAAAAGTGTCACCAGCTGCGGTAGTATCGACAGCTTTAACCTTTATAGCGTTGATGTGGCCTTGCGCACCGCTCGACACTGAATAGTACACTCCTTTGCTGCCTAACGTGATCAAGACATGCTTTGATCCCCAGTCATGGAACACGTTGGCAATCCTAGCCTGTCCTTCCTTTGTTTCTAATTCCTTTACGTCGTGTCCTGATAAGATAGCCGCCTCCGTCTCGTTAACGACTAGGTGTGTTACTCCCGGATAATACTGTTTTCCGATCTTCTGGGCCGGCGCAGGGTTGAAAAGAACAGGGACGTTGAGCCTCTGGGCGGTCGTGATTATCTGTGTGACGGTGTCTAAGGGGATTTCAAGTTGCATAATGATCAGGTCAGGTAAAGGTTGGGGCAACCCTGCAACGAATTCGTCAGGTCGGACAGTTGCATTCGCATGTGCTGAGAACATGATGCGATTTTCCCCAGTCGCCTCCTCAACAATGATAGTTGCAACTCCGGTCTTTTCTCCATTCCGGACTTGGATACCCGAGGCATCAATACCGACACCCTTGAGCCCGTTGACTACTAGGGGCCCATAGCTGTCGTCACCCACAGCCCCAATCATTTTCACAACCGCGACTCCACCCTGAACGTCATCCTTAGTACGTGAGACTTTGGCACATGCAACCGCCTGGTTTGCGCCCTTTCCCCGAGCCCAATGTTGAAGCCTTTCGCAGCAAGTGTCTCGCCGCCCTGAGGAATGCGATCAACGTAAGTAACAACGTCAACGTTGAGCGATCCAATCACCGCTATGATGGGCTTGTTCGTCATGGTTCGAAAAGAAGGTGGACGGATAAAAGAGACGGCTACAATGTATGAAGCCTCTGTCGTGATGCTGAGGATTCCGGGTGGAAAAGTTCACGACGCACTCGTCTTATTTTAGACCCCGCAGGTATTAACTCAGCTCTTGAGGTGACAAATCGAAGACAGACTTGAGCAACTGAGGTGGGGCAAGCGTGATCATGTGACCATTCTCTACGTGGATTAGTACATTCTCGACTGCACCGGATTAAACGATTCATTATCTAACATACCGAGACAATTGTCGTCTAAAGAGAAATTTCTTCTAAGAGATCGTTATTATACATTATTGAGAATGTCGCGTCGTCGAAAGGGCGCGCATCTGAACGAGGTTGAAAAATAAAACGACCAAGGTTTTGGTGAGGCATCCCCGTATATTATATCTCCCTTTCAATGTGCACGACTACCTTCGAAACGACCTAAGTATATTTAAGCCATGGCTTCATTCAGATCTCAACTCCGGGACCGCACCTGGACAAAGGCAGAATACTTCATCTCCACCAATCCCTCTCTCGTGCCAATACCGGCCTTAATTGAGGCCTTTGACTCTGATGATTTCTACTGGGCCAAGGCTCTTCCAGCACCGGCAATGGTAGAAATGCTTCACAACTCCCTCTGCTTTGGGTTATATCAGTCGCCTTTACAACCTACCGACGCTGAATCAACTAAACTAGGAGACGATAAAAAGCTCATTGGATTTGCTCGTCTCGTCACGGATTTCACCACCTTCTCCTACTTGACGGATGTCTGGGTGCATCGAGAATACCAGGGACAGGGCCTGGGCAGCTGGTTAGTGACATGCATCCAGGAGGTCGTTCAGACCATGCCGCATCTCCGGAGGAACGTGTTATTCACGGCAGACTGGGACCGATCTGTCCCTTTTTACGAAAAATGGATGAATATGAAGGTGGTCGAGTCAAAATTTGGATCAGGTCTTGCTCTGATGGAAATGAAAGGCAGGGGTCATCCTCGTTATGGGAGTGAAGGGAACTCGTACGCTTAGTTTATCACTACCTCGGTAGGCCTGAAAGATAAAGGCAAGAAGGATCAAATTCACCTCATCCAACGCTGTCCTTTTTCAGCTCACTCCACCAGCCAATAGCATCCATGGATCTCCTCCACCCCACGCACAGCGAGTGTGTTCTCACCAGCCGCATTATTATTGGCTCACTCCCAAAGGAGGGGCTGACGACGACATGCAGTATTCACTTTTTCCCCCGTGATGTGACTGAATTCTAGAGCCGCGAAACTTTTGAAAGCATTCTACAGCCAAGGCCATAGATTTACCTGTGTCGCAATGAAACGATTAAGGAATCTCGTATCAAAATCTAAGGGTAGGAGTTCTGAGAAGTCAGCGCCGGAGGTAGCGCCGCCCGTTGACACGCCGAGGGGAGGAAAGGACGGGCCAACCGTGACGACAGCGGAAACGCCGCCAGTCGAAGCCGAAACTTCTGACATTGTGAAAGGAAAATTGAAGGAGCTTTGGTAAGCATACCCTATCTCATAGGCGCTCGTTAGCCTAGTTCTAGTCATTGATGTAGAGTGTAGGCAGGAGGGGGTATCCCGAGGCAAGGTGGAACTTGTGAAGGGGAAACTCAAGGTTGAAAAGTCAATCGATGAAGCACTCGGCCTAGGGTCTAAGCCCAATGTGGTTCCAGCTGCGGAACCTGACATCTATGGTGGTCATCGCAAGGTAGAAATTGGCTGGCACCCGTGGCCGGCTTCGCTGGGAAGTGGTTTGCCGAGAAGACTGGCATTGGTCGATTGATTACGGAGAATATAAACAGATACCCTGACCCGACACAGCACTGGGCTATTCTTGTGGGAGATTATTCACACGAACTGTGGATGGTTTGGCTCGCCCTTCCCCGTGCGGACTAGGGACTGAATTTAACTTTCGAGGCAGGACGAGAAGCTAGACGTGATTTATATCAACGGCAAGGTTAACCGAGAGGAGTGGCACACATTCGAAGTCGGCAGGACCCGCTTCAACGACGAGGCGCTTCGGCAGGCAGGTGTGTATCCACCGCTTCTAACTTCTAACATCGCGAACTCTAAGCGACCGTGAAAGGCTGACTCTGTCGCTCCCAGGGGAAATGGTCATCTTCAATATGCGGCAGAAGAAGGCCGCATACAACTTGATAAGTAATAACTGTCAAAATTTCGCCGTAGCTATGCTAGATGCTATCCAAGTCGGCGCCCACATGCAATTTGCTACGAGCTTTGCAGTTTATCAGACTGCAACAGGGCTAGGCAGTATCAAGGGCCTGTTTTCTGAGAAGCCGCCGGAAGAGGAAGAGGAAGGAGGACCTGGTGATCAGCCATCCCAGTCTCACCAGAACGCAGTCCAACACGCTCAACATGTCATGGACCAGCACACTACCCAGCTAGACTCGCACACTTCTCGCTAGCGATCGGTGGTGCCCACTTTATACATGGTAGCTATCTGTCGGTACGATAAACGTATCGAAGTTAGTCTTACGCGTGCGCAGGGGAAAAGGCTGCCTATCATCATAACGAATTGTCTCGATAATTGTTCTAGCAAGCTTATGATGTGCATTTCCTCTTTTACTCTCGTGTCGGCATGCCATACAAATTGATTTCTTCTATAGCGTGAAGAGTAATTCTCTCCACGTGTCAAGATCTAGACGAAGGGCTCCGAACTTCAAAATACATAACTTGACAACTATAGTAACTTTAGCTAGCTAAAGTAAGAGCAACCGTCTATATCAACTGATAGCTACTATCATTCGTTACTCGAGACCACTTGCATTATTCCTATATCTTCCCATCTCTCCACCCCCTCAAATTCTTTTATAAGGTGCCCTTAGGCTAATTCGGATTGGCAGCTTCGTGCGACATATCCCGAGACTAGTCTAAAGCAATCCGGGCATGTTCCTAAAATGGTCTAATATCCGGGGATACCTCACTGGACAAAATCTAGGAAGTATCATAGCCTATATAAGTCGACAGTAAGGTGTTCTTCTAAGGGGCCTAACGGGGAAACGCGATACCCGTTCCTGATACGCACTATCATGCCAGTTGGCAACTAGTGTCGCGCAAGGATAAAAGATTTAAGTCCACACATAAATACCGAAAGCTTAACCTCTACTTAAATCCGCGGTCAGCGACGTTGACAAATAGCTAGGCATGGCGCTGATAGAGCCTAAATCATGATATCTTTCACTAAGCTTAAAATTACCGCCCTCATTCCCAAATATTCGTTACCGGGCTTTGGCCCTATTGGCAGTCGATTCTGAAAACAAAGATCCTCAAGAGGATTGCCTAGAAGCCATTGTGCCGGAGAAGCCCCGGTGCGACCCTGTACAATGCATCTCGTCACGAGGTGACTTATAATCGACTCTGGCTTCCTATTTCGCCAAAGGGCACTTGGACCTTACGAGGGATCACAAGCAAATTTCCTCCATGACCTTGTGAGCCGAGGAAAGGTCCTACCCCAACCATCCACAGCTCCTCCTCCATTACCTGTTCCGGAATCTGGTTGACAACTATTAGTGCCCCCATACCTGTCTGTGTCCGCATCTAGACAAATACCGGACCCCACAGTACCCCACCCCCACCCGCTGCGACCTTGAAGTACATCGCCCCAGATATTCCACGGCCGGCAATCGCAGTCTCTCCACCATTTTCATTGGCACCCTCCGAGTCTACTAGGTCCTACCTAGATGTGTGCACTTTGGGTGTCGCCATGACCTCGGTCTAGCTGTCGTACCCAAAATTCCTCGGGTATATCTTGGCCTTCCACACTTAAACAAATCCTACCCTCCCTCGCAAGATGGGGGCCATTTCTTAGCTTCGTGACGTTTTATGAGGGCTCGTGATGATTCGTGCGCCCTCAATCCGTTCGGTCCTACGTTGACGGTATCTGGTGGCTTTTATGTGACCATATCTCGCTCATGTGGTCCTGTCAGGGCTGATCCTCATTTTTCTTAGACTCAACGTAACCGCGCGATTAAAGGAAGACAAAAAACGATCTCTATAAGGCGGCGGGAATACAAAGAGGCCACCCATGACGCACGGTGTTAAGATGCAAGCTAGCTTGACAGCCTATACCTGAGAGCCTGATTGTAGTAAGAATGACAAACGTCGTCATTTCGGGAGGTGGTCCTGATGGTCGGGTAGGGTTTGGAGCTTCGTTCAACACTATAAATACAACGCGTCATGGCATTATGATTTTGATATGCGGTCCTCAGCTGGGCTACCCATCGTCGAGTGAGGATTTGCTTGTTTATTCGAATTCAATTCCTACCTATTAGAATGGGAAACTCTGGATCACAAATCAGTAGCTATGCCACTGCCGGTTACTACCCAGCTCCTTATGGGGGCTGGGTAAGCGACTGGAGGAATAGCTACGTGAGAGCCAAAGAGAAGGTGGATATGATGACCTTAGCTGAGAAAACCAACATCACTTCCGGCACTGGCATTTACATGGGCACGTACACAAATCTAACACTTCCATTTGTTCTATTTACTGTCTTCTAATTTTCGCCATAACACTATAGGGTACGCTATAATTTCTCCACGAGTTTCTGATAGGCTCCCTTCCTCTAACATGCTTTTTAGGCGCTGTGTTGGCAATACGGGGAGCGCAGAAAGGGTAGGTTTCCCACAACTCTGTCTCGGTGATGCGGCCAACGGTGTCCGCCTTGCCGATCTAGTCACGGTTTTTCCTGCGGGAATTACTACCGGCGCGACATGGGATAAGTCTCTCATGTACGACAGAGCGGTTGCGATGGGGAAAGAGTTCCGTGGAAAGGGAATCAATATCTACCTTGGCCCGTCGGTCGGGCCGCTCGGCCGAAAGCCCAAAGGGGGTCGCAATTGGGAAGGTTTCGGGTCCGACCCGGTTCTGCAAGCCATTGGTGGGGCTCTTACAATACAGGGTGTGCAAGAACAAGGCGTGATTGCGACTATGAAGCATTTCATCGGAAATGAGCAAGAAATGTATCGCATGTTTAATCCGTTTCAGTCTGGCTATAGTTCCAACATTGGTACGTATTTTCCTTGGCGGAGAAAATTTAAAACTACTTTACTGACATTTCTCTCGATCCTTGCCTCATTTTCGCAATCTTGAAGATGATCGGACCCTTCATGAGTTATATCTCTGGCCATTTGCGGAGGGTGTCCGTGCCGGCGTGGGATCTATCATGACCGCCTACAATGCAGTAATGCCGTCCCCAAGTTTTGCCATGCGCACTATACTCCCATCTTAATACATCTTGAGCTGGAACTGATTTATGCATAGGTCAACAATTCTGCATGCAGTCAAAACAGCATGCTAATGAACGGCATCCTCAAAGACGAGTTAGGTTTTCAGGGGTTTGTTATGTCCGACTGGCTGTCCCACATGTCTGGGGTTGGGTCTGCCTTGGCGGGCCTGGATATGAACATGCCCGGAGACACCCAAGTGCCCCTCTTTGGTTATAGCTACTGGATGTACGACCTCACGAGGTCGGTCCTCAACGGTTCCGTCCCTATTGACCGCCTAAACGACATGGCGACGCGCATCGTTGCCACTTGGTATCGTTTCGGCCAGAATGAGGACTTCCCACCACCTAACTTTTCAACCAACACGAGAGACCGCGAAGGGGATCTTTACTCTGCAGCTTGGCCATTCTCACCTCGCGGGGTTGTGAACGAGTTTGTAGACGTCCAGGCCGATCACCATCTCACTGCACGACAAGTTGCGCAGGACGCCATTACTCTTCTTAAGAACGACGACTCACTGCTCCCATTAACCACAGCCCGTTCTATCAAGGTGTTTGGCACAGGAGCACAGACAAACCCGGATGGTCCTAATGCTTGCTCTGACCGCAACTGCAACAAGGGAACGCTTGGTCAAGGCTGGGGCTCAGGGACTGTGGAATATCCGTATTTGGACTCGCCAATCGACGCCCTCAAGCTAAGGGTAAAGGACGTTACGTTTTATAACACCGACAAATTCCCAAGCGTCCCAACTGTTATTGAGAATGATGTTGCTATTGTGTTCTTAACCTCCGACTCGGGGAAAATACGTACACGGTTGAAGGCAACCACGGTGACCGAGACGGTTCCGGCCTCTACGCCTGGCATGGAGGTGACGAACTCGTCAAGCAGGCTGCAGCAAAGTATAAGAACGTCGTAGTCGTCGTCCATACCGTCGGGCCTCTCATTCTGGACCGGTGGCACGACTTGCCCAGTGTGAAGGCGATCTTATTTGCTCATCTGCCAGGCCAGGAGGCTGGGGAATCTCTCACCAACATTCTATTTGGTGATGTCTCGCCGAGCGGCCATCTTCCATACAGCATCACCAAGCAGGAATCAGACTTTCCCAACAGCATCACAACACTAGTTACCGGCTCTGGTGTTGCAGATGACTACGTCGAGGGATTGTAAGTAAGCCCTATTACCGTGCGACACTGCAGGTACGCTGACATTCATGGCCCACGTCGGCAGGTATATCGATTACCGATATCTGAATAAGGTTGGCATCAAGCCGCGCTACGCCTTCGGACACGGCCTGAGCTATACAAGCTTCACGGTTTCTCAACCAGCCGTCACCAAAGTTACCAAACTCACCTCTCTCCCACCCACCCGACCACAGAAGGGCAGTGTCTTAGACTACTCTGGACCATATCCTGACCAAGCCGAAGCCTTACCCCGTCTGGGTTCAACAAGATATTCCGATACATCTACTCTTGGCTTCAGCCAGATGAAGCTAAAGAGGCGGTCGAACATCGAAAGACTCGGAAGTACGACGCCTACCCGGTTGAATATAGCACGCAGCAAAAGTCTGGGCCGAGGGCCGGAGGTGGCGAGGGCGGTAACCCCGCGCTCTGGGATACTGGGTACAAGATTTCCGTCACCGTTCAAAATTCAGGCACTAAATACTCCGGAAAAGCGGTACTACAGGCCTACATCCAATTTCCCGATGGCATTCCCTACGACACACCAATCATTCAGCTCCGAGACTTTGCCAAAACAAGGGTTCTTCGGCCAGGGGAAAGTCAAACTTTAGAACTTAGGCTTACTCGGAAGGACTTGAGCGTGTGGGACGTGGAGATCCAAGATTGGGTGATTCCAGAAGTTGATGGAAGATTCAAGATCTGGATAGGCGAGTCAAGCGACCGCTTAACCACCGTCTGCTATACGGACAAGTTAGATTGCGAGCTTGGTGCGAAAAGCCCTGTATCATAACCTAAGGCTCTAGTAGCATTGAATAGTACTACTGGCGACGTTGCTAAGCACGCCTTCTATATCGACATTAAGAATTATCCCTGCATTCTTTCAGGCTCCTTCGTTGTCTACCGGCAGAGTCAAAGTTTTCCGGCGACAGCCACGCTTGAAAGCCTTTCTTCGCCAACGGCCATTCCTCCTTTGTCATGCTAAACCAAGCCGTATCGCGCCATCTGCCCTTGATCACCATATGCTTACTAGATTCAACGCATTAGAGGAGGATCGTATGAATATCTTAGCTACTCCCTTTTCTTAAACATACCGGAAATCTCCTTCATAAACAAACCCGAGTCTACGGGCAGCAGATAAGCTGGCTTTGTTCAAATTGTTGGCTTTCCACTCCACACGATGATACCCTAGCTGCTCAAAGGCGTTCTGAATGAGAAGAAAAAGGCCTCGCTGGCTGCACGGGTTCTCTTAAGGTCCTCGCTGAGAATAACTGAGCCAATCTCAATACGGAGGTGGTCGGGGACAATGTTGAGGTAGGACATATGTCCCGCAGGCTCGGAGGTGGGGTCGGACGCTGGTCCGGTGAGCACGGTAAAGAAACAAGGGTCGTTCGACTCTCTGGATTGGCGAATGCTTGCCTCACAATCGTCTAGGTCCTTAAATCCTGACGAGAACATGTAAGTCCACAGATATGACTTTTCTTCTCCACCCAGATGCTTATAGAGCGAGGGCGCATGGGATGGGTCGAGCGGGATCAGCGAGGTGTATTGCCCGTGAAGCGGCACACGCGGCGGTAAACTTGCCGCCTCTGTAGGGGCCGGTGGGCCTACCGGAAAATCCATTATTGAAGGGATTCTAAGCGTTTATAGCGGCTATGGTGAAGAATTGAAGGAAGGGGGTGCGAGCCATAGGAACCACGGTCTACCGAGGTATATTATCTTGTCTCGCACTCTAACCCCGCCCGAGCGATGACTCATTTCTTACTGATCCTAAGGGCTTGCCCATTAGCACTATCAGTTGTCAAAATCAGCATTGAGTTAGTTAACTGCTCACACTGCTAGGATATGTAGATACTATAGTGCCTCTATTTCAGCCCTTAATTGACTTTCAGACCAGGATGCCGACTACAGGGAGGCTCACCGCGTTCCGTAGGATTTCGCCCCTTATAAATACTAAATTCACCATCAACCTTTCTAACACCCCTCGGACCTATCTAGAGATATCATATAGTAGGGTTGGTTAAGTTAACGCGAAGGTTTTATACCGAAGACGAGTGATGTTATCGCTACATCCACCTTGAATTTATATTAGATGAGTATCATTGATTCAATATCATACAATAGTCGATGTGGCTCAACGGGCTTATAAAACCGACTTTGGCGAATCCCAATAACGCCCCTCACCAAACTCGATCGTCGCATCTTCCATCCGCAAGCCAAGATGCCATCGGCCGATTCCAGGCCAAAAGTTGTCACCCCCGGCCTCCCCAGCAACACAGCCGCTGTCATCGGTTTCCTGGCGCATGTCGAACCAGCCGACTTTTGTTTTCCATGAGCTTTGGATCGGGTCAATGGCACACCAACGGTCTGTGCCGGGCAATTCCTTCTCGGAAGCGTCCTTGCCTTCGGGTAAAGGGGTTGAACCAAGGTAGCGTCAATGCCTAAATAATTAAAAAGACGTGCGGAGAAGGGAAATGCGGGTGCAAACGGTACGGGCCTAAAAGACACTTGAAAGAATGGCGCTTTTGACGGGACAGACTCGGAAGCATTATAAGATCCCGATTGTCCAGGGTCGGGACTAGTGTCGTGAGGGTAGACTTTAACAGTTGTAGTAGATGTGGATGAATCGGTATGCCATTCAAATGCGGCAAGGTGTTTTGGGATGTTCCAATCTACCTCTCGTTAGATCCATTGTAATCAAATAGATGGTTGTCTTCTATACGGCCCAAAAAGACAGGAGGGACGATCATATTGTCTGGGCCCGTCGGCAATGATAGTAGAGGTCGAAGCCCTTGGCCTCAAGTAGGCGCGAGAAAAGAATAGGGGAAGAAGGGAAAGAGAGGCATCATATATAATGTGGGTTAAATAATAGGGGAAGGAATTGTGAGGGGGAATCAAGATGTTGATAGTGCGACTCACTTATTCGGCCATTCCAACAGGTGTACTTTTGGGAAACGTATATTCTGGTGATTCTGGCATTGCGTTTAGTGATGCGCCGGCCCGTGTTCTCATCCTCTACGGTGTATTGATGAAATCCTGGGATAACAAGGAGCTCGTCATACGGCCCCACGGGGATTCTGTGTAGCGAATGATTTGAATAACGCTTAAGCCACCTAAGGGTTTGCTACCGTCGGGCGAAGCAAATTGTGTCCCCGCCTCAAGCGGGGAATAGGCCATTGTGGGCATATTTTCAGCTTGAGCTCGTGGAGTCCACCAGGCGAGCTGGTAGACAGTGCCTTTTAAGGTCCATGGAGCAGCAACATGTGCAATATCGTTTGGGGGAGCGTAGACATCTTCGTGGATGTGAGGTGATGCGATCCTGAGAATTAATTCGCTGGGGCTTCGGTTTTTAGCGGAACAAACGAGAGACGGTGAAATGCAAATGCTGAGGCGGCGCAATTATCAGGTTGCGTTGATCGAATCTCATTCCGTCCCGTGCCGAGGTGCATGAGTCTCCAATCTGTTAGCTTGTCTGCCGACAGCTGATAGCCAAACAGAGCGTCAATGATGCTCACTGCTCGGAATTTGCATAGCGAGAAACAGCTTGAGGGCAGCGCTCAAACAAAAGCAGGCAGGTCAAAGCACATTCATGTTTCACCTCTGTGATGACTAAGGTATTCGGAACATAATAACTCCATCACCCATATGGATTTGCTCCTTTCACCTACCTTCGTCGCGGTCAAGAAACGAGGATAGTTCGGTATCCGGAAAGTGACTATTAAATTGCAGCCAATGTACGCTGTATTATTAGCTGCTAACATATTTCGTATAGCGCTCACTTAATCCTTTAGGCATCAGATACAATTTTTCGATTTGACGTAAAATCGACTGTAACCTTGTTGATTTTCTCCGCTTCAGAAACAGGTAATCTTCGAAAGACTTCCTAGATTAATATACCCCTTCGAAGTCGCCCCGTCACCCTCGTCTCGTGAATATTATCGATGCTAGAAATCATACTCCCTCTGCTCTCTTGGGCGTAACGACAATGGCAACGGACTCTTTAATATATGAGGAGAAGCTAAGCGAAGGAAGTAGAGAGATAGCTATGAAGTATGTGGTATAACCACGGCGAATCTAGAGCTAGCTGAAAAACCTGCTATGAAACGATCGGTTCGCCATCATGCTAACATAACACAAAGAGTATAATACGAAAAGAGGGGATCTATATATTTTGCAGAGCCGCCAAATCAACGAGCCGCAAAATTGTCCGACCTTAGACGATATCTGTCCGTCCGTCACTGCGTTCGCAATAAAGGGCTGTTATTATAAACAAACGTAAGCTTTACGCAGCATAGAACGAGTTATAGCCTGTTTGGAAATATTGGCGAAGCTCTTCCTTTTACCCCTAACATAGATTATACCTAAAGGAACTAAAAATAACAGACTAATGCGAACGGAGCATAAGCGAAGATGGAGAGAGAAGACCGGTGGCTCCTCCTCCCGTTCCGCCAGTCATGGGTTCTTCCGGGGGTGCTAGAAGACAGAAGGCGCTTCGTACATAGGATAACAGGGCTTTCATAAATAAGTCTATGAAAATATTATATCTAGGATAGGGTTCTAGGAAAGGACATAGTAAGGCGCTAGAAGCTAGTCCTTGATTGTTGTAGGGCTATTCCTAAAGAACAATTATGGCGAACACTTTCTAGGGGTCAACGGTAAGCCGAGTGCAGTGCCCCGGGGCATCAAAGTGGTAATTGTAAGGGGAGGGTGTTATACCTCAAGTGAACACGGACGGAGATCCCCAAACATCGTGGACCCGTCGAGCGCCGGCGCTCTGATGGACACTGCCTCAGGACTATCATCCGTTATATGTACCGTAGAGAACGTCATTACAAGATTTGACACTAAGTATGTAAATGGCTGACACGCCTAGATAGTTTAAGGCGGGGATTTCGCGGCAAGCAAAAGCCATGCTCCTGGATGGGCTCTCGGAATGTGACCCACCATCAAGGGGCACCTTGCTTCACTCGTGGCCGTACAAAAGAACCCAACCCTCTTCTGTGATTCACGCGTTCTTTGACTAAGGCTAGTTGATGCGGGCAAAAGGAGCTAAGTCATGAGCGCCGGCGGCCTTTAGGTGAGCCTCGACAAGTTAACAATTAGACTCCATATCTCGGGTGGCACACAGTCAAGTAAGGAAATAGTTGAAGATGGTCTCGTCAACTGACCTGGGAGATCAATTGATCTTCGCAATTCCTAACACTATCTAGGAAAGTAACGGGGACGCCAATAGGGAAGACGAGGAAAAATTACCGTCGTCATCATTCCTCCAACGCCAATCCCTTTGAAGCACAGTCCCCTTTCTTACTCCGCCGGAATTCGAGGGCCTAGCGCTGAGAATGCTGCCCTTATTTCAGACTCCGGGCCGCGGATACCTCGGCTCGTGGAAGCGGGTCGTCTGATCGAGCTCTCCGGCGGCCAAGGGTTATTGCTATTACGATCCTCTTCCTAATATAGTGAAGAAATGAGAACAGAGAAAATAGACCTAAGGGATTGTCAACGACTCTATGGACAGAACTTGATCAACGCGTGATGAGGGGGCTCCTAATCGTTTAGCTTCTACTTTTCGTCATTTCATGTCATCTCTCCTTCTCTTTCTGTCTCCCCTCCGTCTCCCTCTCCGTCTTTTTCTCTATCGCCTCCGGCTTCCGTCTGAAGACATAATCAACTAAATGAAAAAGAAAATAGGCCACTAACATCTCTTTATTTGTTATCCCATAAACTCTTCCACCTGGGGGCAGAACTCCAAGTTCCCCAATGTTGGGGTGCTCGTCATGGCTAGACTAGCTTGGCACGCTGGGTCGTGCGTACGGGTCATGGCGAGGGTGCCCCTTCAACGAAGCGTCATCAGCTGGAAATCAGCAAGAACCAAGTCATTTTAGGTTAGCTATATTCTACCCCACACCTCGACAGTATCTCTAGGGACTTCTTGAGGTGTTGGGGATGAATATGGAAAATTTCCCGACGCTAGTATCACCATGCCTGCAGCAGCTTACACCCTGATAATCGTCAAGCCTATCAATTGATGTTCTAAGCCAGTCCTTGTCAGTGTGGTAGACTTCCCTTTAGCACGGCTCCTTGTAAGGGCGCAGCCGTGGTTGCTACTAAGGATAGCTTCCGTCAAATTGCAGCGAAACAAAAATGTAACTACAATCTCAAACGGGTCTCATGAAATATGTAAAGTGAGGCTCACACAATGTCAGCCGGAAACAATGGAGCGAGGATCGCTTTGTAACGAACGGGCACTAAGACGAACTACCCCATGGGGACTACGATAAGCACCCGTCGGGGAATGGGTCGATGTGGCAACGTGGAATTGTCCCTACCCCACACTCAGCACATTTTCGATTCCCCTGGTACCCCAAAAGGTGGGGATATTTCCGGAGCAAAACGCAGCATTGAGCTCTACAGTCGCCCGACAGGGACGGCTGACTGGTTTTTCGTCAAGCACGTCTTCTGTCACCGAGCCGTGGACGAAAATTGTAATTGCTCTGTAGAGGGATAGTTTGGAGGAAAGCTGACGATTGAACTTTCATGAGATCAATATCTCTACCACTGAACAATTCCGTGGATTATGTTTGTAGCTCATGCTGTTCAAGCATAGCTACGACATCTCCACACTGAGACTAGAGCTTGCGAACTCACCTGATCATCACCACCTGGCTGCATCCATCTATGTGGGACCTGCCCCGCAAAGATCTCGCAGATCGACCATTCTCGTAGCCTTGAAAATATGGTTCTCCAACTCCTTGGGGAATCGATCAACCACTTCCCCGCCTATGCCACATGTCTCTTAGGGTCAACTCACCGTTCAATCCGGGGATGGTGGACCCGGATCCAATTACGTGCATTGGAAGTTAGACTTTATGCTCAATCGCGACTGTCTGCTGTTTTCGCTGGTAATTCTCGTTGGTCTAGGGTTGTTGTCATTGAGCAAGGGACAAAGGGGTATTTTCCGGGCGTGCGGAGGGGAAAAAGCACGGAACGCGGATCCCGCCGTCGAGTCCGCCATCGGTCCAAGGGATGTCCACTCGTGGCGGTGGAATACACACGCAAGTCACTTCCAATGTGGCACCCCCTTCTCTGCCCCTTTTCTTTCGCTCGTTAGCCAAATACCAAAAGAGGAACTGTTTCGGACCAACGACAGCACGACGCACGATTCACTTCCAAGTTTCTTCCCGCTCAAAATCTGTACGCGCGCAGTTACAGCCCTCCCCACACACCACTCATTAGCGTGACGATGACAATAATACGGAATTTGAACAGCAGGGGGATTCGGATTGTAGGATTGGAATGAGCCCATGTCTACCTAGACAGGACATGAGCCTTTAGCTCTCCTTGCTCTTTGTCTCGATTCACTCGAGAAGGGATAGCTTATAAGACACCCTTCTCCCCCAAACCTCAGCAGATGTCGTCCTCGTTTTGCACATCGGTCTACCCTCACTCTACTCTTACCACAGCAGCTAAGAACCTCCCATACCTTCTACACGTCTACGAGCAGACCCTTTCCAAAGAATTTAACAATGGAAGACAAGATGAACAACACCCCTTCCCATGAGGACCTTGGGCACAACATCACCCGGGGCCTCACGAACGGAACGGGAATCACAATGCCTCCTGAAGTCTTTGAGAAGCTCTATCTCTCGCCCCACAACAAAGTGAAGGGAAGTCTAAGGCAAACTTTTGCGAACCCTACACCCATGTGAGTCTGCTACATGCGTCATGGCGCCCCGACTGGTCGCGCGAAGACTGACTGAATGAAATATTTAGCGGTATCTGTGGATTCATCATCGCACTAGGGCCTCTGGCTTGTAGTTTGATGGGATGGCGGGGAGCCGCAAGCCCTGGTTTCTCAGGAATGTACGTACTCGGTCCCATCGCACCTGCTGCTTGCCTCCGACGACTATGCTCTTTTGGTTATCATACTTACGCAATCGCCTCAGCCCCCAATACATCTACTTCGGTGGCATTCTGATGATCTTAAGCTCAATACTCGAGTTCTTCCTCGGAAATACGTTCCCTGCTGTGGTCTTTTCGGCCTTTGGCGCCTTCTGGCTCACCTTCGCCGGCACTTTACTTCCTCAGTTCAATGCGTTTGCCGCATATGCTCCCGCAGACGCAGCAAGCGCCGCCGAGGGTCTACAAACGACTGAATTTAACTCCGGATTCGGTTTGTACCCACCGCGCCTTTTGTCTCTCAAGGTGAAGCATACCAAGGGGCCCGGTTGGCTAATCATCTCTCTTTCTCTCCCAGGCTTCTATACCCTTTCCATGGCGCTCCTCAGCTTTGTTTTCCTGATTTGCTCGTTTCGGACCAACATTCCGTTTGTCATCATTTTCTTCACGCTTGTCCTGGCCCTTAGTCTGATCACCGGCGCGTATTGGTCTCTGGCCGGTGGATACCTCGAAAATGCCGCCTATGCTACGAAGCTGTTGCAGGTAAGAGCTACGACAACCCTGCCAATTTCTATGCCCAGTCTCGACACACAAGCTAATGGAAGTTGATAGGCCTCTGGAGCGTGCTTATTCGTGACCACTGCGTGCGGCTGGTGGATCTTTATGGCGCTGATGTTGGCATCGGTTGATTTCCCGTTCTCGCTCCCTATTGGAGACTTGAGCACACGGGTGCCCGGCTCCCGAAAGCCTGCAGACTGCGAGGCGTAAATCATGTTGCTATGCTCTATTGATGGATAGGTTGGGAGGTGCATGTGCGTGCCTGGGTGCGTGACAATGGTTCGGGACGTAATGGGTCGGAAACGCATCAATGTGGCGAAGGGATTGTAGGCTAGGCCTGAGATATTGCCATGGGATGTAGGACAAATATTGCCTGTTTACGGAAGGAGGTGATGTTCCTGTTAATATTAGTAGGACTTCTAATATACCTCTTAATATTGCAAACAAAGTAGATGATAGATGTCTTCTCGATTAAAAGGAAAGAAAAAGGAGGAATTATTATATGTGAGCCCATCTAATGAGCTGTAGAATGTGTAATCAAAGCGTAATTCAGGAAACAGTTATAAAAAGAAAAAAATCTAGCTGCCAGATTGTAGTGGGGGCACAAGCGGAGCATGATATGATGTAATCTGTTGTTGCCGCCGCTGTCCATTTTCCTAACTTGAGCGGAAACCCAACAGCCGATATTTATCCGAACCCAGCGCTAAGGATCCTGGCTCTGGAGTCGCTAGGCAACGTCACGTGTTATCGTGATTTGAGTCGCTCCCTGAAGATTTCTTTGCAATCAGTTTGCAGTTTTCGACCTCTCATCAATTCAATTTTTTCCTCCACACTTATTCTTTGCTCAAAATTCCAAATCGGCATTAAAGCAATGGAAAAACGAGGACGTCGAAGACGCGGTGGTCGCGGGCCTCGTAACCCGCAACAGGACAGGACCCATCATCTCGGCCGATCAACCCAAGAGTTGTCGCGGCCCGACAGCGACTTGTCGGACGCGGTTATGGAGGTATCGAAACCCCAGTTATCGGAACCCGTTCCCGAAGATACGCCCAGATTCGCCGATCTTGCAGGACGGGACCTCATCCATCCCGTCCTTATCCAGACAATCACAGAAGATCTAAAATTTGATCGAATGATGCCTGTTCAGGCTGCAACCCTCACCGAGCTTCTTCCTCCTAACCGCAGCGATTGTCTCGTGCAGGCCAAGACCGGGACGGGAAAAACCATCGCGTTCTTGCTTCCTGCTCTGCAAACGATGATTTCGAGGAACCGGGGCCCGGACTCCGGTATCTCGTTGCTCGTTATCTCACCGACACGTGAGTTGGCGATGCAGATCGGCGAGGAGGCTCGCGGTCTCCTCCAGCGCCTGCCCAGATATCGCACATGCATTGCCATTGGTGGCACCAGTAAGCAGCGTGAGGAGAAGCAAATTCTCGGTGGCTGCGATATCCTCATCGCCACCCCCGGTCGTCTTTTGGACCACATGTCAAATGAGGAAGTTCAGTTCAAGTTCCGCCAACTGGATACACTCGTCCTTGACGAGGCCGACCGGCTCCTTGACATGGGATTCCTACCTGCTCTCAAGGATATTGTTAAGCACTTACCCGACAGGAAGGAGAAGGAGAGGCAAGGAATGCTGTTCTCGGCCACGCTGGGGTCTCACATGGACAAGGTGTCTGGCCTCGTGCTTGGACCTGAGCACAAATTCATCTCAACTATTCCGGCCGGCGAAGCTAACACACACGAGCGCGTTCCCCAGTTACTGATCACAGTCCCCACGTTTTCATTAGTGGCCCCAGCCATGGTTGGCTCCGTCTATGAAGAGATGGCCCTCGTCGGGAAGGACATCTTCAAGGCTATTGTCTTCGCGCCCACCGCTGCGCTTGCTGATTTCTACGGCATCATCTTGTCCGAACTCCCCGGCCTCCCCTGCCTCCATCCTTCACTCTAGGATATCCCAGAGCAAACGTACCAAGGTTACAAACGAGTACCGGGATGCCAAGGCGGCCATTCTCGTTGCCACGGACGTGGTCGCGCGCGGTATGGATTTCCCCAACGTCACCACCGTGTTCCAGGTTGGCATACCTGTTGAAAAGCAGTCTTACATTCACCGCATCGGCCGTACTGCCCGAGCTAGTGCTGAGGGCCGCGGTATCTTTGTCGTTTGCGAAGATGAGGCCTGGTTCCCGAAGTGGACGCTCAAGGATATTTCTTTTGTTGCCCATAACGCAGATCTCTCCTCTGCCGACAAAGTTTCCGCCATTGCCGAAAGGATTGACGAGAATGAAAAGGCCAAGATCTACCAGGCGTGGCTTGGCTACTACAAGAACCACCTCAAAGGTCTTAGATGGGACAACGTCCAGCTCGTTGCCCAGGGTAATACGTACGCTAGGGATGCGCTCTTCGCTCCCGAAACACCACCCATCGCGAAGAGCATTGCCGGAAAGATGGGCCTGCGCGGTACCAAGGGCCTTGTCGTTGTACCGGACCCCCAAAACAAGGTCGTGGTCCTGGCAGAGGGGGTAGAGGGGAAGAGGCCAGCAGCGCGGCGGAAGGGAATGAGTTTTGCACCTCACGTTCAGATAACTAGATCCTCGGCTCCCTCATGCCGTCTACCCTCGACTCTGTCAACAAAAGGATCCTTGTCAGAGGAGCGCGACATAGGTATCGCCAGACTGGGCGTTCGGTGGTCCCCTGCAGATGTCTTCTATGCCTGCAAGGGAGAGGAAAATTTGCTGCCCAGGCCGAGGGTGCCGAACAATCATTAGTGTCAACGCACCCTTGAGCCCGCACTGTTCCGGGTATTGGCTTGAGGGTGCAGGTTCCTGCAGCTGCGGTGCCAAGAAAAACAGCGTACCCCAATTCATGTCTACTTTATTTGCCTTGCCTGCCTTGCCTGCTTTTCTCATCTTACATGTCCTCAAGAATCACAGGAAACAGGTTGATCCCCAGTCCCTGTTATCATGGTCTGCTAAGATGAAACCTATCTTCGAGACTAGTCTTGAACGTGGGTGTTGTCGCCAAATAAATAGAATGATGTGTCCCTTTTCAATCAGTCCTCGATCGACTTTTTGGGGTATCCTCGTGTCTCCAATCCCGTCTCGCAGACAACGCCCCTGGTTCCTTCCAGAGGATTTACGCCCGCAGCTTTCTGATCTCTTGTGAGATCAAATCGGAACAGCATTCCAAACGTGGTGCTAAGGTGATGGGGCTTTGTGCCTCCCTTGCTTCCCTCCCTCTAGGATGGCTAGATATAGCCGTACGTACCCTTGGCGATATCCCTGAACGGCAGCAAACAACAATCTAAGGGTTTCCTCCCACACCATGCGCACAATTCCCCCAGCTTCCACCACGGGCCAGCTATCCCTGCCGAAAACTCGCTACACTTGTGTTGAATGAAGATGTACATATGACCGCACTATGCCCCGTGAAAAGAACGGCGTAAAGTTTCCCGGCTTGCCTCATGCGGGTAACTGTGTTGTCTCATTTTATCTTTACTGGCCTACTTTTCCCAATTTTTCGTTTTCGATCACTTTCCACGAAACTTTCGGTATCTCCCTCCCTCTTCGCCATGGACCACCATGATGCGGCCGTTGAGAAAATTTCGAGCACAGTCAAGGCATTCCACGAACAGAAACAGCCATTCCGAATCTACCATGGCAGCACAAACACTACTCGCCGGTCAACCCGATCGGTAGACACTGTGGTTGACTTGAGCGAATTAAACCGTGTCCTTGCCATCTCTGCCGACAAAAGCACGGCCATCGTCGAGCCCAATGTTCCTATGGATGCCCTTGTGGCTGAGACGCTCAAGCATGGTCTGGTCCCTCCAGTCGTCATGGAATTCCCTGGTATTACTGCAGGGGGTGCCTTTTCTGGCACAGGTGGAGAATCAAGCAGCTTTCGATGGGGGACGTTTGATCGGATTGTAAACAGAATCGAAATTGTGCTGGCAAACGGCGATGTTCTGTGGGCAAGTGAGGACGAAAACTCGGATCTTTTCACCGGGGCTGCGGGGTCCTTCGGTACTCTCGGCATCGTTACACTCCTCGAGGTTCAGCTCGTACCGGCCCTGAGCAAGCTTGTTGAGCTCACCTACCATCCCGTCCAGAGCGTGGGAGAAGCTAACAAAAAGCTCCACGGTTTCTGCGTGACAGACCCAAAATGGGACTACGTCGATGGCATCATGTTTAGCAAAGATTCGGGAGTCATTACTACAGGGAGACTCATGACCGAGGGCGACGAAAGCCTAGTGACGGCTCGGTATATGCGCGCAAGCGATGATTGGTATTACACCAACGTTCAGATGAAACTCGCCTCGAAGACGGGCGGGTGGGTAGACATTGTCCCTATCCAAGACTATCTCTTCCGTTACGACCGTGGTGCTTTCTGGTGTGGAAAGTATACGTTTGAAGCTCTTCGCCTGCCGTTTAATCGCTTTACCCGATGGCTCATGGATGGCTCGATGCATACCCGAGAGTTATTCACTGGGCTTCACGCGACAGAATCGATTATGGAGTGTATCATACAAGATCTGTGTATCCCATCAGCCAAAGTGGAAGATTTTGTCTCTTATACGATAGACGAGTTCAACATCTGGCCATTGTGGCTGTGCCCAATTAAGCAAAATGCCGGGCGAGGACTATTTCAGTTGTCGCCGGCGCCATCGACCGCGGGCCCGGAATCGCTAGCAAATCTATGGATCAATGTCGGCTTATGGGGGTTGGCACCACCTAACATTGAAGAGGCCATCGCCGCGAACCGAAGACTAGAGAAGTCTGTCAAGGAATTGGGGGCTATAAATGGCTTTACGGACAGACATTCTACACGGAGGAGGAATTCTGGAGCATCTACGGGAAGGAGGAGTACTCTGCGTTGCGAGACAAGTATCATGCTTCTACCCTCCCGAGCGCGTATGACAAAGTTAAGACCGAGGCAGGGACCACGACGCCACGCTTAGGTGTTTGGAGGGCACAGATGAAGATTTTCCGGGGGAAACCTTCCTCCGCAAAAAGTGAATCGGGATGCCATGAAGGCTCCCAACGGACCGCGCCGAATACATGCAAGGAGCGACACTCGTACATGTGTGGACCATATCCATTTGTCTCCGTCGGTTCAAATAGGTGCGGCCGGTGTCGTGGAGAATCATGTCAATCGCCTTAGACCTTCCCGCAAAGAAATTGTCAGAGGCAACATCGTGATAGGCCTTGGCATAAACAGGCACCCCTAGACATCCCTAATTATAAGACTTACATTTGACCATGTTTCGGGCTGTGGTGTTCTCGAGCTATATGCTACAGTGACATCGCCTCACCGACTTCTTATGTCGAGGTTGAGCTCGCGAAGTTTAACCCCTGGCTGAATGGGTCCACTTCGCACTAATAGGTTGTGGCGTATTACAGTCCATGTCGTTACAAGATGAGATTAGTGTGCGCAGCGTTGGAAGGATTTCTTGTGCCTGGCTCTGCTCCACCCAGCCACAAGTTCGGTTCGGTTGTGCTCGCCATTACAGTGCGACTCGGCCACTGTTCTTACAGTTTTAACCCCGCGCCCAAGTCGAGAAGCCGACGGTCGGAACCGAACTAAAACAAGACATTTGCAATTGCGGGGCGTTGGAAAACAAAGGAGGGCTGATAGAAATCTCCCTTTTTCGCGTTCCTTTTTCTCATCGCGGCTTCAATGGCTCTGACATCGATTATTCGTAAGGCGCTTTCTAAGCCTTCCCCGGCATTCGGGTTCTGGCTGACGTAGGTTTTCTCTTCTCATTGCCGGTGCTCTACACCAGCTTCTCCTAACCACACATACTGACCATCTGTGATGTTTCAAGGCTCCCGAGCACGGCGATAGCGAGGACTGTCCTTCGCTCAGCGTCCAACTCGCCTGCTTCTCCGCTTTCGTGGGTGCTGATAGATGGTGAACACGGATTGATCTCCGAGAAGGACTACTATGATGTACTGGGACTTTCCCATTCCCCTGCAATGGCATCAGGCTGACCATACCCCAAAGCTGTCTGCAACAGTCGCTAGTGAGGGATCTAGTCCTATTATCCGAGTTCCCTGTGCAGAGGAGTGGATGATCAAGAGGGCTCTTGATTCTGGGGCACATGGCATTTTGACCCCCATGTGCCACACCGCGGTATGCTTTTTCAAAACCCGCACCAGATTGCCGGGCCTTCGGGGTCCAAAGAATAGCCGCTGATATTCCAGTAGGAGGATGCCGCGCGGATTGTCAAGTACTCTAAATATCCCCCAGCCGGAAGCCGTGGGTACGGTCCGTCGTTTGCGGTTCATTCGTTTCCGTCACTGGCACCGGGGCCCACTTATGAAGTCAACGCCGACAAGCAGCTCGTGGTCATGGTGCAGATCGAGTCCCAGTCGGGCGTGGACAATGTGGAAAAGATTGCTGCCACTGAAGGGCTCGATATCTTGCTTATCGGTGAGTTGACCCTGAGAAGAGGACGTTTAGGGGAGCGGGCTTTTGCTGAGATCTCACGTTTCTAGGCCCTTTTGATCTTGCCAAGCAGTTGAATGTCACTTGGGGCGGCCCCGAGCACGAAGCGGCTATTGCGCGTGTGTTGAAGGCTGCTCAAGACAACAGCAAAAAGGCCGCAATCTTTTGTTAGTGACCCCTCCCCTTGCCTTTTTTTTGATCCAGTGACATGCGGCTGTGACTGCGCTCTTGCCGCTCGCCACTTCATGAAGGACGTCACATCTAATTTGATGCATAGGCACCAACGGAGATCAAGCCCGCGTAAGGATCGAACAAGGCTTTGACATGGTCTCTATCGCGACCGACGCTACGGTGTTGGCGGAGGGGATGATGCGTGAACTCGGCGCATCACAGGGTCTGGATGGACAACGTAAGGAGACCGCGAACCCAACATACTAATTTACACTCTCGGGTCTTTTCAGGGTCATGCTTGAAGCTAGATATATATTTAAGGCATTAATATATTAAGGCATCAAATAGTCGATATTACATTAAACCTCAATATGTTGCCTGCGAACCTGACGGCCAAGCGTTAGGTAGACCCGACAGAGGACATTATTGTCTTGCCCTCCCGTTGCCTCCTCGGTCTACCCTCAAATGATTTCTAGCCATTGCTCCAAACTCGTTCTATTGATAAAACTGTTTTGAGGGTCCCGCCTCGGACTCATCTACAGACGGCAAACAGTCATGAGCCATCGAACCCCATGCGTAGTATGTCATAACAGTAGAACATTATGTTTGAGTGCTATCAAACCTTTGTTTAATTCATCATAATTTTGGAACGAGCTGGTCGCCTCTAGCAGACAGAGGCTTTGCCGAGGCGGTCGTAAACTAATGCTTCTTCATAGTTGCAGCATTTGGACATGCCTACGAGCCTGGCGGCAGTGCAACACGCAAAACGGCGTCTTTTCTGGCCCATGGATGAAGCTTTTAGGAAAGTCAGGGCTAGGAGGCGACGCGTGCCATCGCACCTGTCGCACCTCCAGCGCATCCACAATTCTCAGGAAGGGATTGCGCAAGCCATCAGCAGTCCCTACGATCTCGGCTTTGACAATCTTTCTTGCCAACGACTTCCACTCAGCCGGAGTCACATCGAGCGGAAATAATGATGACAAGGCGTGTTGTGCCGGACGTATATTCCCGGAGCTCAGCTGACTGAGCGTCCAGGATTTTGTTTCGCCCCGAATCTGGGCTTCTTGGGCTTCGGCATCGATAGCGTCGACAATACTACGATAGCTCTGCGCCATAGAGACCAGTACAGTGCAGAGAAGTTGGGTATTTTGGACGCTGGTGAGGTATCGGACTGGGCAGATGTCACAGTTGAGTGCATGAATCACATTCCCTCCACAACGGCGAAGCAAGGCAAGACTTGCGGGGAATCTGACTTCGTTCAGACCCTGAATTTCGTCGAGGATCAAGTATAGCGTAGCGAGGCAGGCGCATGTCCTTTGGGAAGTGGGGAAGGGCTGATTTGGGGCAATCGTATCGGCTGGTGGCGAGCTTCCGGAAGAAACACTCATTTTAGCCACCCAGTTGTCAGTTCGGGCGCCTTGAACATACGAATTAGATCCGAGCGAGGCCGCATCCTGCATTGTTGATATCATGATCGTGTCGAGGGCATCATCGTAAGCACGAAAGTCGTCGATGTCTGAGTCTGGAGAGCTCCGTGCAGCCTGACCAGCAGCGTAACTATCGCATTTGTTCGTCTCGAAAAGTGGTTCAACGTTGCAAGGCGGTAACAGGGTGAAGCGGGTCGGGATACGTGATGTGCATGACCCCGACAAAAGATTTCGGTGGTAGCCAAGGTCGATCTTTCGCCGTTTCGGTCGGCCGATGGGGGATGCCTTTGCGTAGTAGCAATCAGCTCCAGATCGCTCACACCGGGCGCATCGAGGGCGCTCGCCATTACATCTCTGCTTCTTTGATCCTATAGCAACCGCGTGTGAGTTCACTGAAACCTCGGGATTGCAGAAGACGGAGCTAAGATGAAAGGGGGTGAACTACTGCAGTGCTCACAGGCCGCGCGCTGCGCATGACCCGTTCGCGATGGTGTGAGATCTTTCATCTCTGTAAAGCTATACGACTGGTGTTACGCAAGATCCGAGTCCTCCGGCGAAATGGGTGTGTGTGCTTCGATATTGCTCTCCTTGACCACTTTGTCTGGGGCAATTGTGACGATGTGAGGTGACTTGGGGGAGCAGTTGTATTTTTAAGCCGGCGCCTCCCCACTCAACGTGACGGAGACTTTTCTTCGCCCTGAGTGGTCAGGAGCATGACCTGCTCACCAATAATCGATAAGCAAAGTCTCCGGCGGGTCTTTCGACCAGTGGCACCACGCTAGTGCAAAGTTGGCCGGCTTGCTTGATCTGATCATATAATCAATATTGTTAGTCTCTACCGACCGCCTCGGCTTCGGCGTAAGGCCGGCGCGGGAAGCTGGCTGCCGGCATGTACTGGACCCCATGGACTGGGCTAAATTTGCCGGCGGTATATAAGATGCCTCTGTAGCGTGCTATGAGTTGCTAGCCGTTAGTTGTGAGCGTAGCTCTCTCCCATCTCGTTGTCCGGTTTTTCTTATAAGCACCGTGGAAAAGAATAGCGATTCTACCTTGTATTCTGGCCTTAGGAGGGCCTCCGCCGCCAACTCGTGCATTTGGAAAATATCAGCTCCAGATCCATGGAGCAAGCCGGCGTTGAAAAGGGAGGGAAGCCCGAGGGTTTGAGGATGTACCTAATACCCAAGACCAATATTCAACTGGAACTGGAAGCTAAGAAGTCGAACAGAGGCCATCGAGATTCTCGCAAGTGATAAAATTCATCCTTTTGGATTTGACGATGGATCCGGTCCGCCTCCGGATGGCGGGTTGCAGGCATGGGGAGTCGGTCAGCCACATTTCCCCACCCCGATCATTCCCCCACCTTTGTCACACACAACCCCCTAACAGCTTGGTCTAGTGTTCGCCTCGATCCTTGTCCTCATGAATACGTGGGGTTACGTGAACTCATTTGGAACATTTCAAGCGTACTACACGACAGAACTGTCTCGATCACCATCCGACGTGGCTTGGATCGGATCTTTTCAAGTCTTTCTCCTTTTCTTCATCGGTAGCATCGTTGGCCGACTCTGCGATGCCGGCTATGTAAGGCACCTAGTCGCGCTTGGCTCCGTGTTCCAGCTTGTAGGCATATTCGCTACCTCGGTCGCAACGAAGTATTGGCAGGTGTTTCTTTGCCAGGGGCTCTGCGTCGGTCTCGGCAATGGCCTCACGTTTTGCCCTTGCATCTCTGTGCTGCCCACGTATTTCACCAAGAAGAGAGGGATTGCCATCGGCATCGCATTCTGCGGAACATCCATCGGCGGACTTGTCTTTCCAACAATGGTGAGGCAGTTGCTGCCAAAAATTGGCTTTGGCCAGACTGTTCGTGCCATTGGTTTCATCCAGGTCGGGAACTTGGTCATCGCGAACCTCCTCGTGAAGCCAAGACTCCCGCCAAGAAAAGGGGGTCCCTTGGTAGACTGGGTTGCTCTAAGGGACCCAGAATATATACTCGTCGTGGTCTCGGCTACTTTGGTGATACTAAGCTCATGTCTGCTTTCACGATGAATTAGCACGCTAATAGTTTGTCCTAGTGCTTCATGGGCGTTTACGTGCCCTTTTACTACGCTGCCTCATATAGCCGTGATTCCTTGGGCATGAAATACACCGACAGCTTGAATGTGCTCCTCATCTTGAACGGGGTTGGCCTCGTCGGTCGCACGCTCCCCGCATACTTGGCTGATCACTTTGGACCAATCAACGTTTTCATCCCCACATCCGCCATTGCGTGCATCTGTGTGTTTTGTTGGATGGCCATCCATAGCGCCAATGGTCTGTACGTGTGGGCCTCAATCTTTGGCATCGTAGCTGGCGGGGTCCAGGGATTATTTCCGACGGCGGTTAACAGCCTCACGCGCGAGAACGAGCTGGATAAGATGGGGTCAGGTCGGGAATGACATTTACGTTTCTGAGCCTGACCATTCTTGCCGGTCCCCGGTAGCAGGCGCCATCATCACAGCGGAGGATCGCAAATACCGAGGGGCTCAGCTGTTCACTGGAGTTGTCCTTGCACTTGGGGTAGGACTCATGATAGCGGCGCGAATAGTGAGAGTGAAGCGCAACAAGTTGCCGTGGAAAGCGACTGTTTGAGGACGTGATGTACATTTCATAGATTAGGTACCAACCATGAACGCGAGGAAGAGTCCCAGGTTGGGGGCTCTGGGTCGGAGTCATTGCTTGGCGAGGGTTTGCGGACACACAGCTGCATCCTTAATGTAACGAAAAGAACCATGCTGTATCATTCCGAAATCTTGCACCCTCGTCTATCGCTTCGAGAAAATCGTACAGACGGAGGAACTATGAGCCTCCGACACAAGATAAATTGGTCTGGGCATCTGCAACTAGTTCTCTTAGGTCCGTCCCCAAGGCCCCCGACAACTTTTTGCATTGCTTAACGATGGGGTTTTGATGGCCGCTATGCCTAGAGCGGATTGGCGACTGAAGTGGACGTGTGGGACTGACTTCGGGCCCTTTTGCGGGGAAAATCTGGGGTAAATGATCAGCGGTAAACCACCGCGCATTCTTCAGACCAAGGATCTCTCCGGTCTGCTTAGGGAGCGTTCCTGGGCATTGTGAGGATTCAATCCTGGTAAAGATAGGAGTATATAAGAGTAGTGAGTGACGACAAAATTGCAGAAATGTCCAATTCCACTCTCCATTCTATCCAGCCACTCTCATCGCCAGGAGAAAAGTTTAAATCATGGGCAAAGGTTACACTTGGAGATGTGCGGCCATCGCCGGTTCGGGCAGCATGCTCTACGGTTACGATACCGCTGTCATTGCTGGAACGTAAGCCGCCCTCTCATAACCATCCGCGACGTATATGGCTGACATCCAGCAGGTTTGCCCAAGAGGGATTCCTTGGCTACTTTAAGCCTTCGTCGACCATTCTCGGGTAAGCACATGCGCCGCGATATCAGCGGCAGCGCCACGCTTGCCATTGGTAGCGACTAACAACAGCTGCAGAGCCATTGGATCGGTCTACTTTGGGGGTCTTATGCTGGGCCTCATCTTCGTTAGCCTCCTCGCGGACCGTTTTGGCCGTAGGCGAACAATCCAGATCGGCGGAGTAATTGGCCTCGTCGGGGCAATTCTACAAACGGTCGCCACACACATCGGGCCCTTTTTCGCGGGGCGTGCCGTGGCCGGACTAGCGTCAGGGATTATGCTCACGACCGTCAACGTCTACCAGGCCGAAATTGCCCCGCCATCCCTCCGAGGCACCATGGTTGCGTTTCAGATCGTGACTCTCATGGTAGCGGGAACTTTGGCTTCCTGGGTAGGCTATGCTTGCAATTTCTCTTCCAACTTGGATTTTGCTTGGTAAAACATCCATCACCTTCACCCTCATTTCCCCTCTGGCTCACCTTCCCGACTAACCATTTGCAGGCGGTTCCCCATCGCGCTGCAATGCCTCCCGGCCATCCTACTTATTATTGGCTGCTTTTTTATCCCGTTTTCTCCACGCTGGCGTATGTTACATTTGATCTATATTTGCCGCCCCGGTTGCCGCTCTTCTATCACCACCTCCCCTCGTTCGAACTAACCGAAGGGTTTATGCAGTCATTTCCAAGGACCGACATGAAGAGGCCAAAGCGACTCTTATGAGGCTGAACGATGACAACGAGGATCCAAGCTTCTGGGAAAAGGAGTATCTCCAGATCTCGGCGCAAATCGCCCTCGAAAAGCGGGAGATGGAGGGTAGCAGCTGGACCCACATGTTCACCAACATGAAGGAATTCCGTCGTGTTGCTGTGGCGGCTGCTTCCGTCATATCTGTGCAGACCAACGGTGCCCAAACCATTCAAGTTTTCCAGGTTAGTTAGGTTGTGTAATACGGTCGCGGGGAGCGAGGTCTACGCGCAAACCCTTTCGCTAACACTGGGGGATTTAGGCGGTTCTCTACACTGGTCTTGGATTTTCCACAAGGGGCACGCTACTCATGGCTGGTGTCTTTGGAATTTGTAATACCTTGGGCGGCCTGACGAACTTGTTCCTCATTGATCGCGTAGGAAGACGTATACTATTCCTCGCGGGTCTAGCCACGCTTTCCGTTTGGCTAGGTGTTTTCGCGGCATGCACGGCGCAGTATAATAAGACTGGTCTCGCCAGTAAGTGGAAATCACGCTCGGAGGTCGTTAGACACATTAGATGTTGATCTCTTTATTTCTAGGTTGGGGCAAAGCCGGTGTTGGTTTCGTCATGGTGTACATTTACACGTTTGGCACCACCTACGCCGCGTCTCCTTACGCCTACTCCGCGGAAGTCTTGCCCACGAAGAACCGAGCATCCGGCATGGCCTTTGGTCTATTTTTCGCCAACGCCCTCACCCTCACCTTCAGCCAGGTGGCCCCCATTGCGCTCGAAAAGATTGAGTGGAAGTTCAACCTCGTCTTCATTGCCTGCAACATCTTCTTCTTTTTCATTGCCTATTTCTTCTTCCCCGAAGTAAGTCAATCCACCAGTCAAGTATCACTGGCCAAGGGATATGCTCACCAGTTTGTGAATTTTAGACCAAAGGCCTTACTCTGGAAGAAGTCAATCGTCTGTTCGGCGACAAGGTTGCCGTGGAGATACGGGACGTGGACATCACAGAGAAGGAGGGCGCGCATGCTGACCACGTTGATTCAGCCTAGCAAAATAGGCTCTGAAGGGAGATGCCAACCCAACTGGGAATTTTGGTATTAGAGGGATTGATTCTCTTTCTCCTCTTAAAAACGCACTGGAAACTAGCGTGTCTACATGTTGACTCACGGCTAGGTCCGCCGAATCGTCTGGACAGCGCCTGATGGGAACGTGAAGTATTCTTAAACTACGTAGCTCGCACTATCTCTAGTAGATGCTTTAGACCTATTTCGGGTGCCCTGTTGCAATAGGGTTATGATAGGCTTTCTCGTATAATAAAGCCCGATAACCGTCAGAACCAAAGAGAGGATGCCAAATATGATACCTACAATCGCCCCCGCATCCATCCCCCTTGGCTGGGGCTCCCGTCACTCGGCGACGGCGAGCTCGAGTTTGTCGGGATGTCTGGAGGCGTCGTCGTGGAAGTCGACTGCGTGGTCCTCGAACCCCCGTCGGTCGCGCCGCTTGTCGTGGACCTCGTCGACTGAACTTGCGGGCTAGTCAAGGTAGGCTCCCCTTTCCCCGTGCCGGCCTCCGTGGCCTTGGCACCACCTACAATACGAGCAAGGCTTAGCGGTCAAAATCGCAGCATGCCGAAGCCAGCCATCATGCCCGTGAGGATCAGGACATAGGTAGACCGGTGGAAGGTGGATGGGTCGGGCCGCGCGCTGGCCGCCGACCCCGCGGCCACAACCGTGATCACGGTGACGGTGGCGGTTGCAGTCACGGTTTCGGACGCACCTGTCGTGGCAATTACGGGGAAACAACCTCGGTATAGCCCTTGGCAGAGCAGTACGCTGTGTAGATGCTCACGGCGGTCGATTGGTCGTCATAGTTGCTACATCGCGCAAGGGCCTGCTCGGAAAGGAAAGGAATGGCGCCGCCCATGATGCTCGGCTTACAGATGCATTTGTTCGTCGTGCAGCCATACAAATCGTCGATGGTCTGGCAATTGCTGCATCTGCCGGGGAAAGGAAACAGTGTCGTGACACAAAAGCGCACGTCTTTCCAGCCCTCAACCTGGCGAAAGTCCATGGTATCTGGGTCAATGGCTTGTGATTGTGCGCATGATGAGAGTAGCGGGATGATGGCGAGGATGGCTCGCAGAGAGCTCGTACCTGGTAAGCGCACCATCGCTCATGCGCGCTCTCCGAGGATTGTTATACAAAGAAGCAAAGCTTGGGAATGATTTTTAAGAAATTCAAAGAGAAAAAGAATATGTACGGGGGCAGGCGTAGGATTTTGCCAAACCTTTGGGATTGTCAGTTGAAGGTTGGGAGAGGGGTTAAATAGGCTGGCAAAGCTCTCGCCCCATTGCCCACGAGCTTCATCTACACCACGCATCGGGCCTAGTCAAAGCCTGAAGAGTGGCGCAGTGTATTCAAAAACGGGCGGCCGTTGAGAACAACAATATATTGATCCGCTTCAGCTGGTGCCTTGCCCCCGAGAGCGCGAGAGCTGGTCAGGCGGATAGCGGGCCCGTCGAGCGCATGTGGGACAAGAAAAACCCTTGGTCCTCAGCCTCAAGCTGCACCCGAACCGCACTCTGACAAGGGTGAATGCAAACTATGGAGAACGAGCCAATGACTTTGACATTTCATCGCGGAGAGCCTACCAAATTCTGTAGTAGGCCGCTCGACATGAGTCTACTCAGCATGAAGCTATGGCGGACCAATAAGAGTCGCATAAACTCATTCCACGCAAAGGCAGCGATGCAATACAGAGCCTATCAATCGCACGAGGTTCATGGCCCTATTCCGAGAAAGGAATTGCTCCGTGACATGGAGAATCAGTTGCATCTGTGATCTAAGGGCGGTCCTCAGCGCACAAATGTTTGCGGGGCGCATGGATCGATTCCGCTGCCCCCTACCAACCTTGACACAGGGCGAATTGTAGATTACTCTGGACAAGAAAGGGACATCGAAAGGTGGGCTTCCCGCCCCAGCCCTTTGACTCTTGAACCGTATAGATAATAGGTGTGTCCAGGTATCATGTATCACCTTCCAGCATAGCATCCGCAGCCCGTCAAGCAAATTGGTCCTTTCTACTTTTGGTTGGCATCCGTTCACAAAATGGCTGAAAAACATTCAAAGACGTGATAATAGATACTCATACCATTTCGAAGAAATGACTGTTGCGAGAATGTTGGGGCATCGGAATACTGGCTCTTTTCAAGTCTTGAGAGTAAAGAAGCAAAGGCATCACAGCAACCGACTCTATATGAGGCCAGCCCGCCTTGATAAAGTAGCTTTGCGGCACTTGATTGAAGTTCGATCATCGTAGCGGAGAACCTATTCATTGTAGGGATGTGAAGGAATCTGCCGTCACACAGGCCTGGGGTGGTGTGAGGGGAAGTAAGAAGGCGAAAGTTCTTCGGCGCCTTGGGAGTTTCACTAAAGCACAGTGACGAGTGGGAGGGCATGAGATAAGTTATGGTAACAGGACGTAAAACTATTAAAGATATCCTTCCATGGCTAACATCAGCGTATGCTTTCATCGGCCGGGACATGTGCTGCCTTGCCTTTTAACCTTGGATTCAGCTCGAACTTGAACTCTGTAGGGAAGGACAATGGGCCCCACCTGGCGAAAACCTGTCCATTTTCTCCAAGGATCTGTCGCAGTAATTCATTTTGATCCGCGGAACTAGATGGTAACGTACCTAACTTCTTAGCATATGGGTCCATAATTTTCAAAGCCTCTTGAATCCACTTTTCCGCCTTATCCTCGTCGATCCGCCCTGCGTCGACTACGCGTCGCTTCAACTGCCCCACATACTGCTCCCCATCGGCGGTCTTAAACGCAGCAAGCATCGTAGCGAACAGAATATGCGACCGCATCTCGTAGTTCAAGCTGTTTGCGTCAACCCCGTCCATCTCCTGCGCCGCTACTTCTGCCAAGAATTCCACCTCATCCTCACCACCAACCTCAGGGTCCCATCCTCTCCACCGTGCCTGTACGCCCACGCCACCATCTGGCCATCCACACCAGTCCACCTCACTCTTGCGTGACCCGTCCAAATCCGGTTCTTTATAGGACACTTGTGCCTCGGTAGAATTCCAGAGTTTTTCTGAGTAGTGAGCTTCCCAGGCCCATATGTCAAACCCCCTTGAGCAACATGGACGCCGAACTGATTGGGATTCCATGATTCCTTGCCCGCGGCAACAGGAGAGATTACCTTCATGTGCTGGAGCCAGAAGCGAGCTTGGGTCTCGGAGAATGGCTGAACGTTGGGGTAGTTCTGCGCCAATCGTGAGGTAGTTTGCTTCAGAGTCGCGAGTGCTATCTCGGTGAGGCTTTCCACCGACAGTGTTGACTGTCGGCGGCGGGTGCGTGCCACGTTATGCGCCCATCGAGGAAGCTTCGTGAAATGGCCCGTTCCTTTCTGTCGGGGCAGACCAAGGGGACCACTTGAATCCGGGAGGTCTTGCAGATCGGGGAGGCGATAAAACCGAGCCGAGGTCTCCTGGGCCAGAAAATCAAGCGAATAGTATAATTTCCATGCGTCTTCGTCCAATAATTGGTGGTTTTGAGCGTAAAAGGTGTCAAATCTATCCGGTGAAGGGATATCGCTGGTTAGTTGGTCGGCGGAACGATAGATACCAGCCGCTATCTGAGCGAGATAGAATACATCGAGGGTGCTGTTGGGCCGTCATCAGTATTGAGATATATATCTTGATAGAAACCTGTATAGGAGGATTGATTGGGAAAGCCCTACCGGTTAAACCGTAAATGTCCCTTGCCAAACGACCAGCCACGATCGTGCAGTTTCTCCACAACAGTGAACACGCCCTCGTCACTCCAGAACCCCTCATCAAGGTAAATGTAGGCTACTCGCAGCATGCGATCATGGCTGTCAGCTAGCATCTCCCCGCTTTCCACCGCTGCGAGGAATTTTTCTGCGTTCATGACATCCAGATTGAGGACCACGGTTCGGATGAAGAGACTTGTTGGGGTTAGGATGGAGTGCCAGAGGTGCCTTTGGCTAGCCAGGATTTTGGGAGCCCATGCGCTGGGATTTGTAAGCACCACTCGGAACTTCTAGCCAACCTGTCCGGACATCATCTGATTTGATTTAGCATTAATATCTCACCTGCCACAAGCCAAATACGGGTTGAAAGAATCCGAAGAACCCTTGTATTCTTGTCACCTAATCAGCCCGCTGTCGGAAAGTTGATGGCATCATCGCAAATCTCATATTTGAAGACCCAGAGGTTTGCTTGTGGCGCGCTCACAGGGACCTCTTTGTTGCCGGCCGCTTGGCTCGCTCGACAACATATCTTCATCCAACTTTTGTTAAAATAGTACACCTAGTTTAAGGACCCTTCACAAAAGTAGAGCTTCTACCGAGAGGAATCCATCAGATCTTTAACCTTCTTCACGAACATTGATGTATGTCAAATGAGAGAAACCGGGTGCTCGTCGAGTTCAACAGCTGTATTTTTCGATGGGAACTAATATTGACTGTGATAACCGCTTTATGCCCAGCCACTGATGTCGTGCCCGCAAAGCTACTGGACCCTTTGTAATTGCCCCTTCTACCTCTCCAAGTCACCACAGAAACCATATTCGCAACAGTGCATGCAAAGTTTCTCTTAGCCGCAGGAGTTGGGAGCGTAGTGCTTAACCTCGCAGCATACCCAACTATCATAATGTGTCATTGGTTAGCCTCACTATTGTGTAGTATATGCGTACTCTGACAAAAACTCTATCTGAGAGACTGGTAAGACATGATAAACGTACCATTGAAGACCGCAACCGCCAGGACTAGGGCAGTAGCTGCCAGTATGTTCATAGCAGGGCGTCAAGCACGGGTCATCGCGAGGAGAGATATCGCGCTGGAAGAGCCGCGACAATGCTGCGTGTTCTCCATCAACGGCAGCCGCGTTGGTGGCAAAGGCGAGGGAGATGATAGCAAGGGCGAAAGTGAGCTTCATCGTGACGAGCTTGAGGGTGTATCTATGAAAAGATATGAAGAGAGAAAAGGTTCTGTTGAGAGCTGGTAGGCAATATCTGGGAAGAGGAGGAGGCCGGTTGTTGATGTTGCTGTGATTGTGTGGTGATGAAGGAGAGTTCAAGTCTACCAAGAAGAGAGGCTTCCGACGCATTTATATTCGTTTCTTTCCCTGGTCCAACGAATATCGCGTCTTTCTTCCCAGCTGTCTACTATCATCCTTCATACGCACTGATTCGAGGAATGAGAGAACCTCCGATCTATCCGAGAGGGCTCCGCCTTCCCGGGCTCGGCCGGACACCTTTGCCGTAGTCACATCGAGGGATTCAATAGGATCTGATATGATGTTTGAATGAACCTCAATTAATCTTCCTGTAATACAACGGAAACGACATCAATGCGTTGAGATAGGGCCACTAAGGTCACGAACTTCGAATTTAGGAAGCCTAAGAAGTGGCGCAGTAGGTTCTCCGGGAGGGAAGTCGTTGAAAATATCTAAGCAGAAGGGACTAAAAACTAGACACCTTCAAGGAACATTGAAATCGCGCATAACTTCTCATGCCGGATTATCCTTACCCAGGAGACTTGTAGAAAGGGTAGGTTCCCTTTCTAAATTTGGTATCTTGCATTACAGGTAGGCCTTTTTTTTCTTCCGTATTGAGAGGTAGGTGATAACAGACGTTAGAACCCCGGCCGAAAATATATCTATCCGTAAAGATTGGTGGCGTCGCAGCCCGGCCGTGCCTTGTGGGGTTCAACGGTTCGGAGTGGTCGGGCTGCTCGGGCCCGGTGGTCTAGCCTTGTTGTCGGTCCCGAGAGACAACTGTGATTACTATCGATCCTGGAGCATGGGTCGATCTATGGGGGCTGAGCGGGAGGCATCCTCCGGGAGGTATATCCGACAGGTTGGGTGGTTCCATCATGCGAAACCAGAGCCGCACTGCCCTTTGCATTGAGCTTTGTGGATTTGGAACCCCCTGCAGCGTCAGCTTCAGCGCTCGGGCTTCTCCGGCCTTGAAACTGATAGAATAGACTCCTCCTCAATCCTTTACCAGCCTTTGAACCGTCATCTAGGTCTGGTATTACTGAACCTCTACTGCAGATTGGCCCGAAATTGGATTAGGGCTAAATCTCGACTCGGCGAAATACAGGATGCGAGTTTATCGAACCATCGGGCAACGTTTCACGGGTCAAGAAGAATAAGAGAAGGACAAGACGAAAGGGCCAAGCCTTTTACCTGGCAACACCTCCCAAAACAGTAGAATAAATTCTACACGGTCTTCTGACCATGGTCTGGCCCCCGCGGCTAGGCCTCGGCCCAATTGAGATCTTCAGAGCAGAGAGAAAATCAACAGTATCCATGGTGTCCAGTCCATGGCCGCACTCTAACCGCCTAATAGTTTTCGCTGCCTTTGTAGCCGCAAATTACCTCTCAATCCATATAGACCTGACGCCCTTCACTTTCCGTATCACCTCCGCTTGCAGCCAAGTCTACATGCCTTGCGCATATCCCGAACCATCCTTCTGTCAAAATAGTGAAGGCATACAGAGAAGAATGCCCGGAGAGACCGCAGTCATCACAATTTGTTCCCACTTGTCCCTCTTCTCGCAAATCGGGGCCGGGAAAGGACACGGGCAGATCGTATATCGTAGACCATGCACACTGTCATGAGATAGGCATCACTCCGGCCTCTGGCCATAGTTTCCCTCGGCTTAAGCGGCTTATTAACGGAAGTGCATCGCGAGCACTGAATAAAGAAAATGGGCCTATGGTGACGGACAAGACACTCAAGTTTTCTATTCTTACCCCCTGCACATTTTTCTATGTATGCATCTGGTCCTGACTCGGGCTTCTCCTTCCCTGTTCGCAGACCGAGGCACTCCGGTTGCTACTTGATAACCTGAAGGAAAAAGCTGTATTAACAGCTTTGTGAATAGAGAGATAGTATGGGAAATTAACCAAATCTTTCCATTTCTTATGAGGCATGGGCACAGCTATACGAGGGTATTATGAGCATCAGGACTGTCACCTTGCCCCAGGTGAGGACATTCAACGATTTCCCAGCCGCTGCTTTCTCACTCAAGCCGATCTCCCTTTCGCGGGTGAGGCTGGCCTCTCGGATCACCATTTGATAAAAGTAATGTCATTAATGCGCTGATAAAGAAACGAGTATTACTTCCGGAGGGGTATAATAGCAAATCTAATATATACGATTCGATAGAAATCTAAAGATGGAAGACAAAGAAAAACAAAAAAACAAACAATTTTCGTGACGTGCATAAAAAATACACGCTAATTAGTTCATGAGTTCATAATATGCCGTGAACATGTGAAACAAATTTTTGAGGACAGACAGCCTAGTCTCCTAGCTGCAGGCGATGCATCAGAACGCATTAGTATTCTCTCGTGTGGAGCACGTTATCATTCGCGTCGATAATCAGGTTCTCAGAAACGAAGCGTTTGGAAGTCTGAATCCTGGGATCACGCATGATCTCTAGGTCAAAGACTCCGTAAGCGCCGGTAGCGAGCTTCTCAAAGCACAGATAGCATTGTGAGTTTAGGTAGCAGGACGAAAACCTCTTGATGATCAAGTCTCTGGTACCACACCAATTCTCGCTATCAAGGTAGATCGAAGACAGGACCAGGTTGCTGAGGCCCTTATCTAATAGGCTCCAGAGCTTTTCAAGTCGGTTGGCGCTCAAGGATACATCACCGAGGCGTATTTGTTTCAAGGTGCGCGACTGGATAGCGTCGACGAGCGGATCCGCTGGGTAAAACACGTTGACGCCCTCGGCGAGACCAAAGCCGCAAAGGTTGATGTCGGCGTAGCGCAGCCGAGGGCTAGAGAGCACCGCGCCAAGAAAGGAGTTCAAGTGGACCTCGACCTGATCCTGGAGGCGGAAGGACTGGTCGTTTTGGCGGTTCCAGCTCTTGAACTTTTCGCCAAATTTGATCTCCTCCAGCTGACTGTAGGCCTGGCGCAAGGCGTACAGCCCCGAATCGCTGGATGGGCAGAGAACCGAGAGGTCACCGCGAGAAGGGAAACATGAAATGTGTAGGCGCTTGAGGGGTTGGCCGGCTGCCCTTAGCTCGATGGGAAGTTGCCAGAAAATCTTGGCTGGCAACATTGGTCCCGGGGCGACTCGTTCCAGACACTCAATCGATTCCCAACGGTCCGGCTGGATTACCATGTCCGCGATGTTCGTCGTGTCCGTCAAAGAGGTCCAGGGGTCCGGCGAAGGAGCGCAAGAGTCATCGAAGACGAGCCCAATGCTCTTGGGCAATCGCTTCATGATTTCAACCATGCACCGAGAAAAGGTGCCTTCTTCAATCAATCGGCACTGCTTTTCACGCTCGAGCTTGTACCTATTGTGGCCCTCCCTAATGAGGCTAAGTCCCGCAATGTATCTCTTATCGGCCAAGATATCGGGGGATTCGCGCGCGGCGGGAGTAGCGACGGATTGCCAAGCGCGAGAAAGGTAGTAGGCCTCGTTGACGGCATCCTCGCACTGGCTAATCAGCGAGCAAGCCTTGGGGTCAGACACCCTGGGCCCACCCATCATCCGGTAGCGGGCGATCATTAGGTGGCAAGCACCGGAAAGCTCATCCAGTTTCTCCAGCCTGGACCGCGCAAAGGTAGGGAGGTCTGCCGCTAGCTCTTTAGGGCGATAGGCTAGGCGGACCAGGATGTTTCGTACCCCGTTGGCAAAGAGAGGGTTGAGGGAGACTTTTGCAGCAAAGTCTAGCGATTTCTCGTCTAAAGAGACGCGAAGGGTCCGGAAAAGGAAGGGCGAGGCAGTCTCATTGAAGGCGTGGCATACTAGACGCGCGTTGCCAATGTCGCGGAGGCCTTGCGAACAATAGTCCCCGAGCGGATCATCGAGGTAGTCAAACACCAGCCGTAGAATGTCGAGCGGCAGGTCAATGATGGAATGTTTTGGTATCGTAGTCCACGCCGGCCTTTCTAGCAAGCCACTACCTACTGTCCTGTAAGCGGCATTGCGTGCGGGCGGAGCTTCGCCACGGAAGCGGCAGGGTTGTGTCTCGCGGTGTATGGGTATGGGAAGTCTCAACCCCGTAGAGGAGTCGCTTGCATGGATGCAGCTCGTTGTGCTGTTCATTGTAGTCTTTTTTGGTGTATTCGATATCAATGAGATAATCTGTTACGTTGGTATAAACGACAAGGAAAATGGAGGGAGGATATGATCCTCGGGGCAGACCGGAAAAGCGCCCGTCTTTAATGACCACCACAACACTCAAAGTCCAGAAAAGCGCGCAATGTCAAATCCCAGGGGTACATGCTAACAAGGTCAAATGAGAAGAGCCGGTGGGCGGAGAGAAAAGGAGGACCCTGATGGGAAGCGTGGGCACCGAGCCCGGGATTCGCACGAAATTACCGGCGCCCGGACTAGTGTGGCCCGCCAATCTGGATAAGCCATTCTTCCGCACAGATCTGCTTCCCTCAGACGCTAAGTCGACTTCGTCATGCCGCGACGACGAAGAAAGGTGGGTTGGTGGGTAGGATGGGATTGTGTGGAATGCCCCCTGAAGACCTGTGACTAACACTTGGGGTTTGGGGGTTTGGTTTCTCACCTCACAAAGTTATGCTTCGGTTTGGAGTAGGGGCGCTTGCCGCTATCTCATCTGATCTGCGGCCGGCGTGGAGTGATTCCGCCAGCCCCAGAAAAACGTTGGGCGGGTTTTTCTGATCGTCCGCCACCCAAGCTATGAGACTTGAAGGCGTTCATGTGGCTTAGAAATCGGCTAGAACAATCAAAACGGCAAGTGGAAAGAGAAGGATGGGGGACTTGATCAGGGGCAGTCAGCCTGACCTCACCGCCTTCTTCTAGCGCGGATATTCTTGGCGGTTTTGCGCCGGCACTAGGCCGAGTCGGGGTATCCCTTTGGTCGCAAAACGGGCGTCGAGGAGGTGCTCGAACTAATGCCGAGCTCCGTGCGAACCGGAGCGGTGAAGCCGGAACCGAAGGCGGAGGGTCAGGTGCTGCCCCCAGCTCTCCTCGCAAAAAAATAACCCCCACGCCAGTCGCAGGCCCAGAGAAATAAAGTCTGTGAGATGGAGGGTATTTCGTGCGGTTCGTTGTCGTTTGATGAGGCTATCTGCCGTTTAGCAAGTCTCTCCACGAACATGGGGTGAGGGAGTGGGAGTGTTGGCATGCGCCTGCTAACCCCTTCTCCATATCAAATTCAGATCGGCTCACAGCTAGGACAGGAGGTTAGACATCGTTGTGTTATTTACTTAGTAGCTGATAGATAGTGGGACGGGGGCCACCAAAAGGACAAAAAATCGAGGTCTGGTAAGCTAATGCTAAGGAGGAAGGTGTAAGGTTTGGGAGGTCAGATCAACGGCGAAGGGGAAACAATTTTTGCCGGACGTTAACAGGGACTGGGAAAAAAAAAAAAAAAAGACAAACAAACCAAAAAAGAATATAAAAATTAAAATTAAAATTCACTGCTTCAATGAGAATGGAGAAGATAGAAGAAAAAAATTATTTCGATGCGCCTTCTTCGAAGGCTCATTGGGAATTGAGCCCAATGCGGGGTCGAACCCGCAGCCTTGAGATTAAGAGTCTCACGCTCTACCGATTGAGCTAACCGGGCAGGTTAGTTGATTGTTGACGAACCAACCCACAAAGTGGAATTAATTTGCGAGATGCCTCGACAAACGAACTCTCTCGTCTCCATCTGGGCGTCATTTTCTCAGTGAGTACTCTGGCTCGCTTGAGTCATATGTTACTTTGCCATTCGGGTGGACTAAGACGGTTTTGGATTGACCGTTCCCACTGGATGTCCAGTCGTAATGGCAGCTGGATGTGAGGTGATCACAAAGCTTAACGCCTCCGAAGCCCGCGAATCAGCAAATTTGAAAAAGCGGCGCTCCAGTAACGGGCCGTTCTCCGTTTTGGAGAAGATCAACTACAAGGTACGTATGAATAGGGAAAGTAGCCGCGGGTATTGTATTATTTGGTATTACTCTTCTGCATATTAGATCTTGGGAGTGAGCTTGAGCTAGGAATGGTGTTTTTGTGAGGGGCTGAGCATAATGCTCCAGCGTTGTGTAGGGACAATGGGAAACCTCTATACCTCTAATTCGCTATATCATGAGTTCCACCGATCCGCAAATTTCACATCTATCCTTGGCTCCTAAGGTATGTTGTTCTTGTTTAAAGTACCATTGCGGTGCTGGGTGGATAATATATCAGTTGCAGCATAGAGACGTGCACCAGTCCGGCCTTGACCAAAACACTATAACTGGTACCGAAGCAGGTATAGACGCGGCGCCGACCACTCAAGGCTTCAGCTGCAACTCGCAACCCAATCTCACTCGAGACCCTGCACAATCTTTGGCAGCAAGATATCGTTGAAAGCCCAGAGGATGGTGGTGAACTGGACGGACCAAGCGGCCCCGGTATACCACGTAGATCGGTGTCCCTGGAGGGCATACTGGTCCTGGATGAAGCCAGCCTGGAGGGCCTCGGAGCTTGCCCTAAGATGCATGGGTCCGTGGTCTACAAAAGCGACGAATTCCAAGTCATCCACGTTTCCGTCGGGAAGCGCGCCGCCCTCAATCAGGTTCGCGATGCTATCGCGCACCAGAGCCTTGGCGTCCGCCTCCTCGAACCCTTCATCTCCCGTGATCAAAACCCGAAAGTAGTCCGAGTCAGAGCCCATGTAATCGAACCGGGCGAGGATGGGCGATTTCGGGAAGTTGTAGTAGCTGTCGGGAGCGGCCTCGGGCACGGTGTTCACGAGGGAGACGTTGGCCCTGAGCGAGGGGTGGGTGACGATACCGGCGTAGACTCTGGAGTGCTGGAATTTGCCAAAATACCAGCCTCATCGTCATCCAAGTCAAAAGGCTCGAGAACGTCGAGCGTGGGCTCGAAGGCGATGAGCAGTTTCTTTGCGATGATGACGTATTCCTCCCCGCTCTCTGATCGCGCCACGAGCTCAACTCCGTCGTCGTCTCGCTTGGCATCGATAATGACGCTAGAGTAAAGAACGTCTTTGCCCAAAGAGGACCCGATCCTGCCGTAGAGTTCGGTGTTGTTGTGGGACGTCGGTGCGAAACCAGCAACCTTGCCACTGAGCGCCCTTGCCATGGGCGCGCCAAATACCTGCAGCACATGGAGAGTAAGGCCGTCTACCCATTCGGGAACTCCTGGGCCGGGAACCTGGAACATTTGTGGCATGGCAGCATCCAGATTGTACTTTTTGGCAAATTCGCCAAAAGGCAGCAAGAGATCTTCCGGAATGTCCTCCGGGCGGGGAAGTCCCAGTACCCTGGGAGAATCATGTCCTCGTACGGCGCGACGGCTTCAAGGAATCGGTCCAAGGCTTCCAGCCGGTCATCAGAGTTCGAGCCGCGAATTCGGTAACGTTGGAACCGGTCAAGAAGTCGGCGTAGGCGCTGGTCAAGGGCACGCGCGCGGGGTACCAGTGGTCACGTTGAATCGGGCAAAGAAAGACAGCGCTTCGCCGTAATCGAGGAACGATTGCACGCCGTACTCGTAGAGGCTGCCCTTATCGTCCACGTGCGTTGCGACGTGTCCTCCCTAAACAGAGGCGAGTAGTGTGGTTAGCGAAGGATCCCCGCAAGTACCGCGCATCTTGAAATGCCTTACCAAACGGCCCTGTTTCTCGACAACGACGATGCTCGCACCGAAATCTTCCTTGAGGAGAACCGCGGCGTGCGCGCCCGACGCACCCTCCCACGATGGCGACGTCACGCCTGATGATCTTGCGCCCGGCACATTTACTCTTTTCTTGGGCGCCAAATGCCATTGCAATGAGGCTGACGCCAGCTAGGAGGCGAAGAGAAGGCATCGTGTTGGATATTTGTCAACGCGATCGGGAGGTCGAATCACCCTGGAACGATGCGGTGTCAAGGTACGGTAGTAGGGTGGAGGAGGCTTGTTCCTACCGGGGGCTTACCATGATTTTAAAGACCAAGAGACGAAAAAGAAAAATCTGCCGTCATTATCAGCAATACTCGTTTCTTACTATACATGTACGGCTCCATCAATTAAGCACGCAACATGCCAACGCCGTGAGCGTCGGGGCCGTAAGATTGATGCCGAGCCAATCATAAATGATACAGTCTTGGTATGCTAAACTTTTTTCAGGCACCCGAGGAAACGACGGGATGGTGAACTGCAGATAGTGGATCTCTTCTGGCGCGCGACGGTGGACAGCCTAAACAGCATGGGGAAAACAAGATTGTTCCAAGCAAGTTCAGGTGTGTTGTTGTTCTGGTTGGGAAACGCCGCGGTCGATCCTGCAGGAATCCTCCCACATATACCCGGACAGGCACAGGGATTGGATAAGTCCCGGCCGGTACGACCACGCCATTCTTGGAAGTGTTCCTCACCGTCCCATCTCTTTAGTGCCCAGATTCCAGATTACAACCGAAGCGGGGGCCATTACATGCGTGAGCCAGCGTTGTAGTGTGTATATCAAAACTATGGCGGGCGAGCTTGATAGTCGACGAAATTATGCAGAATGGCATGCAATGGTACGTGGCGGACAGCCGAAAGAAGAAGAACCAGGAGAACTGAGATAGGCACAAACCGGTGATAATAACCCATGCTGACGCGGGGCTCGACGGCCTGCGCCGCAATATGTCAAATTCAAATGGCTATAGTTGGCATCTAGAACCCGACTATAAGTGGACCTTTGGCTCCAACCGAAGCGGTAAATTCCAGCTACTGGTTCCCACTTCCAACACGTGTGCCGTGAGGAGCGTTAGACAAAAGCACCAGGGAGATTGGATCATCCTTTCTCGCTAGTTCACATATTCCCCTGTTATGCCATACCATGTGATATCAACTATGTCTACCTCAGCAACCCGGTGCGCATAAAGATGTTGGAGGGTCGCTGTCGATCCTTGAACTGCTCATCGACAATGTATTCAATCTCTGGGCCCTCTTGCTGGAACCCTAGACGGTTGTACACGTGCCGTCCCATGGAGGAAGCTTCGGTGATGGCTTCTAGTCCTCCCCTCCTCTTTGCCTCGTCCAAGCCCCACTGCACCAACTTGGAAGCAATCCCCGGCGCTGATACGCCGGGTCCACGACGCAGAAATCCAAAACCATGACGGCCGGAGAGTCCGAGGTGGCTTTCTCTTTCACGACCTCGATGCGGCGCTTGTGCAGCGAGTAGTCAAGCTGGCACAGGTACTTTGCTCCGCAGGGTTGTCAGGATACAGCGCGTTGAGGTCGGTAGCGAGGCTAAAGTCTTCAATGGGCGGCAGACCGCGGCCCTCGACGACGGAAGCCTGCACCCAAATAGCCATGCCGACGGCGACCCGGGCGCCGTCCCGTTCCGGATCGGGTAGGGTGGCCTTGACGAAGGCGATGGTGGGGTTCCCGTCGAGGTCGTTGGCGACCCCGCGCCAGCGCTCGGTCATGCCCTTGACGCCCCTCTCGTAACCGGCAGGGGTGTCCCAGCCGGGGTTCATGGCGATCCATATGCCGTCCGCGGTCTGGCGACCAAAGGTCTCGCAGGCGCAGTGGAACCCGCGCTCGATGTCCTCGGCGGAGTCGGCGAGCTCGATGCGGAGATCGGAGGCGGCCATGGTGTGGAAAGAACTGCCGGATACGGCCTGCGATGAGTGAAGTGAGAAGAGGAAGAAAAGTATAGGAGCCGGAATTTGTTCGCGGAGTGAATTTGGCGATTTGTTTTTCTTAATTTATTTTCTAAATTTTTGGCTGGAGGGGGTTTGCCCTTTTTCACGACATGATCTTAACAGAAAGGGATTCACGACATCGAGCCCCCTTCGCGGACCTCCTCAGCCAAACAAGGGCATTCGGCCCGGTTGTGGTGTCGCTGAGTAATAATTTCAACGCTCGGAACGGGACTAGCATCGTAGGATTGGTGAAGACACAAATACGTCGGCCAAGGCCCGCCCACCAGCCCTAGTTGGGAGAAGCTTCCGACGGAGAAAATGGCATGCGGCGTCCGTTCCGCGATTGGCTTCCGAGCCGAGTCAGCAGCAACCCTTGGGCTTTGGGTGATCGGAGCATCGCGGGCTTGAACGAGGCACCACTGTGAGGAGAGGAGGCCCGGGCCTCGTGGTCCTCAGAGTTTTAGAGTTTAAAAACGCCATGAACCACGGCACGAAATGTTGGACCTAGGACAGAGTAGTTTGTCTCGCACAAATGAGAGAAAGCCCGTGTAAAAGAAGGCGGCCAAGGAGCGAGGCCCGCACAATATTGTTTCCGATGGCATCACTCGTCAATGGTTGATTCAAATCGCCGCTCCAGATAAATGCTGTGTAGAATGAGGAGCACGGAAACACAAACAAAATTACGTCCAAATCATCCTTCATTCCAAGACCACATTGATATTCATCCTTCGTCTTCCGTCAGTCTTCATCACCTTGATGGGGAAACTCCACTCTTCCTGAGAGATCACCAAGTCATTCCAGGATCTATACCGTCCCCAGCCGGGAAATCTCACCTCATTTTCTTCTCCTTCAGAGCCAACTACACGCGAGATACCTACTTCCCAATGGAGGCCTCGCATATTGTCCTCCTCGCCATCTGCATCTCTCTATGCATGGGGGTGCCCTCGTGCGCCGAGCAGAAGCCCTCCAGCGCTCGTTCGACATCGAGCATTTAAAGGAACGGGAGTTGGAAGAGCGCCTGCTTGAGCCTGCCGTGAGGACGGACATGCCTCTTGAAGGTGGATCACGCACAGAAGCCGCCACGGGACCGCTACTCACGGGGTAACTGCGCCTTGTTACCAGTTCAAACATCGATCGATTCATCTTGACCGACAGCATGGACCCTAGTACGTTTCTGGAGAGATACATTAAGAATAGGAGATGGCGTTCCAACAGCCATATTTCTCCCGAATCCCATCACGACATCAGCCGGGCCTACGAGTAGAGAAAGAAGGCAAATCACTTGGGCATCATGCATTAACATTTCCCCCGTCTCACCAAACAGAACAAGCGAGAGCATAGACTTCACGAGGCAAGCAGGAAAAATAATGGAAAACAGAATATTAATTACTTGCGGGTAACGTAACAGGTATGGTGGTCCCGAGACCAACAGTCTACAAGAGGCTTCTCAACTCAAGACATGTCATCTGAAGAAACACCTTGGAGTTGTGTACATGACAATATTGTGACAAGAACATATGTGCTAACGATATGACAAAAAACAACATCCGCCGACTCTAACTTTTGTTTCCATCCGTATTCCGGTACATGAGATCTCGTGAGAGCAAAAGCACATCCCTCCCAAATACAAAACGCCCGTCCATCACTGGTAAGACGTAGACAAAACAAGACCTGTACATACATGTATACTGTATCAACCAAACACTGGTTTCGACCGGAAAATTGTAACTGAGATATGACGAGTGAAGACAGAAATGAAAACAGAATATAAAGAAAACATGCTGGAACATGTGTGAGAGGAAAATACAATCGACAAAAAAGAAACAGTAATGAAAGGTACAAAGGAAAGAGGATGGTCGTAGAGACAAGTGGCTACCCGCGAGGCAAAGTAGCCGAAAGGAAAGAAGATTGGAGAAAAAGAAAAGAAGGGTACTCATATAATGTAAGAAGGAAATAGGTTCCGGCTTATCGGAACAGCGTGTATCATGTCTAATCATCCGCATCCGAAGCTTGCGACGAAGTGCACGACTTGAGATCGGATTTTCTCATCACTTGCCTATAAACAGAAAATGGTTAGTTTGGCTGTGTCAATGAAGACCGATGGCTTAAGAGTACTTGGGAAAAGAACTTACAGTTGGGTGCGGTCCTGGGGATTCCTCACAACGACGAGGTCCCCAATCTTCAACCGCTTCTTGGGCGATCCGCTCCTGGAGCTGCGGGAGGTGGTTCGGCTCTGGAGCTTGTTCACCTGGACCTTGAAGTTTTGAATGTCGGCGTTGGCGTCGTTGAGCTTTTGCGTCTTCTCGGCGAGCTGGGCGGAGAGGCCGGTGTTTTGGGCGCGCAGCGCCTCCACGCGGCCGGCCTCCTCGGCCAACTTGGCTTCGGCATCCGCGAGCTCCTTGCTCTTGGTCTCGACCTCGCCGGAGAGCTTGGTCACGTCGGCGGAGAGCGTGTCGACCTGGCCCTGCAGCTCTGTCGTCTTTTCCTTGAGCTCGCCGTTTTCTGTGGTAAGGCCGCCGTTTTCGGTTTGCAGCTTCTCGAGCTCTGCGGTATCTACGGGAGCGGGCTCGGCAGGAGCAGGCGGGGCTGGCTCAGGCGCAGCGGCGGCGGCGGCAGCCGCAGCAGCAGTAGCAGTGGCAGCGGCAGCGGTAGCGGCAGCGGCGGCGGCGTTGGCGGCTTCGGCCTCCTCACGGGCCTTGGTGACGTCGGACTGGAGCGTGGTGTTTTCTTCACGCAACTTCTCCAGATCGACCTGGGCCGTGGTTTGGAGGTCCTTGAGGACCGCGAGCTCGGTGCTCTGCTCTTCGTTTTTAGCCTTGAGCTCGTCGCGCTCCGCGGTGAGAGCGGCGATCTGCTCCTCGAGCGCCTTTTTCTCGTCGCCGGCGCCTTGCGCGCTGGCTTGAGGGCGGCGATCTCGGCGTCGAGCTCCGCGATGCGCGCCTCGAGCTCGGTCTGCTTCGCTCCCAGTCCCGTCTTGGCCTCTTCGAGCCCGGTCTTGGCTTCTTCGAGTCCGGTCTTGGCCTCCTCGAGCGCGCCCTTTTCCTTTTCCAGAGTGGCCTTTTCCTCCTCGAGACGCTTTGCCTTGGCCTCCTCCTCGGACGCCTTGGCCTCGAGGTCGGCGGTCGACTTCTTGAGGCGGTCAATCTCGGCATCGCCGGTGGAGACTTGGGAGGTGAGGGCCTCGACTTGGCGGTCCAGGCTCTCTTGGATAATTTCCTGGGCGGCGACGCGCTCGATGAGGAGCTTCTCCTGCTCGGTGCGGACGGCGAAGCGGGTGTCGAGCTCGCTCCTGAGCTCTTCGGCCTTGAGCTCGAGTTCAACCTTGCTCTTGACGAGCTCTTCGTTGTCCAGGGCCAGGACCTGCTTTTCAAGTTTGATCAACTCTACCTGCTGGTTGAGCTTCTCGATGTCCTTGGTGAGGGCCTGCACGCTCTCGGCCAAGTCCTCCTTTCCTTTCGTAGCTCTTGGAAGTCCTTGGCCAGGTCCTCGCGCTCCTTGAGGATAAGTTCCTTGTCCCGAAGCGCGCCATCTCGGTCTCTGAGGGCACCTTCCTTGTCGAGGACATATCTCTCAGCCTCTCTCTCCTGGTGAGACAGCGTCTCCCGAAGCTCGTCTACGTCCCTGCTTCGGTCTTCTAGCTCGGATCGGAGTTGTTCAAGGGACTTGGCGCGTCCATCCAACTTGGCCTTGAGGGCGTCGAGCATCTGCTCCTTGTCGTCGAGACGGGCTTGCAGGCTGTCGATGGCCTTGCCACGCTCCTCGATCTCTTGGCGCAGGCTCTCGCGGGAGTTTCTGTCCTCGGCGCTGCTCCGACGAATGTCCTCCCTCTCCAGGGTGATGAGGAGAGCCGGTCGAGGGCATCCTCGAGGCCCCTCTCGGAGTGTGTGTGGCGTTCCCGGAGATCGGCTGCTTCCCGCTCCAGGCGCTCAACTTGCTCCTTGTACCTCTCGATGGTGTCCTCGTATTCGCGAACGGCCTGGGCCTGAGCGGCCGCCTCCTGCTTGCTGTTGCCGCTCTTGGTGGCGTCTACCTCGATGTGGATGGTCCTAGGGGGCGGAGGAGGCGCGGCGTTGCGGGCGGCGACGGTGCGGCTGCCCTGCTTGGCGTGCAGCGGACTCTTCTTGAGCGCGCCGGGCCGGACGCGGATGATGCGTCTTTCGATGACGGTCGGGGGCGGCTTGCTGGGGGATGTCGCTCAAGACAGAAGTGGCCTGCGTCTCGGCGGACAGGGCGGACAAGTTGGAGCTGAAGTCGGACTCGGACTCGGGGGTGGCCCAGAGGTCTTCGTGGTACTGGTGATGGTGCGAGGGCGCAAAGGTCGGACGCCTCGTGCTGAGGTGGGAGGGCTTGATCGGGCGCCTAGGCGGTTGCTGCTGCAGTTGTCGCTGTCGTTGGTGTTGTTGTAGGTGGTCCTGTTGCTGTTGCTGGCGTGCTGGTGGTAGCGGGAGCTTCGCTACGAGCGGCATGGGTGGGTGTGGTGGGTGTGGCGGGTGAGGGGGTGAGCGCCGGCGTGGGAAGCCATGGAGGGCATCGAGGCCGGACGCGACTCTCTGGTGAAGCTTTTCCGGCGGACGGCGCCCCTGTCCTTGAGGATGGGCTTCCTGGGGCTCACGGGTGGTAGCCTGGGCGGCACGTGTATCGTGGGGGCTGACTCGGTTTGCGACTCTGACTGCTCGGTGACCGAGGATAGGGGGCAAGGGCCCTGGAGACTGGGAGGGACATGCGGTTCCTCATCTTTTCTTTGCTCATGGCGAGGTCTTCCTCTGGCCGTGGAATGACCATCATGGTCTCGGCTCTCCTGTCCATGAGAGACATGGCGGAATGTGGTGTGGTCGGACTCAAGCCCGAGGTCGTGGTCGGAACGGGATGTTGGCGGTGGTGACCGGAAGGGAGTCCCTAGGAGGGGCGAGGGTTGGAGGAGAGGTCGAAGCCGAGTTTGGTATGGTGGGAAGAGCAAGAGGAGGAGAGGAGGAAGAAGAAGAAGAAGAAGAAGGAATAGTAGGCGTTGTATCTGCCGGGGGTGGTCGTGGTTATATCCGGGACGGGGAGGAGCGGCTCTGTGCTCAAGTGATCTGCAATAAAGTATGGGCTATCGTTGAAGAGTATAGGCAACATGGGGTGCAGCGATGGGTTTCTGTCCTGGGTGGTTGTTTTTGTTCTACTTGTTTGTATCTCTGCGATTCGAAAGTACAGCGATGTCCTTCCTGCAAGAGCGAGCGTGTGTGCGAGGAACAAGAACATGCAGGCGTCGACAGGGTGGCGGTGGTGCCAATATTATCTTTATAAGGCGGCTACCCGATAGGATGAGACGAGGTCGTCCCAAAGGGGGCGGAGGGAGAGGGGAGGTACACTGCCCGGAGAGTGAGCGAAGAGGCGCTAGAGAAAATGACGAAAGGGGAAAAGAAGAAGGAAGGCAAGGTAAAAAAAGAAAAAGAAAAGAAAAAGAAGACCAAGAAACAGCCGGTAGCCAAGGGAACCTCCAGTTTGCACTATCGCCAAACCAGGCTCGTTTCACTTCTTACTCTTTGCGTGACTCACGGATGCAGAGGACGGCTGTACGCTTTGCACATTTAACAATAGAATATTTCTTGATCCTGCCGCTCTTCACGTTGGAATCTGCTGCCGGGCGGTGCGTTCAGCCGAGCAATCACGTCGTCTGTTCGTGATGCGTCTCGGCGAGGCCAGCAGGAAGGGATCCCTATCAATGGATGACTGCAAATATCTACCTTTTTTGAGGTTCTCCAGCCCCTTTGCTCATTTTTTTGCGTACATCTAGGTCCCAGTTCCGTTTCCTTTCTTTTTCCAGTCTTTTCCTTTTTGTCGCTTCTTTTTCTCACATCATTTTCTCCTCTCTTACGAGGAAGATCCCTGTTTGTTCTTGTTCCCCATATCCAAGTTTTCGTGTCCATCGTTTTTTGTCCCTTTTCTCTCTCATTCTTTTCTTCTTTCTTTTTCCCGGTCTCATGAGCTGGCGCCGGCCTCTGCGTTGGGCATCGTTGGCACCACTCGGGCACCTCGACGAGAGAAATTTGTTGGTGCTGGTTGGGCCAACCAGATGGGCCGGGGATCCCAGTTGGGAATATTTTGCCCACCGGACACGGTTATTGGGTCGAGGCGACCTGAGCCAGGGCCAAATATGGGGCAGCAAGGGGAGGAGCCACTTTGGGGAGAAAAAAAGGGTGGCAGGGTCGGTCGGGCATCAGTCGGGTCGGGCCAAGGCATAACAATCACATGGCGCGATTGGCAGAAATCAAGAAAGCACGCCGAAAAAAAGGAAGAAGAAAAGGGCAAGGGGACCGGCATAGGTTTCCTTCGGAGACGCTGAGTAGAGGCGATGACGATGACGACGTTTTGCCGCGGATGGCTGCCTATTGAGGTCCCTGTCGTCAGTGGAGGCTTGATATGCTAGATCCCACGAGCGGAGGAGTGAGGTCGGCGTTAAATCGATAAGATTGATTTCGTCTAGTGCGCTGCTTGTACATGCCAGGCAGTTCATCGAGGAGGTTGACGCGGCTGTTTTGTGGGGATCCGGCGCTGTGGTTCGTAACATGGGTGTGGCAGCGGGCCGCGGAGCAAGGAGAAGGGGACATGAGCTCGGGAGGGACAGTGGACAGCCACTTCACATCCGTCATCGAGCTAGGCCTACACTTTGCCCGTCACCAGTCACCAGTCACGCTTGGGATCGAGATTTGCTGGATATCTTTCTATTCGCCTTTTTGTGGAAATTAGCATTTTTAGTTTTATTTTTATCTTTATTTTCGGTATTCCCATTGTAGCCATTGACCAAGCATTGCGGGCTCTTGTTCGACCTTCCTTTCCTGCACGTCTCGTGTTCCATGACCACGGACCACAAGAAGAGGGGGAAGTGTAAGCAGCGACTGGCGAAGTCGAGCTCGTAAAACAAGAATGAAGTCTTGTCAAATCGCCAAATTGAAGATTCTCCCTCCCCTCCCCCTCCGCCCCCTGTTTTGGATATTGTTACCAGTCGCTTTTTGCCCGCACCCGAAAGGTCCTAAGCCTTCTCTTGCCAGCCAGTCCGACCTCCTCGAGGTTACAAACAGAGGGACCGAACTTTGCGCGAGGCCAGCGCGGCTTGACTCTTACAAAAGCGAAAAGCGGGCGAGCAGACGTGGCCAGCCAGCGCTGGTTCGGACGCGAGCCCGTCGGAATTGGCCGGTAGTCCTGTGGCTTCCGAGTCACATCACACAGCCTCTTGCTTCATAGGCTCTCAGTGAGTCCACCAAAGTGCAAATCGCCCCAGCGAGCGATGATGACCATGATGGGCAAGACGCACGTCCCTAGGGAGGGGAAAGAGGTCGAACGAGTGAGGTCGAACGAGTGCGAGTACAGCGAGGAAAGAAAGTGGCCAAGGAACCAAAAGAGACAAAAGCAAAAAGGGACCATTGAAGAAAAACAGGGCTCTTGCTTTGCATTCGCTCAGCACGTGCAGTGGAGATGCAGCCCCCAATCCCCCATGTACACGGGCGCTGGCAAATGTGGGCAAAAAGATGGCCCCCTCCCACTATTCCTGCCATGCACGACTTCACGAGGCGGGGAACGTCAACCCACTAGGGGGAGAGGGGGAGGATTAGGGATTCTCTCGCCTCGTGTGATGCCCGTGCTTGCCACCCCGGCGGCGGGTGGGTACGAGAGCTTCATCGCGGGTAATGGCATGTCTGGTGACAAACTCTCCGAGCATCATTAAAGAGGTTGGTTTCTTGTCTGCGTGCTGATCGTCGTGCACACCTTTCGAGGGCCTGATAGGTTTCGTTTACAGGTCGTGCGTGAGTGCCAGGTGCTCCCAGTCAGGCGCCGCCTTAGGCCCCAATCATCCCCTTCAGCCAGCAACTCAACTTTGAACGCACGCACTTGAGCCCATTTTAGGCCCCTTGACCCTAAGGCAGCGAGGCCTCAATGACTCAAAGTACAACGACTGGATGAATCTGTCAATGAATTTTGGCGCACCCTTCAATTCAATGTAATGTCCCATGGATAAAACCCACCTTTCAATCTGGCCCCAAATACGTGCGCCCTTTTAGCCCCTCTTGTATGGCGCCGGTCAAGGCTCTCATGCAGCCGCCACCCAAATCCCCAGATCCCAGGTGTGATGAGTCGAGAGGGGCCCAATGGTTGGCAAAACCAACTCAATCCGTAGATCTTTTGCTTTTCCGAACAAGGTCGGGCTTACGTCGACGACGGACTTTCACAAGAGGTACTTGATCCAAAACCCGGAGGCCAGTCTCACACGTTGGGCAGAGGCCACCCTCGGGTCCTGTTCATCTGTAACCCCAGTATCGACTGTAAGGCACGCGCCGCCGTGAAGGGGTTGCGCTGTGCTGGCATTTTCCACTTGGGTGTCGAATATCCAGAACCCGGGCGTGCCGTAGAGTTCGCGCATGGGTTTCCGCATGTCGCCCATTGTAGCGGCGCTGCCTCCCTCACGCTGGCAATTGCTCCCCGCCCTGGTAGTTTTTGATGCCCTTGCTTTGGTTGCTGCCCCTTGGTTCTCCTCTGATTTCTCCGTCTCCTAGCCCCAACGCACAGATCATGCGCAACAGACGGCGGAGGTTACCCGGCGGGTTCTTATCTGCGTGCCAACCCCGCGGAGTGTGAACCGCTGAGCAAACCCCAGAATCGCCTTGATTAGATTGGCCTCTCTTCCCCCTTAGGCATCCTCGGACAATTCCTACTCTAGAATGAGGGTCTGTCATGACCTTGTAGTCCTTGATCAACACCAAGACCAGGTCTCGTGGCTACGACTTGTCTCGCGTAGGGTACATGTACTGGTATCACCTACAAATGTTCGAGGCGAGTAGAATGGGCATGTCCGACAAATTAAACTCTCTTTTTATCAATTTCTTTTGGAAATTTTAAATCTTCTATCACTAGAGATGGTTGACCTCTGGCTTGTTCCGATAAGTATCCATATCGTGCCTGTCGCAGCTGTGGCTACTTGAACTTGATATTGACATAGCTATCCGCGTACTGATAATAACAATATCTCCCTTTTCACGCGATGAAAGCATACAACTCCCGTTGAAACCAAACAGCCACAGCGTACCCATGGATCCCATCACAGCAGAGACGACGCTTCCAAGGCCGTAGATAGCTACCGCGTCAGATTGCTCCTATACGGCAACTTTTAAGTTCACAAAGGCGAAGAGACTCGAAATGTCCTATACTCCAAAGCCTTGCAAGCTGCCAAGAATAGGACGGAGAATACCAGGAGACGATTACTGGACAATAATCTCTGCCGAACGGGGTAGGGTTATAGCAATCGCATTTCACTCGTCATGGATATCTCCTGTACTGGAGTTGGATGATGAAAACATTACAATTCGGTCTCCCTGTTGACACGAATAACAATCTGAACCTTAATCTGTGCCCGACCCGGCACCTCGAGACGCGTGAGGAGTAACCGACATATCCTTAGAGACGAAAATCGCCGTGTCCCTACTCCAACTTTATCCGATATTCCTTGAACGCGCTTTCCGCAACCTTGTTGTAAAGCCTTTGGGCCGTGTGATTCTCGTGCTGGGTCAACCACTGCACGCAGCTACGGCCATCCTTCTTGGCCACGTCGGTAACCGCCTCTATCAGTCGCCTTCCCAGCCCCTTGCCTCGGAGAGCAGATTCTACAAAAGATCTGGTGACAGGGTCACGGATTAGGCACGCTTCAACGACAAAATGCACGCGTAAAAGGGGCTACAGGGAAGGAGATGTGGGGTATAACAAAGACGTCGTGATGGTGAGGGGCAAAAGCTAGTTGCATTGGACTGGACGAGGGGCTAGGAATGGGGATGTATGAGGACTTGCCATTCAGGAATAAAATCTTCTTTTCACCCCATGTCGTCTGCTGAGGATAGAAGTGGGCGAGCCCCGCAATCCTCGATGACTCGCCGTTTACCTCCTTAACGACGAAGCACTGCAGGCCTTCACGTTTCTCGATGATACGATCGAAAGTCCTGCGGTACTGCTCTTCCTCGAGGGTGCTCTTGTAAAACTCAATGTAAGCGTGGAAAACTGCGGACCATTCATCGAAGTCGGCTGCGGTCAGCTCAACGATTTGATACTCCGGGGACGCCATATTGTTGGAGTTGATAGTCGAGGGTAGTTACTCGGAGGGAATCTAAGGGGCCGTGTTGAGTAGGCTCTATGGATTAACGCAGTTGCACCTGTTTTGCTAAGAGGAAGAGAGGAAAACCGGCCCTTTTATAGATTCGATCTAGCAAAGACCGCTAGGCTTGCACTCGAGATAAATGAAGCGCATGGAGTCTGTCCGACGTCAAGGCCCAAAGACCAGTCAAGCGGAGGGCAGTCACGTGCCTTTAGCCCGAAGCCAACCGGGCGAAGCCATTCACTAGTGTCCTGCATGCTTATCATCATTGGTCTTGGGTCAAGTGAAGGGCGCGCGTTCTGGCTAGCTGTTTAGCTCAAGCTTCTTGGGTGGTGGCTCGCGTCGGTTCCAAATACCTCATTGCTTTCCTCCCCTCCTTATCTACGCATTTGTGTGGACGGACACTACCGATTTCGCGCTACCTTGACCCCCTCTAATGAGTGAGGGGTCTTGGTGAAATGCGATCGGGACCGACCACCGATCGAGAATTGGGAAAAAGGGCTGAAGGGTGTCTAGTAGACGATGACTACCATCACGCGTGCATTAGCAATGATGGATGAGCAAGTCATCGCAAGCTCTTGCGCTGTTGCGGGTGAGGAACTGGAGCTTTGAGCCCTGCTTGGCCTTGACCCCTCCAAAGCTAGCCTCTAGCTGCATGCAGCTCGAGAACGGCATCCACCGACACGCTAATCCCGACCTCCCTCGCCTATCTAGTCAATCATAACGCATAGCTATAACCTTCGACGTCCAGATGCTTGAGGGTTGGTCGGTAATAGTTACAATTGGCTCACGAGTCATCTTCGCTAGATCCCATCAAGTCCTCAAGAAGAGAAGCCATCGACGCTGCTGAGTCACTCAAGTCGAGTAAGTCGAGTGAGTCGAATGAGTCGAGTTAGTCACCGGCGAAGCGTGTAATGTTGCACCCTCGCGCGGTCCCGCGTCCCCATTCCGCATAGCTTCTGAAGAAATCCCCACATCCACTTTAACGACTGTGGTCGACCCAATGGCATCCAAGACGGGAAAGCTATTGGGGGAAGAGCGGCCGACAGCAATCAAAAGTTCCAGGCAAAATCCATCCTTCCGTGCAACCCTTCATCATGGGAGGCGAAAATCGTGTGGATAGTTTGGGGCAAAATGAAATGTTAAAATAGACCCGATAGCTCGCCCGAGTATTGGTCTTGCGATATCTTCTCCAACTCCTTTCGTGTTTATTTCCCAGCATCTTGATTCCATCGCGGCAGACCTGTACCTCCATAGCCCTCGCCAGTAATTGCAGCCTTCATCTTTGGCGAGCAGAGGATAAAAACGCAGAAACTAGAAAAAAACAAATGAAGACGCTCGGTTCCCTGACGGCGGTTCTGCTGTTCTCCGGCAGCGCGTTCGGCGCCAAGTTTCGACGCCAAAATGTCGAACCAACCCCCACCGCCGTTGAATCCGGCTCCAGGACCCCAACGGACGGCCTAGAGGACATTACCTCGACGGCGACGCAGACCAGGAGCACCCCGACGGGAAGCCCGCTCGCCTTCTGCCAGTCCATCTTCGAGGACTACCTCGAGGGCCTCCCCGCGGTGCCCACCGAGGCCCTCTCCTTTTCCGAAGAGTACTACAGCTCGCACACCCGCACGGCCACGGAGACGCTCTCCGACTGCGCGTGGGTCACGGCGATCCCGGAGTCCATCGACGTCCCCATGGTGGACTACTTTGAGAAGCTTCTCGACTTTTTCAACGATCCCGGCAAGCAGGTGCAGCAGGTGACGCTCTCCGGGTGCAAGAACCTGGATTGGAATAGCACGGACGACGCGGTGAGCATCTGCGAAGAGTTCGACACGTATGCCGAGGAGTTGGAGAAGAGGGCGGACGAGAAGGGATTGCGCTCTGAGCCTGCGGATGACGATGACGATGACTCGGCGGGTGCGGCGACGCGTCCTACGTTGTTGGTGACGGGCTTGTTGGCATACGGTGCCTTGGCAATTGGATGGGGGCTTCTAAATTAATCCACTATAATAGTAATACCCTGTAATACACTTGCGTTCTTTGCAATCCCTTTACAATCGTGAGTCTTGGTGACAGAGACTCTCTAGCTATATGACACACACACGCACACACCGGGGAACCTAGTAGGTCTCTCCCACCCACTTAAAGAAGGAACTTGAGCGCCACTACGGCAGCCAGGCCAAGGGAATACCAGCCCTGGCTGTTCCGGCTGGCGGCACCAGTATCCGAACCTCCACCCGTGCCGCTACCACCAGCGCCGCCTTGTCCTGCCGACGCATCGGCGGTGGGCTCAACAACGACGTAGTCCTTGATGACGGCGGATCCGTCCACCAAGGCCTGGATCTGGTTCTCGGCGCAGGTGATGCCGATATCAAAGGTGTAGCATACGATGGGGCGCGAGGCGGGGAGCTCGGAGGTGACGTCGCGGACGGACATGGGGCCTTCGGAGCTGTAGTCGCTGTCGGCATCGGTCTTGCCGGAGGCGATGTCCTTACCGGACATGGCGCGGTCAAAGATGCGGTAGCCGGTCTCGGGCTGGTAGAAGGCGGCGGCGTGGCCGGCGTCGAAGACGCGGGCAAAGGAGACGTTGCCGTGCTGGCGAACGAAGCCACCGCTGTAGGTGTCGTTGGTCTGGATGGGTGTGTAGCCGGCCTTGCGGAAGGCAGCGGCGCCGGGGTAGTCCATCGCCAGGGAGAGGTCCTCGCCAGCGAACCCTAGGATCATGATATTAGTCCCGTCATCTAGCGATTAAAACACCTTTTAGGGCAGGAGCCTAGGGAAGCAAAAGACTCACAGCTGCATCGGTAGTCCAAGTCACCGTAGTACAGAGCAACGCTGACACCGTTGTCAAGGAGGTGCTCGATGGAAGCGACGCTGCGACGCATGGGGTCACCTGTTATGCCGAAGAAGGTGCTAGTAATGATGTCGTTGCTGATGCTGAAGTTGAGGGGAACGCCGAGGGCTTCCTGGACCCAGCGCTGGTTCAGGAACATGAAGGACTGCTCGGGAGGATAGACGGCGGGGTTGACGAGGGAAATATCAAAGGGGCTCCGCTATAGAGAGTTTAGTATACATTCTTCCGAAGAGCCCTTTGACGGGGAGGGCCTCGTCCACAAAGCAACCGCCAAGTTGAATGGGCTAGGAGGGGGTACTACTACTTACGCCAGACAGCGCAGTGAAGGCTCCCTGCACGACACCAAAGCACACCTGGCTCGCCGTGGCGCAAATCTCGTTGACCGAATCGTTGTTCCCCTTGCTCTCGGGGTCCTCGGCGTCGGCAGCCTTCCTGCAGGCGGCGATGAGGTCGTTGCAGCCCACTTCGGGGGCGGTGATGTTGGCCACGGCCATGGCGTAGGTCTCCTCGGAGTAGCTCTTGAAGCCAAAGGTGTTGTTCATGGCGAATTCGGGGAAGCTGGGGCCCTGGATGAGGGAGTCGAGGCACGAGTTGCCGAGGCCGAGGGTGGAGAGGGCGAGGGCCTTGTCGTTCTTGTCGGCGATGGAACCGCTCTCGATGGCGGCGTTTTGATCGAGGAAGTAGGAGAAGAAGCCGGGGCCCCAGAAACCGGCGTACTAGTGACTTTTAGTTAGCATAACGGCTCAACTTGTCTAGCGCCAGTATCTTCTGGCTCGCTGTGCACGTACCGAAGTACCCCAGAGACTAATCTCCTCGCTCGAGGTTTGGTGCTCGGGGAACCTAAAAGAACTGTCAGTATCACGTAGACGGGAAAGGGGAGGAAATCTACTCACTCTTGGAACCAGACTTGAGCAAACTTCCACATGTACTTGGCCGCGGTCGTGGTGGTGTTCACCAAGGGGGCGTATTCGGGATTGCTCTTGGTCGCGCGGACAAACGTCACGTTGGTCTCGGGGACGGCCTCTCCCTCGGCAAGGGGAGTAAACGTTTCGGTGAGGTAGTCATACGTGCCCTCGGTGAGGCTGGTGTACGAGAAACCGACGCCGACGGGCTGGTCAATGTACAGCATGTTGACGTTGGTGTTCCACGAGAACTCGTTGAGGGTGGTGCTGTTGACATCCTCGTTGATGAAGCAGGGGAAGTTGTTGGCGTTGTCAAAGGACGACGTGCCCGGCCCGCCGGCGACGTAGATGGACGTCGGGGCGGTCTCGGGGTTGTTCCTGGCCTCTGCTCCGCGGTTAGTATCTCCGTGCCGTCCTGGTCCAAAGCTTGGTCGGGAAATGGGGGAGGGGCCGTTTTCGAGTAGGAGACTTACCAAAGTACCAGAAGAACATGTTGGCGTCAAAAGTCTGGCCTCCGGCCTGGATGTCGGACAGAACCTTGGGGGAGCTTGACATAACCGCTGTACGACTTCACACCGGGTGTCGTCTCACACAGCTCAGTCTGTTATTTCATTGTTGGTTATCAGTTTTTTTGCACAGGCACGCCTTGACTTGGTTTCTGTTTTTCCCCTCGTTGTTGGACGTACCCTTTTATACTCGATAGAGGCTCCGGGATACTTTTCCGAAAGCACCTTGGTTACGCCCTGGGGCTCGGGAATGAAGCTCGCCGCTCCAATCCCGGCGAGGAGCCCGAGGGTTGCAAGTCGAGCCGCCATGATAAGCGTCAAGCAAGAGATGAGATGAATAAAAGATATCGTTAGTGAAGATGACGGAAAGAGAGTGCGTGATGAAGGAGATGGGAAAGGAGAATAAAGAAGTGAGTATGGCTTCCCGAGGACGCGGTTGATATATATATGTATATATGTGCATGCATATATCGACGTAGATCTATAAGACTATCCTCATGAGACTGAACCATTGGACCCAGGGCCTGTGCATGTTTCCCTATCAGGAACCGCTAGCGACCAAAAAGTTCCATTCATTCTCTCAATCTTCTTTTTGGAGGCGTCTAGCAGTGGCACAGCAGACAGGCATACGCGGCGACGCGACTCTCGAGACGACTATAATCCTACGATGTCCCGCTCAAGGCGAACCTTCCTGCCTCAAAGATCGTCGTCACCTTGATCGTGCAAGCCCCTCCCAAGCCTTGACCCGCGCGCGCGGCAGACCCATGCAGTCTGCCTCTTGCGTGGTACTATGTGGCCCGAGCTACGCTACGTAGACACGGTTGCAATGGGATCGCAATAAGAAGCTTAGCACAAAAAGAAAAATAGGGAGAACAGCAAAAAGAAAAAACGTATTTCTCGCACCAAGCAGACGACGTGCACAAAACCCACATCAAACGCGCTTATGACGCTGCAGGATCAAATTGATCTGGAAGGATTCGATTCTACCGGGAGGCGGGCTCCTTGGAAATTTCCAAAGACCCCCGTTGCAACGTGCTTGCGCGCACGCTGTCTGCTGGCTTGAATGTTGGCTGTGGCAGGATCAAGTGGCGGAGCCCCGGCACAGCCGATCCCCACGGCTCGCCCCAGTGAAACGGCACAAGGGACCAATTCGACCCATGGGTGGAGGTGACCAGGGTCGGACGATGGTGGTCAGCGCAATTCTCCTTTGCCTGCGTTTTTTATCGGCGATTGGCACCATGTCCCCTGATTTCTAAGCTTGGCGCTTTCTAGTGCCAAAACACTGGCGCAAAACTCTTCGAAATAGAGGCCGTCTCCCCGCGTTCCGCGTCCTTGGGCCCTCGCTCTTCTTCCCCCAAACGCCGTGCAAACGCGCGGCCGGCGGACGCTCTGGTCCGGCTTTGCTCTATTTACTCCACACTTCCCAAACATTCAAAAAGACCCCCAAAAGCCGCTAACCCAAATTCCACGTTCCTGGGATCTTGCAAGTCGAAGCTCACGCTGAAAATTATCGCCGACGATCCTGCACCACAACATTGCTTGAGTAATCGATTCTTTTCCTCTTTGCTAGTCTCTCCCCTTGGTTTACCTCACCCAGACCCGGTTGGAAAGATCGCGGTCCTTGGTCAGCAGGGTTCTTTTGGATTCTGTCCATGCGGAAGAGGTGACAGGGTCGGATTGGTAAACCCACGGGTAGACATCTATCATTTACTGCCATTGCTTGATGAAAACGGTTGGGCAGCAGATCCTGGGAGTGTCGGGGATAGGATCGATTGCTTATGTGGATCTACACTCGATGCTGCATGTAGTGAATCCAACCGTGCAATCTCTAGTTGGTGGGAGAAGATTAGTGCTGATTATTAGAAATCCTCAAATGGCGTCTATAATAACATTGAATTCTTGATACAGTCTAATTTCCTGGTCCGCAGGACATAAAAACATTATTTCCACTAACTCCGTGCATCAGCAAACGCGCCGTGCGATAACCGCTTAGCCAATGTCACGCATCGATCCTTCACGATGGGCGCACTACATCCGGAATACCGGCACAACCTTCCCCAACCCGAATGACCTCGTCGTCACATACAACAAGGGGCGGAGGCGTTGGCTTGGGTTCTGGCTCTGGCTCTGGCTCTGGCTCTGGCTCTGGCTCTGGCTCTGGCTCTGGCTCTGGCTCTGGCTCTGGTTCCGGTTCAACGTCCTCGCAAGAGCACTTGCTATCCTTGCAAACTGCCTTCTGACTGCCCCTACACGCGAGCTCGGCGCACGCATTCTCCTTGTCGCACACAGAGTCCGAGGGCTCTTCCGGGTCCGCATCAGGGTCCTCCGAACCAGGCGGAATCTGAGGGCCGCCCGACTCCCCCACCACCGGGGATCTGAGGGCCGCCTGACTCTTCGCCGCCGCCGGGGGCCAGAGGGCAGGATTCTTGTCTGCGTTGCACGCCGGGGGCCTGAAAAACCTGGTCTGAGAGCGGAGACCACTGCGCTTCGCGGCCCTGCGTCCCCCTCCCTTCGACCCAGAGCTTCCAGCCCGCCTTGTCGCTGCAGTCGTGCGCGGGCCGGTATTGGAGGAGGGCCTTGCCGCGCGGGGTCCCAAAGTCCTTGTCGCCGAGAATCTCGGGAACCAGCGCCCGGTGCTCCTGTTGCTCTCTAGTCTTGGCCTCGAACCCGGCTACGTCGTTGAAGAGGAGGGCGAGCTCGATTTCGGTCTCCAGGGTCCTTGACTTCTCGAACCACGCGTTGGGGAGCGTGAGAGGCGCGTAATCTACCACTTCCGTGGAGCCGAGGTTGGGGAACTTGGAGCTGAGTATGTCGAGAATGGTGATGACCCTCTCCGTGTACATCCACAGCCCGGCGTTTAGGTTCTCGTCCATCCGCACCTCGTCCGGGACGGGGACGGGCGCTCCGTCGAGCCCGTACAGCATCTCTCCCAGCTCGTTGGTCTGGTACAGGTTGGCGCGAGGGCGCGGGGTGACGATGAAGGCGTGCAGATCAATGGCCTCGTTGGCATCGCGATCGTCGCCAAAGATGAGGCCCTCGGGCGCCCCTCGGCCCAGTTATGCAACTCATTCAGGCCGTAAGGGTGGAACTCGTCGCCGCGGCCTAAAAAGAGACCGAGGAAGGCCCGCTCCTCAAACGTCGTGCTGTCGGGGTTGAAGTGCGGCTCCCAGATGTGGCTGACGAACGCGCCCTTGGTCGAGACGAGCACGACCGAGGTGCAGCCGTACAGGCCGGCTAGCGCGATGGACTCTACCTTGTCCCCGAACACGACGTAGTTGGACGTGGTGATGTCCCCGAGCTCCGGTGTGGGGAACTTGACGAGCTTGCCGCCGTCCTCGGCGATGCCGTCCGCCTTGAGGGAGGCTTCCATGACCTCGCCGGCGACGAACTTGGAAACGTCGTCGCCGTAGTCTTCCGGCCCGACGGGTTCGCCCTGGGAGGGTTCGCCGCGCTTGGAGAGGAACTCGAGGGCGGCGTCCACGTAGGCTCGCTTCGCGCGAGAGGCGGCGGGGCATGCGCCGGCGCCGCATGTGTCGGGTGCGCAGAGGGGGTGCGTAGGGAGGGTCACGTCGAGGGTGGCGGTGGTGGTGGTGGTTGTGATGGAATTGGTGACGCTGCAGTCCGTGATTGTTGTCCAGGAAAGGGACGTGCAGTCCTGGCTGGGTTCTTGACGGCGTTTATCGTGGTTGACGGCTGATAGAAAGACTCTTGTTAGCAAAGCGTACGTGGCTGGTTGGGTTTCCGAGGGTGTGGTCTTGCCATCACTCACTTGTAGTTACGGTGCAGAACACGCTAATATATGTTGCCGTCATGGTTTGTGTGCACTCGGGCTCCTCTTCCTCATCGTCGTCCTTTTCCTTTTCGTCGTCATCTTTCTTCTCGTCGACTTGTTTCTCCTTCTCGGGGCACTTCCCAATCTTGAGGCCAAACAACTCGACGCAAAACTCGGGCACGTCAATCTTGACGTTAGGAGGGAAGGACGTGAAGCAGTCAAAGCAGACAATGGGAGGGCCGTTGAAGGGTATGATAACTGCAGTTGGGTTTCCGAACCTTGTGTTAGTGCCATGTTCAAAAGCTTGCATTGGGAAGCGTGTATTTATGATGGGGGAAAAGCAGAAAGGGAAGCATCTACGCACCCGGCACAATGGTCTCTTCGTCGCTGCCTTCTTTGGTCGTTGTGATGTACTCGGGATCCGTTCTCGTAGTCTCTGACAATGTGACCAACTTGGCATTAGTAGGAATTGCCGTTATGACGATTGGTGCATCGGTGACTTGGGTCGGTTTCGGGTCCTCGTCGTCCGTTGGAGGGACCTCTTCATCATCGGTGGGCGGCTCCTCCGACTTGGGCGGAGGAGGCTCTTCTGAAGGTGTTGGTCGAGGACCATTGGTAGTCGAGGGCGGGGAGTGATCAGATCTGTTGACTGCGGACCTTCAGTTTCGGTTGTTGTAAGGACCCCAGAATCCGTTGTCTCCGATTCTTCGGGCTCTGTTGGCTGAGGGGCCTCAGTTCCGTTCGTCTCCAACTCGGTCGTGACAGTGATTGAGGAGGTTGTGGGCTGGGGATTCTCCAAGTCTGTTGACGAGGGGCTTTCGGAGTCTGTTGGCTCTAAATCCCCGAATCCGTTGATTGCGAGTCTTGTGATTGTGTCTGTGAAGAAGTCTCCGTTTCGGTTAGCTCGGAAGACGTTGCTGAGCCCAAGGACTCGGCGTCTGTCGAGCTTGGCAGCGGCTCCTCCCCGCTTGTGGGTTGCTCTACGGGAGGATTCGCGATTACGAAGACACGTTCAACCCAATCTGTGACCGTTTCAACCTCGACGCGAACCCTCTCCACGATGGAATCGAGCTCGACCGAGTCCCCTTGGCCGCGCCGTTACGAAGCTCCTGGATGAGGTCAACGAGGTAGCACACCAACTTGTTGGCCTCCTGGGACAGGATGGGTGGATCCGTGGAAGGAGGTAGATTATCGCACTGCAGGTCCAGGTCATCGCTGCTGATAGTGTTGACCAGGTTGGCCCAGGGGAGATGAGAGCCTCGACGGCGCTGATGGCAGGAGTGGCATTCTCGGGAATCGGAGCGTCAAGCCATTGCGTGACCGCAGGCAGCGCAGCGGCTACGCTCGACGACAGATCCGAGACGCTCTGCCTCGCTTCATCGCCGGCCGGGTCTAGGAGCGTCGGACCCGGCGTGGGAAGACTAATGGGCTTGGTGATGGGGCCGCCAGAGATAATAATTTCCGTCCGGGTGGCCTCGTCTTCAATCACAGTTCTCGTGATTACGGTGGGATCGGTCACTGGAGTTCCGCAGAGGTTGGGGTCTATTTTGCTCAAGATGCACTTGGGGAAGGGCGCTTCGGATGTGGTGCCGTTTTGGAATTGGGCGGCCCGGACGAGGCCGAGCCACCATAGAAGAGGTGCCGCACGCATAGAGAGCGAAATAGTCGACAGCCGCCGACTCGAGGGATAATCAGCACGGTCGAGTACCGAGTGAAAAGTACGATCGCGACAGCAGGCGATTTACGTCGGTGTATCCGTAGGGAGATCGGATCAAGCCACGAAATTTCCGTGGATAGGATAGGATAGTTTTTATAACTTGACTGTCTACATGTTCTCAGTGATCGACGCCGTTTGCCAGTCAACCTTGGGCAGGCAAACACGAGATCGGGCATAGAATCTTGCATCACAGCCATTGTTTTTTGTCGACTTTGCCGTTGCCGCTTAAACCCATGTCCTTGCAAGATGCGGATAGCTTCCCAGCTTCCCAAAGAGCGCTTGCGGACCGAGAGCCGCCTAATTAAAGGGGAGCTCGAAACCATGCGGGCTCGATCCTGCCCTGGGAGGGACCCATCAACGACGAACGCCATGCGCCACCCGCCGATGTAGGTCAAGGGGAGGCTGCGAATAGCAGTCGGGCAAGGGTTGGGACGACATGGGTTTTCATTTTTTAGTGTTGAAGTTGTGGGCGAAGCACAGGTGTTGTGTCGGAGCTACTCCAGTTTGGATGCGCGGAGGATCAACCTGCTGGAAATAGAGGCCAATGACGGAGCTGGCGCGGGACCCCACAACGGAGGTGGTCCTTATTAGTTCGTCCCACTGAAATTAGAGGACCCTCAGTGCCGTTTATCGACATTTGAGTGTGGCTCGTCTCAAACTGGGTCCAGCTAATAAGCACTGCCTACCTCGAAACAAACACGGCGAAAAGACGAGAAGCTCAAGAGCCTCAAGACCAAGTCAGAGATCCATTGCGTTTAGAGTCTATTCTCAAGGTGTGGAGACTGCCTTTGTCAACATCCAACACCTCACATCTCGAGGCTGAGTCGTCTGTTCGAAGAAATTAGGACAGCCGGCAACATTAAAAGCAGAGCCTGAGGCTTCCATATCTGCATCAATTTTCTTTTCTTTCGTTCTTCGTTTTTTCATAGTTAGCGCTCTTGAGCACTTGCAGTGCAGATCAAAAATGACATTGTCTTAGCTCTGCTCGTGTAACATGGCCTTTGCGTTGTGAGACTGCGTAGATGAACCGCGTTCCCGTCGTTGGCCCTACTCGTGCCACGCACCCCGGCATAGCTCGTGATTTCTCCCACGAGGCGCTTGACGCGAGCAGTTTTGCGGTTGGAGGACGTCGACTGCAAACGCCATCATCGTCCCGTGTTTAAACAGGGTCTTCCTCAACCGCCCCACGCGCGCGCCCCTGGCCGTGACAGATATCGATAGCCATGATTATGAGTGACATAAGCCGTCAAGCCTCGGTTCCAAAGAGCACATCAATTGATAAGTCCAAGCCGACGTTGCTGAAATAGTGGTGCAATGGATGGGCTCAGATTTCAGGGAAAGTCGCCACGATCACACCCATAAAAACCAGCCAGTAGCCGCTGTGTCTTTTAAATCAAGTTCGCGTGACATGTTAAAGACAAATCCCATTTCAGACATGGCCCTTTGACAACCTCGGTGGTTGGAGAAACACCCGTGGCCGAAAGTGGCTTGGTGAACCTCTTAAAGTTCCGTAGTGTTTTCTTTTGATGGGACTGCCTAAGCCTGTTGATCGTGACGACAACATGAGAAAGAACAAAGCCTTCCTTCTTGATTGTGCCTTCACGTGGCCCCCACAGGACCAAAAGCTCCGAATCAATCAAAAAAACGCCCTCATCAATTGATCCATCCATCCTTCGCAGGGTGACTCAGCAGGCTCGCCCAGCACAAGCCAATCGCCTCGTCTCAGCACAGGCCCGATCGCCAGGGTTCGATGATGGGTGCCACCCGCTGAAGAATGGGGCTTGACCACTCAAAAGCGAGCAACGCACCTGCCGCTGCAGCAACCACGTCCCCCGAAAGGAACCTACGTCACAGCAACCCCACAGGCGCATTCCCCTCTGTTGCGTCCTCCCTCAACGGTCAATTGATGGCGGGGTGAATGAGAATTTGACCAAAAGCCCGCCCCAGGACCAAGATCAATCTGGAGCAGTGTGCGCCGCCAACAACCTGCAGGCACTGGGCAATGATGTAATTTTTGTGATCCCGCGGACCCGAAAAAACCGTTTGCTGCGATCGGGAAGGCACGCCAGATCGTCAGGTTTTACCTTTGGCCAAACACGAGGAAGCACAAGGGCACAATTATTGCCCCTCTTGATTCTTTCTCGTTCTCCCTTGTTCCTGCCCTTGTATTATTTTTTTCTTCTCTTCCCTTTTTTACCTCTTCTCGACCTACTTTCTCTCACTTCGCCATGCCTCACTCGCATCAAGCCATCTAACAATTGCTTCTCCAGACCATGAAGAATATCACCAAAGGATAACAGGAAACCCTGCTTTCCAACACCTCCCTTGCCTCGGCAAACCTCGTTCTCAACTCCCGTAGCCCTAAGTGATTCAGTTCCAAAGACAAAATAATCCTAGAAATAGCGGGACATAAGAAAAACAAAAAGATGGTGCGGCCACCCATCAGCAGCACGCTCTCCTCGAGCGGCCAAAGGAGAACTTCGGCATCCCTCCACGCCGGCGGCCCCATCACGAACCGGGGCTTTTTCGACTCCATCCACCACGGCCGGCAATTTCGCCGCAGCTCCCACCGATACCACACCTTTCCCACCCCTCCGCTCGCCACACCCCGCGACAACCGCGAATTCCCCGGCAGCTCGGAAGAGTCTCGCCGCAACGGCAACGGTAACGGTAACGGTAACGGCCCGCCCTCGACGTCGTCGTCCAGCTCGAGCCAATCCCCCTCCCCGTCCGCGAGCTCGCCCTCCTCGCTGTGCTATCCTTTGCCGAACAAACAGCCCTCAATTCCATCTCGCCCTACCTCCCGTCCATGATTCTCAGCTTCCCGGAAATCAAACCGGAACAAGTCGGCCTCTACGTTGGTCTCGTGGCGTCCGCGTTCGCCTTGGCGCAGCTTTCGACCAATTTCCTGTGGGGCTATCTTTCCGACCGCATCGGGAGAAAGCCCGTCCTCGTGCTCGGCACCACGTTGCTGGCGGTGTGCTTCGTTCTCTTCGGCTTCTGCAAGACGTACTGGCAGGTCATCGCCGTCCAGATCGCCATGGGCATGCTCAACGGGAACGCCGCCGTCGTCCCCACCGCCCTGGGCGACTTGACCGACAAGTCCAACCAGGGTACCGCGTTTACCTGGCTGCCCGTCATATACTCTCTGGGTTCCATATCGGGCCCGGCTCTTGGGGGTTTGTTGGTTGGCGCGATGGGGGACGAGTTTCCCTTTTGGCCTCCAACCTCGCATCCGCGCTTATCCTCGGCATCGGGGCCATTATTGTCGGGATATGGCTGGAGGAGCCGCATGAGGATAAGCCGGGCGTGCACGTAGTTCGAGCATACGTCAGCACTTCCAAGCCGCGCGACGAGACTCCAACGCCTCGTCCTCTTGGACATGGTTCTTGAAGCCGAGCAAGGGGTCTTCCGAGCGTCAGAGCCTTATCGGCGGCGGCAGCGAGGCCGGTGATGATGGACGTGCCCCGGATCACGACCAAGACGGGTACAGCGACCAATACCATCACCGCCAACCGTCGTGGACGGATTCTTTTCGCGAAATCTTTAACCGGTCCACAATATCTCTCTTGCTGTCGTACCTCATCTACCAGTTCTCCAACATCTCATTCAACAGCCTGTACCCCATCTTCGCTACCGCCCCGGGCCCGACGGGTCGCAGCCTCGACCCTAGCACCATCGGCCTGAGCTTGAGCATCGCCGGTGTCTTCACGATTGTCTTTCAGCTCCTCGCCTTCCAACCTATAAGGATACGCCTCGGGAATCTGGGACTCTACCGTGTCGCGCTACTTGGTCTGGCCATCAGCATGGGCTTGATGCCGTGGACCTGCAACATCACCTCGGACCCGCCGTTCGGCGTGGGCACGGGGAAACAGTGGCTGTATGGAGAGCTCGGCGCAATTTTGATTATTAAGAATATCAGTGCCGTGGGGGCTCTCGTGCGTCCTGCTCCTGGTAAGTTCAATCCTCACCCCATTGAGGGACCAAGGTGGTTGATAAAAATCTGCTGCTGAATCCCCCGCTTCTATCTCATTTCGTGAATGTGCGCTAATCGGGGCCACCTCCTCTACCTCTAGATTACCAACTCCGCCATGTCCTACTCTAGCCTAGGTACCCTCAACGGCATTGCCCAGACGATTTCCGCGGCCGGACGGAGCATTGGACCATTCCTCGCCGGGTCTACATTCTCACTCAGTACCCGCTTAGAGCACAAGGGAGAAGCCCTTGCGTGGGGCCTGTTTGGGGGCATCGCCCTGGTCGGCTGGCTTACAACATGGGGCATCGATGGCAAAGGCTTGGAGAGTGACGACTGGCAAGGAAACGACGGAGATTCCGAGGCCTCTGTATAGTATCATGCATACCTAGCGTACGTGTATTTGGAAGGAATAGGTTTTGCGGTGGCGCCTGGCATAAAGGGATAAATACTAGCGATATTGAGCGTTTGCATCTTGAAAGAGGGTCCCCGTCCGGTATCCCTGGCTGGAATCGTGTCCTCGGTCATCAGCTGCACAGATACCCCTACCTCACGGCGCTCCATCGGGCCTGATCGTAGTTTCGGCCTAGACATGATGTCGGACCGACCTGGTGCTAGTGAAGGATGGGAAGCCCTCGCCGCAGATGTCGTGACAAGTCTGCGGCCAATTTCGTATATAAATGGCACAAACCTATGGTGTAATCCGGGTGATAAGGTGGAAGGATGTGGAGGAGGGTGGATCTATCTATCCATGGGTGCATGGATGCATGTATTCCTTAAGGTTAGGTGGATAAGGAGCCCACCCACGCTTCATGAAGATGCGGCTAGCTCTTTGCAAGCCTCTTCGCCGCAAAGACCAGCAACGTTGGTCGTAAAGCAGTGTCTTGTCGCCTTTCTGAGTGTCATGTTTGGGGCACGACGCAGGTCACATTGATGCTAGCGACTTGACTGCGGTGTGAACATTTGATGAGGACTTCATCGAACAGACCTCGCATAGAAAAAGCATTGGTGCAAGGTATAAGCTATAGTACGTACCCTGATGGCAGTTGTAGAAGAGTGACATGCGGCTTCCGAGCACCTGGGTCGTGGATACTAAGTTAGAGTCGTTAGGTTTCGCTGTTTAAAACCTCGCCTAAATAGCCGAGTCCACCACCCTCGGCGAGCTTATCCTCGCAAAGGGCGGGGAACATGTATAAACTGACCTAACTTAGTTGAGAAGCTAAAGTGCATCTAGAATGTAGGGCTACGCACGAAGCTGGGAGAGGAAGCGGGGGACGCACGAGGCTTCTTTACATGCACAACTCGGCCGAGAAGCGGCCTTGGAGGGAATAAGCCCTCTTTCCTTCTCAGAACAGATTCTGGGGCCCGAGGCCAAGAGGCGGACGGTCGCCGTTAGCTCGTCCGATTAACCGAACCCCCTCACGGAGCTGCCAACTACACGCCAGACGCACTCCCAGGATACAACCATCTTGCCATCATCAAGGCGTTCCAGCCGAGAATTTGCCCGACTCTAAGGAATCCTCCGCTCGAAAAAGTCTAGTTCGATTCCCTTGCCCCAACATCCGGCTTCTTCGCAGTTGAGGTGCTCCCTCCCCGCATCCCCCAGGATTTTGGAGACCCGCTTCGAAACGTGACGTAACTGGCTCCTTCTTCCGCCTTAGCCGCTCATCTGACTGGCCCACAGACATCGTGTCGGCTCCGGAGTTGGAGAACAATGGAGGGCCGAGTTGCTCAGACGTCTCCAACTTTTTTTTTTTTTCACCTCTTCGTCATCGCCGTCTCCATACCTAATTCTTGGCGCCGGGCCGGGTCGTCGAATGGCAGCACGCTCAGAGTGCCGCTAAGATAATCATGCATGGCGACATAGATCGCGGCTACTCTCATCGGACCTTTCTCCGCCTTGGATGCATGGTGCATTCAGGATATCACGATCTAGTTGTCCGGGAGTTGTGAAAAAGAAACTGTGAGGTGAAAGAAAACCATCAACGCCGATGGCTCCGCTGACAAATATTCCTCGCTCTTGTGTTGTAAACCACACGTCGATCGCGAACTGTAGACATTTTGGTAGTATATAACATCGCAAGTCCCTCCCGATAATGCATCACATTCTAGCAAGCTTTCCAGTTTGATTAACCCCCTTCATCATCTTGACCATGGCACCTTCAGCTCTCTTCGCTTTCTTTCTCGGCATCGTAGCTACGGCCTCGGCCGCACCTCACCAAGCGCGCGCCAATGGTAGCTCTGATGCACCCACCGTCCAACTGCCCGCCGGCTCCTACTATGGGCTCTACAAGCCCGCGTACGAGCAGGATGAATTCCTAGGTATCCCGTACGCCCAGCCGCCCGTCGGCGACCTGCGCTTCCGGCCGGCCCAGCCACTCAACCAGACTTGGGATGACCCGCGCAACGCAACCGAGTACTCGCCCCAGTGCTTCGGGTACGGCAGCGACACTTGGGTTCTCGGAAACTACGTGTCCGAAGACTGCCTCACCATCAATGTCGTCCGGCCCCACGGAATCGCCCCGGACGCCAAGCTTCCCGTCGCGGTGTGGATCCACGGCGGCGGCCTCACCAACGGCGGCGCCTCCGACCCCCGATACAACCTCACTTTCATCGTCGAGCAGTCGGTCAAGATGGGCACCCCGTCGTGGTGGCGAGCATAAACTACCGCCTGCACTTTTGGGGCTTCCTCTGGAGCGCTGAGGTCGCCGAGGCGGGGTCCGGAAACCTGGGCTTCCGCGACCAGCGAGTCGCCCTTGAGTGGGTGAACGAGAACATCGCCTCCTTTGGTGGCGATCCCAACAAAGTCACTATCTGGGGCGAGAGCGCCGGGGCCCGTAGCGTCGCCACGCAGCTCTTGGCCTACGGCGGCCGGGACGACGGGCTCTTCCGCGCGGCGGTCATGCAGAGCGGGACGGGGCTCGATAACTCTTTCAACGAGGTCCCGAGCGAGACGGATGCCGACCAGGATGCGTACGATAGTATTGTGGAAGCGGCTGGATGCTCGTCGACCGATGATACTCTCCAGTGCCTTCGGGGACTTTCCGCTTCGACTCTGAGCGATATCTTCAACAAGACGACCAGCCCTGGGTTCGGGAGCGTTGTCGATGGAGAATTCCTGACGCAGCCGCGTTCCGAACTGGTCAAGGCTGGCCAATTCGTGTCCGTCCCCATCTTGATCGGCACCAACTTTGACGAAGGCACCCAGTTCGGAAAGAAGGGTATTGATACGGATGAGCAATGGGCCGAGTACGTGGCGTCCTCGGGCGCCAGCAATGCCACCATCGAGGCGATCTCCGCTCTTTACCCGGATATTCCGAGTATCGGTCTCCCCGCCACCTTGGACGGCAGGCCCTCTGGTGATCTCGCCACTTACGGCCAGCAATGGAAGCGCGTCGTCTCTTTCAGCGGAGACCAGAGACAGCACGCCGCACGGCGCTGGTTCGCACGCCAATGGGCGGGCCGGAACCAGACAGCGTACACGTACCACTTCAACGTTTTGGTCAACGGCCTCTCTCCGGCCCAGGGGTCCTCGCACTTCCAGGAGGTTACTTTCGTCTTCAATAACGTGCAAGGTTTGGGCTACGAGACTGCCGTGGCGAAGAATCCGTACGAGGGCCAGCCGGAGACGTTTGTAACTCTGGCGGATACCATGTCCAGAATGTGGGTGAGCTTCTTCACAAACATGGACCCCAACTACAGTGGAGGTAAGTTTTTCCTTGTTCCCCATATACTGGCCAAGGACGGTGAAATGGTACTAAAAACACAAGCCTCTTGCACTCGATGGCCTACCTACTCTGTTGACAACCCGCGAAACATGGCTTTCGATGTCAACGCAACGTCCGTCAATTATGTGGAGCCAGATACCTTTCACATGGAGCAGATTGAGTACCAGATTGGAAAGTACTGGGGCACAGATGAGAGTCTTGCGGGACACTGATTTCGTTCGTCGAACCTGATCGCTGCTTGGGTTTGTTGAAATTGCTGGGGTTCAAAGAGGCACTCATCTCGGAAGGGACGAAGAGAAATCCAGACAGAACAGAGGAATGAACTTGGGCCGGTGCTGAAGCACGCGATATAGTGCGCGAAATGAACAAGTAAATATGGCCGCTACAAAAATTAGGCATGGGCTGTACAAATTTGAACTTCCATACTTGTTATGACCCTTTGACGTGATATGTCCATTTCTACACCAAGGTCAATCATACGGTAGAGAATGTTGTTGAGCTTCAACAGCGTACTTTTACAGGATAGGCCGTTAGTTCGCGATGGCGAAAGTGAAGTCATCAGCTCTGCGGTTGCGTACGTGCCTAGGTTGACCAATTCAGGGGGAATGAATGATCAGATGTGGCACAACAAGGGGAAAATAGCTGTATTGTCGAGCGCCATCGCGCACCTAAAAGCATCATCATAGATGGATCAATTGGATCCATGGATTCGTTTTCCTTGCGATACACTCGCCTGTTGACCTCATGTTTGCCTAGACGCGGCCAATGCGGGCGTTCAGGGTCTCGACCAATTCTAGTACAACCTTAAACCCCATTCCGTAAAAGAAGGCAAAAGGCACCAACAAGAGTATTGATTGTTAGATTGGGGTTAACTTAAGCTTGGCAGGCTCCGTGACCATTTAGCACCGAATTCGAGCATTTCATTGGACCCATCGTGCACAGCTGAAATGGTAGCGTAGGCTTGGGTCACCTCAGCTGTTCTTGGCGACCAATATTTCCCGTATTGAGGCAGCACGCCCCCTTGTCCCCCATCCCTTTTTGCACATGGCGAGCTTTGGGCACGTTGGGGAGCAAGTAAAAATGCCTGTCCCTGGGTCGGACTTGGTCATCTGGGCTTTCTCCTCCCTTTTTCCTGGTGAATGAAAGAGATTGTAACGAAGGTTGAACAACCATTTTCCCAGTGTGTGCTATTGTCACCCATTTTACTTTGCCCTTTTCGTTCCAGTAGTGCTTTGAATTCATTTTCGCCACCATGTCAGACAAGGTCGCACAGGAGCTACCTCCGCAGCCCACCGAGCCAGCTGCCGGTGCCGCCCAGGAACCCGAACCCCCACAGCCGCTGGACTCGGAAGCTGCAAAGGCCGTCGACCCTCAGCCTCAACCCGAGCAAGGGCCGCCCAAGCCCTCGAGCTCGGCGTCCTCACGCAAGTCTGGCGAACAGCCCACGGATCGGGCGGCAGACGTCCAAGTCGGCCGCAAGAGTGTTGACGATTCCGAGGAGGCGGCCATCATCCGCGCGGACGAAGAGGTCCAGGAGACTCTACAGCAGCCGCCCCCACCGCAGTTTACCGGCACAGACTTCAAGTCTTTTACCAAGACGATGTTCTTAACATGTAAGGGGGCCTTCGGTCTTTGTCTCTCTCACGGCCCGGATCGACTCTAACTCTCATTGGTGCGCAGTTGGTACTCTGGGCACGTCGACCCTGGTTGCGCCCTTTCGCGGAAAGAAGGGGGCGCCGAGCTTCAAGCGCCACGTGGCCTACCGCACCGTGAGGAGCTTCCACCGCCGCGCCGACACAAAGATGTTGCAGTACGTATGCCCCCAGAAGAAGAAGATGCGCGCCGCTGTCCCGTGCTGACCAAGTGCGCTGTATAGGGCAATGTCACCCAAGACCTTCCAGACGTACGGGGCCTTTTGTCGCAGCAAACGCCTGACGGAGCAGGTTGTCGACCTGGACCACAATGCCAAGGCTCTGTGGCTTGGAGACCGCGCGGAGGGGACCGTCCTTCTTTGGTTTCACGGTAAACGTCTTTTGTCCCCCTCAGACGCGGCAACACGAACTAACATCTTTCTCCCGTATTCAGGAGGCGGTTTCGCACATAGCGCGATGCCCGGGCACTTGGAACTGATATGGGCCTTTATGGAAGCAGCAAAGGCAAAGGGCTCTAAGCTTTCGTGCTGCCTCGCCCAATATGGTGAGTTGCCTTTCCGTCTATAGATATTGGCCTTCGGGGTATATTTTATTCTCCGCTAAAGCGCCTTGAAACTAGACCTTGCTCCGGAGAACACTTATCCGACGCAGCTCCAGCAAGCCGTTGCTGTGGCGAACCACCTGGCTGATGAAAACATTCCCCGATCGAGGGTCCGTCAGTCCCTTTTTTCTTCCTACCTCAGAACATATCTCCTTGCGACATTGCTAACACTCTAGTAACGCGCTCCCTCTCTCTAGATCATCATCGGCGGCGACTCGGCAGGCGCCAACCTAGCACTAGGTCTTCTCTCCCATCTCCTCCACCCCAACCCTCTACTTGATCCCGCGCGGGGTACCGGATCCTTCAAGGGCGTGGCGCTTCTCTCGCCTCTCGTGACATTTGACCTAACTGCGCCTTCAATCAAGAAGAACGAGGGCAAGGACGTTCTAGAGCGGTCGACCCTCAAGCGTTGGGCTGACAACTACCTAGCCGGCACGGCACAAGACGCTTACAACGCACCTCTCGGCGCCGAGGCAGGTTGGTGGGAGGATATGCCCACCGAGGCGTTGTGTGTGGTGGCGGGCGAAGACGAGATGTTCATCGACGATATCCGGGCTTTTGTGGAGAAACTCAAGGTAGGCAGGCATCCAATGTCGGGTTGTCACTCTGATACAAGTTTACTACTCGTATTTCGTTCCGGGCTAACGATATTCATCCTCTCTAGAAACATCATGAGGGCAAGTTAGTGTACACCGAGGGCAAAGGAGAAGCGCATGATGCGCCCATCTTCGACTACCTCTTTGGAGCCGCGCACAGAAAATTCAAGGAGGCAATCGATACTTGGATCGTTGAGCGTGTATAGTAGGCGCATTTTCAAACTTTCCGATTCATCTTGTACCATCCGGGCTAGAAACGATGCCATACTATTCATGTCCCATTGGGTTGAGCCTATATATTCTGTTGCTTTACGTCCACGACTTGGCAAACCGTAGTCAGCGTTCCCAGCCTGTAAATGTTGATATTAGACGTCAGCCCAGATTCAAAATAATCCTCATTTTCTTAAGCAGCAGGATTCGATTCTCTTACCACCATGACCTATGCGGATCCCGCCTATATAGAGCTCTAAAACTGCAAACTCACTTCGACGAATACGTCGTAGAGAGTTCTGCCGTCAAGAAACGACAGGCAGGTAATCTGTCCACGAGACTGTCGGATAGGCTCCAGCCGGCGTGATAGTCAGGCACCAAAGCACCAGTACCAGTGTCCCTATACGATATATCAGGTACACGAAAAAGCAAACCACCATCATCCAGGTCACTATTTCGCGCGAGATCGAAGGTGTCGGCGGGTCCGGGGTTCGATCCAAGAAAAAGCCCAGGATCACAACGGTGGGGCCGATGGCCGTTGATCCTAGAGCGAACCCCTCCACAGCCACCTCGCGATCTCCGTGGGGAACGCCCAATTCCAGGCGACGAGGTGCAGTGCCCCAAACCCGGCCGCCACTACGTGGAAAAGCCCCGCGGTGAGTCGGTCATCCGACGCGTCGCCTCCGCTCTCGTCCAGGCTGATCCGAACCATGCCGGTCTGGATAGTTTCCGAACTAGTCGGGATCCTCTCCCATCGGCCTTGGTTTCCGAGGTAGTTCTTGATATTTGCGATTCCGCTCGGGATCACGGTCTCGGGTAGCACCCAAACGTGTTCCGCGCCATAAGGCTTATGCCACCACAGGGCGTACATCATGATGGCGCAGAGCACGTAAGCCGCCGTGCACAGCTCGAGCTGGGCGCTCTCCAGGCCGGCAGAGTAGCGGGTGATGCATTTTACGACTAACCAGGACGATTGCACCACTGCGAATACCTTGGCAAACGCGTCGGATTTGGCAAAGGTATCGACGTCGGCTTTCGAAAAGAAATACTGCTTACGCTCGGCGGGGCTGCAGGTGGCCATTGCCTTGACTGAATCCGGCTTGATTAGAAGCGAAAGCCCTTGCCGCGACAAGGAAGGGAGGTCTCCTCATAAGAGATGAACCAAGTATTATAGGAAAGACGTACCGTAGTTATCTAGGGTCAGGGCCATACGGGACGCGGAGTTATCCCACGCTAAACCGCCCATGTTGGCGTAGAATGCATGCGTCAGGGTAAGATTCTCGCTCAGATACCAACAGACGTCTTCCGGGGCTCGATCAGAATACTTGGCCAAGGTATCGAGGGTCTTTCTCGCTTCTTTTAGTGTGCGACGAGCTTTCAAGAATTCGTTCGCGGCCAAGCCTACGCCGACCTCGGGCGCCACGATGATGATGGCCATCCACCGTATCCTGCGCAACATCTTGCGCCGGCCATGTTTTTGCGGCCAATAGGGTATGTCGTACACGCTGTGCCATCCATCATTCATCTCTTCGTAGCTGGGGATGTTGAGGTGGAAGCATTGGTAGGAGCAGATGAGGAGGACGGACAAGCACTCCCAGATGATGTTGATCGTGCCTCGTTGTTGGGGAGGGGTTACCCAGCCCACGTGTTGGTCGTGCGGGAGATTGGGGATTTCTGACGCGGGGACGGATGCGCATTGCACGGAAGCGAGGAGCGCCCAGCTCAAAAGGAGAACAGTCGGGCGGTAGCCCATTGAGAGAGGAAGCAAGTTCAATGCCTCGAGGTGAGTTGGGCGGTGCTGTTAAAACGATGCCACCAGATACCGCTTCATAGAGTGACCGAGGAGGAAAAGAAATGGTGTTGTTGCAAAGAAAAATAAAATATCATGTTGTAAATTCTCCAAGAAATAAAGGGATGAGGAAGGAATAATAACCGTTTTGCATGGGGACGATTCTTCGAGACGGGCTTCAGCTGGATGTCAGTGGCTCCATGATATTGGCTGGCGACATGAACAACCCGCAGGACCCTGCTCGAGCTAAACCACTTTGTCGCGTCAATCTAGGGGTTCGGAGTCTTAATTCTTTCGAGGCGCATTCCAGCTGAGCACCAGGCTGGAGCCTGGTCCTCCTCCCCGAAGCCAAACCGAATACAAAATAGAACGGTGTTGGCGGGACGAGGAGGTCAAAGTTCCGCATGCTGCATGTCCTAGCGTGATGTAGGCTGGACTGAAGATGAATGGAATATTTATGCTACAGCTAAGTCCACGGCGGTTGAACACGGATCGCGGCGCGATTTCGATTAACACTGGAGAACCCGTGAACCTGGCCCCCTTCACTTGATTTCTTCGCAGTAGAAACTTGTACTGAGGAGAACGTTTTTTTCATTGTAAAGAAACTCTAGCGCATTATTACCGTGGCGAGTCGTGTGCTGACTGACTTCTCTTCGTCTTCGTTTCAAAGGAACATGACATGAAATGCCCATACATGAATGCCGGCGACCTTGCTGGCAACTCCCAATCACGCCCGACTCCAACGCCGCAGAACTCCGTGAAGAACAACAAAACAGAACATTGAACGAGAGAGCGTATCAAAAAGACAAAAACGTAGACAGGACAAATTAGCAATCTCCTCCCAGAAACCTGCAAACAAAAGATCAAAAAAAAAAATCAAAAATCAAAAGGCAAAGAAAAGGCAAGGGAAAGAGAAAAGATAAAAAACCCTAAAACTCCGGCCAACATGCAATGAGGAATCTCGTGTCATGATACACCGAACCATGCTCTTTTGTGTCGCTGCCAAACCCTCTCTTCTCCCTAGACCTTCCGTGATTAACACCACCGCGGGGACGCGGCCCAGTGACGCAGCATGGTGGTGACTGCGCGATTCCACTCGTACTCGAAGCAGGCGGCAAGTTGTTGGATTTCGTCATCGGTAGGATTCATATCTCCCCACATTTCGGGCTTGGCCGCCTCAATGGACGCATAGCTGGCAACGAGATCACTGCAGAAAGCCGGGGGTCAGTACGCAATGTAACGCCCGAGGGGCTTTAAGGGGCCTAGAGGGGGGAATGGGCCAACTCACTCGCTAATCATCTTTCTCAAGAGGAGCCAGGCGAGGTTCCAGCTACGATTCGAGTCCGGGTCGCTGCGCACCCTCATCTCGGCGGCGTAGATGATGGCCGAGCAGATGGGATAGTCCCGGGTGAGGCCGCGGAGTTCGGTGAGAAACTGGTTGCTGGAGACGTAGTAATCCCAAGCGGCGGTCATAGGGCCCTGGAAGGCGCGGGCATCTTCCTCGCGATCGCAAGAGGCGGCAAACCGCTCGATGCGGCACAGCTCGGTAAGGGTGTTGACTCGGTGGGTTTCGAGGGACTCGATGAGTTTACGCACGGATTTCTTGAAAAGCCAAAGGTTAGTAGTGCCCGCTAAAGTGGTGACACGCGGGACGAGGCAACTCACATGCGCTCCTTGGAATGTCTTGAACTGCTGCCCTTGTTGGCACTGCTTCCCCCGACTCCCTGCTGCTTCCCCGAGAAGACATAAGGGTATACCACGGCTTCGTCGGCTGAGGCGTAAACGGCGTAAAAGGTAGGCTCCAGGGTAGCTCCCAGGGGAGGTTGAATTGACCGAAATTTCCTTGGGCGACAAAGGAGGCAAAGGTGGCTGCGATACTTCTTGTCCGGTAGAGCTGTTAAAGATCCTTGTTCGATTCAGGCCGCCATGGCCGAGGCCAAATTGGAGGTCGCCATCGTGGCGGCTCGGGAGGACCTTTTATATCACGTAGATTGGGGGTGGATCAGCGAGTGACGCCAGGAGCGCCAAGTATAAGAGGAGCGGTAATAATTCCTCTGAGGTGTGTGATCTCTCTATCTCTCGAGGGAGCAGAGAAAACCAAGGGAAGGAACGGATTACCCGTTCGCTTGTGATGGAGACAGGGAATCCTGGGCGACGCCTCCCTTCCTCGATGCGGCTGAACAAGGGTTCCCCGGGCGGGAACCAGGCTGATGGTATTAAAAAGGTAGGGCGGATTTTGGGATATGGAACCAGGCGCGCGCTTGTCACTGTGTGTATGTGTGTACCCTGTTCAAATGTTACAGGCAAGAGCCAAAAACAGCCAGGCGAGGTTACACTTGGGGCACCTTGATACGGGGCGATGGGGATGGGGGCCGAAGAGGCAGAGATGCGACGAAATTGGAAGGCGCAGGATGGAAAGGGAAAGTAAGAAAAAGACACCCCCTCTCAAAGGTGAATGAATAAAAATCCAGGAATGCTGAAGCGCGCAAAGCTTACCTCTGCTACCTTTGCGGTGAAGGGCGATGCGGCGCGCGGGAAGGAAGGGTGCACGATGCGCCACGGGCCGCCTGGGGTCGGACACGGAGGTGAGAGCAGTTTGGCAATTACCGAGAATAGAAGCACCACGAAGAACGGTCCGGTGACATCACTCAAGTTTCTGAAGTAGAGCCCCTTGTCAGCTTCTAGAGTGGCAGTTCGGAGGGAGAGGGCCACAAAAAACATAACAAAAAAAAGATATAGCCTTTTGGGGGTGGTTTGGGGGACTGGTCGTTGGTGGGTCATAGGGCGCAAGGAGAAAAAACGCCTCAAGGTGAGGGATGACTTACAAAGGATCAAGCGAGGGTCTATTTGCGCTGTGGCTAGACGGATGGGAAAATGTGGCTAGACAGGGTGCGATGTTTCGAAGGAAGGGATTAATGTGGGTTGGTTGCCAAAGTCAGGCAGGCCAGGGGGAGTTTATGAGTCCAAGGCCCTGCTGCGGCGCCCGGGGGCTGAGGATTTTAAGACTTGGTGCTGGTGGGAATAAACAGCCCCTCTCCTTGTCATTCCCGCCCGTCCTGATCCTTCCAAGGTGGAAAACGTCCGAACTGGGTTGAGTGCTGCAGTGGGTGAGCGGAATAATACCAAGCACGGGAAAAGAGAAAAGGAAAGAAAAAAGAAAGAAACAAAAGGGAAAAGAGAAGGGTGGGGTGGTAAAAGGCAGGGGGAGGGAGTACGGCGCAGAAAAGAAACGACACCCCAGAAATGGGAGAGAGAGGGTGGGAATGGAACAATGGAAAGAATTAGACGAATGCAAAAGGACTGGGTACAAGCACAGAGTGAGCGCGCGTTGAGGGATCTGAAGGAAGGATTGACTGTTCGCAAAGTGCCGGCCTGCCGTGGACTGGCCTAGCTGGCGCAGGTTGGCGATGCTGGCGCCAGTGAGCAAGGAAGAGATTCCCTGTGGGGAAATGGAAGAGGTAGCCACTGGGATGGGAATTACATTAATCCAGGAGCGATTGAACGGCACGCGCACGATGAGGTCTCCAACTGAAGAAATGAGAGAAAGAGGGACCCAAGAAAAATCGAGCCAAGGTCTAGGAAAGGGGAAAAAAATAAAATAGGAAGGAAGAGACTGGAGGTCAAGAGTCAAGCAGAAGGTGCGTGGCAGGGGGATAAAAATGTCCAGGTCTAAACTTGGTTATCAAGATCAACGGTGAGCGCTGGAGGGTCACGTTGGCACCGAACCGAACATGTCCAAGCTGGTGCGTCTTGTAGATTAACCCAGCGCTCCTTTGCCAAGATCAGCGATGTGCACAATCAATCTACATATCGGCCGAGAAAGGGGCGATGTAAAGAGCTACACTTTTTTTTTTTTTTTTTTTGTTATTTTCTTTTGTCTTTGACTCCCTCTCGCTCTCTCTTTCTCCCTCAAAAAGAACTAAAACACAAGGAGTCAAAAGGCAGCCCGCGTAGGAGCCAAAACCACCGGGTCCTGAGCTTAGAGAGGGCGGAGAGCGTCAACCAGCGTGGGCGTAAAATCAATATTCCCGCCACCCCAGTTTCGACAATCTCACCGGCACAATGGCGCTGGGCCGTACTATAGAAAAAAAAACTTAACCAATTTTTATTTCTTTATTTCTTTTTTCCCTTACCGATACCAACCTCTTATCCGCCTATCTAAGCCCAAAGAGGACACCCCGTTTCACCATTTCCGCGCAATCGAACACGACCATAGACACCGGCTGGAGGGATTCGCCAAGACGACGGAAGGGGAGGGGAGAGAGGGCAGGGATTTCGAAAGCCTACTAACTCGCTCCGCGGCTAATATGCTTCCTGCCCAAGGAAAGCCAAAAACTAGAGGGGTAGACGCATTCCCCAAACGGTAAGTTGGACGGACCGAATCCGTTGGATCATGTGTTCCACTCCTCAAATCCGGCATCTCCTACGCGGGGAAGGGGGTTTTAGAGTGCAAGAGGAAGGGCGGGGAGGGAGGATTTAGGTTGGTCTACGGCCAGTCCAGCGGTCCTTGGAGCGAGTGGAGTGGATCTCGACTCTCGACTATCGCCTCTCACCCACGAAGACGGGAAAACGTGGTGAGCATTGCATTTCTTTTCGGCTGGCAAGCGAGCCCGCGTCGCGGGAGTGGACTTACCAAGCTATGCACTGCACATGTCAGCGGGGTGTGCTGGTGTGTTTATGGAGGTAGGTGCGCTCGTCTATATATATATTGGGTTCTTCTCCCTGCTTTCTCTATGATGCGTACGTGCGCGCGTGTGGGATATGAGAGTTGTGTGTATGTGCGTGCCGGTATGGGTAGAGATGATGGGTGCGTGTATCGGCGGGCAAAAACGTGCGCATCATCAGAGCGTGGTTTGCGTCATGATAAGCGTTTGCACGAACACCATTGCTGCATCGGGTGTGGTTAGGCCCGAGATCCCTCAAACGTCTTCGTCTCCGTTTCCACCTGGGTTCCCAAGTTGGCTATATGGTTTTCTTTGGTCTAGAGCGACCGCCCGCTGTGATGTACGCTGTGTCACATCGTCAGCTACCATCAGCTCACACCCAATGTGGCACCAGGAGCGATTTCAGGGTTTTTCTTGTCCCACGTCAACGCAGCCCATTGCAACCCTATCATGTAGAATCTATACGTGCTAGCTAGGGGAAAGAGCAAAAAGCTCCATCTGTAGGTGCGTGGCCCACGTCGAACGATGGAGAAACCAAGGGTGCTGCGAAGTATGTTTAGAATGGGGGACGACCAATAAGGGCCGGCATGGGCCTGCAACTCTGATCTGGGTCGTGGGAGGCGCCAAGAGCTGAAGGCGAGAAAAGGGAACGAAAGGACCTGAAGGATGAGGCCAAGACCTAGTGGCAGGCGCCGGAAAAGGATGAGATCGAGGTGTCACCTGAGGAGGATTGGTCGTCTATGGCCGTTGACATGTGCCACCCGTTTCTCATACATCACTACATCACTTGTACCCTGGAACTTGCGCCCGCGGACATGTCTGCTAAAACCATTACTGTCTTGCTGCGCCCAATCATCATGCCGCGCACACGTGGAGCAGAGACCCAGAGAGAGACCACTACTAGAGATAGATACGAGGCCTTGAGCCTCTTCTCGAATGCCAGTAGAGTAGTTCTCATCCATAGCATCGTGCCGTGCCCTCCCCCACCCCGCGCGCCGCCATCTGCTTCACCGGGCATGGGCCCAGGATCCGGGCACGTCAACACCTTGCCCCTCATGCAGAGGCACAGAAGCACGCACACGTCTTGGTAATTGCATGGCCTAGCGTCACAACCGGCAAGCAGGGTAATATAGATCTCTGCACGATTCTTACCAATCTGATACCCACCTCTACGGGTCCTTCACCTCAAGTATGGCCGAGCCCGTCCCGGACTTTTGGGCTGCTTGCTTGGGGTGCGGGGACGGCAGAGAAGAGAGAAAAAGAAAAGAAAAAAAGAAAAAGAGAAAACAGATGGGTGCTGGGGGTTGGGCGCGCGGGGGGGTTTGACTCGTGAGGGGACAGGTGGGAAAAGGGAAAAGGCGGATGAGGATGCTTGTTCGTGTGTGTATGCCTGGCCCTCGTCCGGGCCTAAGAGTCCACCAATGAGATGGGGGATATACGTTGCCTATTGGGCGGGTTGTGCGGCAGGGCGCATTAGAAGGATTCGCCGAAGCCTTAGCCGAACCGGACTTTTCCCTCCCCCAAAAGACGAGTCCAAAATCTTGCGCTGCTCAATGAGTTCTAGATGGAGAAATGACTTCCTATTCTTGTCTTGTTTCGGCGGTCACGAGGGTAAGCGGTAGCGTAAACGAGCAGTTTATGTTCTGGTGTCTCTCTTTGTATTCCGCATTCCGTCCGGCAGTGCGAGAGGGAAAGGGAAAATCGGAAGATTGATTGTGGGCTGCGTCCGCTGTCGCATCTCGAACGACAGGCGACGTCAGGTCAGCCCCAAAAACACACACGTGCCGGGGTGGCTCGAACCCGTTCCCAGAGAAGAACGGCAGGATGGCGCTCGAGGGATGTGGGGTGGCTGAGGACAAGGGCGATAACCAAAAACAGAGCAATCACGGTCGATGACTGTGGCGAAGGGCACAAATACAGGAAAAGGAAAAAAAAAAAAGAAAGAAAACAAGGAAGAAGCCAAAAATACCAAAAGAAGAAGAAAAAAGAGAAAAAAGGAAGGCAACCGCGAGAAAGAGGGGGCCAAAAGGGACTGGAAAGAAAAGAGTTTTGGCGTCGCGTCTAGTATTTCTTCTTCTGGACACACACAACCGCGCGCATAATCCTTTCCACGATTTGCCACGTGCCCCCAAACGCCTCGTAGGGCTGATCTCCGCCCCAAGACACCAAGACACAGGTGTGGCGGGACCATTAGCTCGCTGCCTCCTTTGACCTCCCCGATCCTTCCGTCGCATGAGCGTATGTATCCCCTTCACTCGTTAGACGGCACTGCCATGTAAGGGGCCATCGGGAAAGAGGGGGCGAGGGTGGGGGGGATGGAGAGTAGATGGAGAAGAGGAGGAGGGGCTTCCTTTGGCTGGTTTTTTCCTCTTTTTTTGTTTCGTTTCGAGAGCCAAGCCCTGCAAGGCAGACCGCCATGCCTGGCCTGTCACCCGAATATCGAGAGAGACTGGTCAAAGTGGGTCAGCGCCACCACCGTTTCGCTTTTTTACCTTTCTGCTCCCTTGTCGCATCGGAAGGATCCGCGACGCCTACTTTGTTGAAGTATACGCGGAGCGAAGCGCGAGTCAGTGTGGACGAGGATGTGTATATGGTGACTCTTATGACAGCCCAGGGGCCGGTTTTGGTTTGCTGTGGATCTATAATCTCCTTCCTCTTAAGAGAAGTCGACACTACACACCCCCTCCTTTTTCGTTGCTTTCATCATGCAATCATAGTAGTGGAACCACGATGAGTCGATCCGGTGAGATGAGAACGGGGGTAGCCTCCACTCCGATCGACACCCGCTCGCGGCACCGCCCACAAGGATTCGGGGCCACTTCGAAACACCTCGTCACATATGGCTTGTGCCCGTCCCGTGCGGTGCGGCGGGCGTGTGCTCGAGCCTCGGGGGCGGTTATGCTTTGTGGCACTGGACAACGGGCCGTGCCGAAGGAATGGATTGGTATAGGGTCACCATTTGAGCCTGGATTCAACATGGGTCACGAGGTGGAATCCCTCATGTCGGGAGGGTGGCAAGCGGGGAGGGGATGTCATGAGAGCGAAGCACGGAACAATAGCGCGGCCGAAAGGATTTGCGAAGATTGATAGAGAACTAGGCTGCAATTTATTTTCTGTATTATCCCTGTCTCTTTTATTCGTCGGCTAACCGCCATATCTCACGCTCCAACGACCCTTCTAGGTTCTTGACAGCCTTGTAAGTCATCCTGCTCGCCTGGAAGCATGATACATTTGCTCACCCATCTCACGCAGCATAGCCATTTTAGAAATCGCGTGACTACTTTCCCTTTAGTGACGCATAGTTGGCGTGAGCCTAACGGGCTCAGTTAGCCTTGGGCCGCGTGCGTGACAAAAGTAGTCGTCGTAGGAGCGACGGAGCCACCGCCATCAATATCGCTCGGGAGGCTCGACATCGTGGCGGACGCCATGGAGGTGGTGACATCGAGAAGCACGTCGAGGGGAACGGGGGCCGTTTCGAGCTCCAGCTTCGAGATGTCGAATGCGGTGTCATTTCCGTTCTCCAAGATGGCGAACTGGTCCACTTTGACGAGCGTGCTGCAGATGCCCACGCCGCAGCACATGTAGCCGTTGTAGTTGGTCAGGTAGTCATCTGCCGCTTCAGCGTTAGCGGGGGCGAGGGGAGAGTAGAAGAGGTCTTGGATCAAATTTTGGGACTTACTCAGGCGAATGCTGGTGGTGACCCATTTGTCATCGCCGTCGACGCAGTAACAGGACATCAAGACCGGGCCCGAAGGGTCGAGGGTGCACCCGTCGCAAGACCATGAATAATGACCACTACCCATCAAAAAGATTAGAATCGGTTCATCATGTTACATGTAACGACCCAGCCCCCATATCGATGTAGGAAGAATAAAGCAAGGTGGTGCGATGATAGCCATCGGAAATAAAAAACAGCAAACACGAAACTAAACTCCGGAAAAGAAAAACAAAAAAAAAACGTACTGGTCCTGACGAACAAGCCGCCCCTTATCGTTGGCAAAGCAAGCATCAATGTTAAAAACCGTGGGTCGGTAATCACCAGTCTTGTTCCGGCACCGGGCGGCGAGGGTGTTGTGGTCGTGCAGCCTGACGTTGCCGCACGCCTTGGCGAACCTCTGCGCTGCCATGAGCGGGACCGAGGCGAGGATGGCAGAGCCAAGAACAAGAAGGTTGGTCAGTTTGAGATGCATTTTTGTGGTCGTGGAGTGGTTGCTTTGGAAAGTGGGTTGATGGGGAAATGGTGATGATCTCGAAGGGAGAGAGTTTTGACGAGAAGAAGACGAGGGATGAGAGGAAAGTGAAAAGAAGAGATGAAGGGGACTTTATAGAGCAACATTCTAGCAGCCAGGAACATTCTAGCAGCCAGGTAAATAATGATTAGAGAAAGGGGGAAGGAGGCACCTGGTACTGGAGCAAGGAGTGGTGATTTGGAGTGTCCATCTGTAGATCGAGGGATACAAATGAATCAGGATAGTCCTCTATCCCTTGAAACAGGATAGCAGACCTCTAGGGGTCGCTCTTTCCTTGGTAATGGAAAGAGAGAGCTAGCTCTTCATCCCCCTCCTTCACATGCTAATACCTACTTAGCGATTTAGGATCTAAGGTGGCGGCGGTCCCTAGGTGTTTGCTTGGGCACAGCAGGGAGACATCTTCACATTCAAGTGGGATTATATGTGCATGTGAGGAAGTGGCAATCGGTGTGCCATATTCAACCTAGCTATAGAAAAGAAACAAGACATAAAAAAACAAAATCCATTTCCAAGACTCCATACCCATTGCCGAGTTCCTTTTCCCAATGAACCCCAGCTCACCAATTTCCAGTCGCAGGTAGATCTCGCGAGCTACCCCCTACCGCAAACTTGTACTGCCCCTCTGTAATCATGACCCAATTCTGCTCCTCCACATTCCAGTAGCTCAGATCACGCCTCGTCACTTGAAACTCCACCGTTTTGGTCTCTCCCTTCTCCAGATGCACCTTTTCGAACCCGCGCAAGACCTTGACGGGAACTTCCACCGGGCTCTCCTTGGGGTACGACAGATAGAGCTGTGCCACCGCCTTCCCGGCCACGCCGCCCGTATTGGTAACGTCCGCCTTGACGGTGACGTACGTCTCCCAAAGATCGGGGTTGCCGCCCTCGTCACCCCGGCACCCGAGAGGGGCATTTGGTTGTCGTAGCCCTCTGGGTAAGGGTACGGCGATCCGGCCGCGATATCGTCGATTGATTCGACATAGGGGTAGATGTAGTTGTCGAGCTTGCGAATGTCGCTGGGAAAGACGGCTTCCTTGGTGTCCGGGATTTCGTCGCTATACGTGGGAGGCTCGGCGCCGGGCTGGGGGCGAGGGGAAGGAAGCGCGGATTTGGGCTTGACCTCGGTGACCACCACGTTGGCAAAGTCAAAGGTCGTGTAGGACAGGCCGTATCCGAATTCGAAGCGGGGCGTAATGTCGTAATGGTCAAAGTGGCGGTAGTCGACAAAGACGCCTTCGTCAAAGTTTTGCTGGGGCACGACGGCGTTGGGGAGATACATGATCTGGCCGGCATCGCCATAGTCTTCGAGAGACTTGCCTACCGTGTAGGGGAGCTTGCCACTCGGGTTGACGTCTCCAAAGATGATGTCGGCGAGGGCATTCCCGCTTTCTTGACCGGGGAGGTTGCCCAGAACGACGGCCCTCACGTTGGGAAGGTCGATGAAGCGTTCGTAAATGACAGGGCCAACGCTGTGGATGACAACAATGGTTTCCCCATCACCACCGCCACAGCCGGCTGCGACTGTATGGATCAGCTTGTCTCCACCCTTCTGCAAGTACAGATCAGGCCTGTCACCCTTGATGTTCTTCCACGACATGTAGCCCTCGCCCGCAGTCGCGCTGGCAAAGACGATGCAGACATCCTGTTCGTCGAGCACGGTGGGGTTCTCGTGCGGCTTCAGCTTGTTGGAGAGGTGCTGGGTCACCACGACCCGCTTCCTATCGAACTGGCTAACGAGTCCCTGGGCGGGGTGACGAGATAGGGGAACTCGACGGCGCCGCTACCCCACCCTGAACCGAGGGTACCCTGGTTGCAGCCACGATCCTTGCAAACGTTGGGGCCATCGCCGGCACCGGCGTCCTCTCCATAGATTCCGACGCGGACTTTACCACCCTTGCGCTTCCTCTGACTGGCGCTCGAGCCATCACGGTTCAGGGGCAAGATGCCGTCGTTCTTGAGCAGGACAGTGCCCTCGGCGGCCACCTGCCGGGCGACGTTCTTGTGGTCGCCTTGGACGTTGACAAACTTGTTGACCTCGACCTTGTCCTGCTCCGATGTGCTACCGGTAAAGGGAAGACCAAACTGGTCGTCGGTCCAGGACGAGAAGTTGGGGCCCTTGTTGTCGAAAAGGGTCTCGTCATCCTGGCCAAGCTGGTACCACGCAGCGACAACGCGGGTAACCATGTCGTTAAGGCGCTCGAGGGGGATGGATCCATTGAGGACGGACCGGCTCAAGTTGGGTCCCCACAGGGACTCTCCGTCCTCCCACTTGAGGCCATCGCCAGGCATGGACATGTCCAAGCCAGCTAGGGCGCTCGAGACACCCCTCTCTGGGCCAGCCAATCCGACATGACGAATCCTTGGAAGCCGAACTCGTCCTTGAGAATGCCGTTGAGAAGCTTGGAGTTGGCGCAAGCGTACGAATTGTTGACTTGGTTATAAGAGCACATGACGCTCGCGACGCCTGCCTTGACCGCGTTGGCAAAAGGCCAGGCATATACTTCGTGCATGGTTCGGTCGTCGATGTTGCTCGAGAGGGCGTTGGGAAGCGCCCACTCGCGGGCCTGGCGGAAGTGCTCCTGTTCGTTGCCGACGAAATGCTTGATGGTGGCCATGACGCCTTCGGACTGGATACCACGAACAGTCTCGGCGCCGGCGATGCCCTGGAGGTAGGGATCCGAGCCGAAGCCCTCCCAGTTGCGACCTCCAGCGGGCATACGACCGAGAGCGCCAATACAAGGTCCCAGCAGCACATTGACGCCCTTGAGACGCGCCTCCAAACCGTGTGCTTTCCTCTAGCGTACATGAGCTCCTTGTTCCACGTGGCGCCCACAGTGATGCCGGCAGGGAAAGCCGTTGCGTTGTCGGCAAAGCGAATGCCGAGCGGGCCATCCTGCAAGGCAAGCTGTGGGAAGCCAACGTGGACGGCAGGGCCTGTCGTGCCGACAGCTAGGCCCATCCGCCACCCGGTGCCGGTGGTGATGTTGACCTTCTCCGCCAGGGTCATGCGTTCCACCATTTGGCTGGCCTTCCGATAGCTCTCCGCCCACGACTTGGCAGCGCCACCTTTGGGCGTAGGGTACCAAGGGGGAGAAACCGTCGGGAGGAGCTTGTGTGTATGTTTTATAGGCAAAGGGGCCACCGAGACCGATGAGGAGCCATACGCCCGCAATAAGGGCGATGATGCTCACGAGGCGCCTCTTGCGGGTGAACAATCGGCGGAAGCCGGTCGGCTTTTCGGGTTGGGGGATATCATCGGACGCATATCGATCGGCGCCTTCGAAATCGGCGTGGTCTGAGTCGAAGGAATTTCGGGCCTCGCCGGAGCGGAGGAGACCCTCCTTGGAGGGATCCATTTCGGACGGAGGGTCGGGGAGGAGGATGGGGCGAAATGCAGGGCGCGCGTCTAGAGCTCGAGCATTGATTCTCCAAGCTCCACACAGATGGAAACTCCAACTGTCTTTTGTGTCTTCCCAATCGAAGATGGGGGATGCAAGAATAAAATAAAATACGTGCTGTTAGGAGAAAGATGCCGACAGCTCAGAAGCTCTGAAAGGGGCGATTGGAAGAGAAAAGAGTTCCAAGCTTTCAGCCCAAGGGCGAACAGGCGCCGTGGTTGGTTTTGTGTCGAGCAAGGGGGTCGGATCAGGTGCTACTAGTCAGGGGTTTCTTCGAAGAGGAAGCTGGCGGGCTGGGCTGACGAAGTGACGATCCAAGCAGGCGGGTGGGTGGTCTAACCCCACTCCACAGGCCCAAACCCGCTGAAGCTTCAGTACTTCGGTTCCACCTGCCTGCTAAAGTTGTACGTAATCCGACCGGTGGGGCACACTCAGGACTAACGCTTACACCGCTCCTGCTTCGTATTTTAGAAGGTCGACAGCTTGCTTGTTTGCTCGTGCTTGTGTGGGCTCGGATGCAGGTACCTAAAACAGCACTCTCTTCACCCCAGCCCTGCTCTCCTCTGGAGGAGCCGAAAGTGCAGGCACATTTGGACGAGGTTGATGATCAATGAAAGCTATTTTCCCACCACCACTTGGGTCTAGAGGCCTGCCTGTTGGGGCAAGCACGGAACGAGCAGAGTCAGAACAGTCCCATGATGTGCCAATATTGTGCTCTAGAGAAAAATCGATTGGAGGCACCTTTTCCTGCTCACCCCCTTTTTTTTTTTCGCATCGGCCTGTGTGCGTGGAGTTCTCAGAGCTTGAATTTTCAATTTCTTCGGTGCACCTGGAATCAAAAGCATAAAAAAGCAATAATACGCTCTGTTCCATGTGCTGTCCACGGAAACTCTCCATCGTTCCCCGGGCGGTGACTAGCATAGGAGCTGGGCGAGGAAAGGCACGCACCTGTGGCAGAAACAGGGCCAAGGCGACCAGCGTTTGAGATCGACAGGACCCCGCAACTGAGTACAGCTGGGCGATACCTACGATCACAAGCAAACCGTTGTTTCACGATTCCGTGTCCGCTCTTTCGTCGCAGAGTTATCCCATCTTCAAAACATCAAGGATGTTTCGACGTCCCAGACGTTACGCGAGTGGACGCTGATTCCTCCGCCATGCTAAGCTTCTCCCAAACCATATTATCCCTCTCCACTTCCCTCACTGTGCCTAGATTAAAACCTCTGTTTGAGGCCGACTTTCCGAGCGTGTTGGGATGGTTGGCTGACAAAGGCTGATAATCTCACTGGTGGTAAGCCAGGGTCCACCTCGTAAACCCTTTGTACTTGACCGCCAGTTTGCGACGTCATCGGTACCCAAATGTACATGGGTTCCACTAAAGATTACTGCTGGAGAAGAAAAGAAGCCAAGACGGAAGGTGCGAAAAAAGTTCTTATCGATAACTTTTTTTTGCCGGATTTTCGTGTCTGAAAAGGAAAAAAATAAAAATAAAAAGCGAGAGGGAAAAGTGGAATTTCACTGCGCCCCTCCAGGCAAGGGCCAGAGGAAAAAAAAAAAAAAAACTCAGTCCCTCTTACCGTCCCTCCTTGCAGTGTTTTTTTTCTCCTTCTTACCCCTTCTTTTTACGCTGTGCCAAACCATCTTCTCTCCTTGCTCCTTTTTGCCCTCAAACTACCGATTTTTCTCTTCTTCGGTAATTTGGTTCTCTTTTGGCCAAAGGAGCACCTTTATTCAAAGGGCGAGAGAAGAAAAAGAGTCGGCCCAAAGATTGGAAGCCCTCTTGTGCCCAACGACCCCTCTACCCCGCCAAAAACAAAAAACCACCAACCAAGAAAAAAAAAAACTCGCGATCTCTCACGACAAAAACGCCGCCCCCTTCTCCCGCCGCCATGTCTCCGCACGTGGTCGTGGCCAACGGCGCTGCCCCTCCTCCCTCGCAGGAGGATGTCAGCACCTTCGTCACCACAATCTTCAACGCCAAGACCTCGGCCGCCTCCATCGACGCCGCCTACGGCCTCTGCGAGCTCCTCCTTAACTCGGTGGGCGCCGCGGGGCTCGTCCAATACGGCGTCGCCGCCGAGATCAAGAAGGCTGCGGCCGACAAGAAGAGCGGCCTCCGCCGCGAGAGCGCCCAGAACCTGCTCGGCGCCATCTTTGAGCGCTTCCCCGCTCGCCAGCCCGCCAGCGAGACCGTCCTCCTCATCCAGGACGGCGGCCTCCTCTCCGTCGCCCTCGACGCCCTGTCCGACAAGGGCGCCGTGGTGCGCGAAGCCGCTCAGTACGGCATCGACGCCCTCTTTGCCAACCTGAGCGCCGAGGCTCTCGTGGTCGGCCTCATGCCCGCTCTCCTGCGCTACCTGTCCAAGAGGACGGGTAAGTGGCAGGGCACCGTCGCCGCCTACAAGCTGCTCCAGCGCATGGCGGACAAGGCGCAGATTACTCTGGGCTCCACCAAGGAGGAGTCCATCGAGAAGGACGTTCTCCGCGACGCCATGGGAACCAAGTTGGCTGCCCTGATCCCCGTCGTCGAGGAGGGCATGCACGACATGAAGACCGAGGTCGAGAAGCAGGCCGGTACCACCATGACCTCGCTCACCTCCCTCCTCTCCAACGACGACGTCGCCCCCGCATCCCCCTCATGATTGAAACCATGCAGCACCCCTCCGCCGCCAGTCTCCAAAAGGCCATCCACGGCCTCTCCCAGACCACCTTTGTCGCCATCGTCACCTCCCCGTGTTGGCCCTCCTCACCCCGCTCCTCGAGCGTTCCTCAACACCCCCACGACCTCCCAGGAAGTCCTGCGTCAGACCGTCGTCGTCGTCGAGAACCTGACCAAGCTCGTGCACGACCCCATCGAGGCCCGCACCTTCCTTCCCAAGCTCAAGCCCGGTGTCAAGGGCGTCTCCGACCGCGCCTCCCAGCCCGAGGTCCGCGAGCTTGCCGACCGCGCCCTTGCCGTCATCGACAAGGCCATGGGCGAGGGCCAGAACGTTGAGGAGCGAGTCGGCGCCCAAGACATTGCCGCCCGCCTCGACGAGCAGATCCGCAAGCACGGCGGCGCGGCTACCCAGTCCGAGCTCTACAAGCTCAACCACACCTACATCTGCGAAATGGTGGTCGAAGACGTCAACCACCGCCACATCTCGCGCATCGCCGGCCGCATCGGTCCGTACCTCGCGGGCTTCTTGCGCGATGCCACCGCCCCCGAGGCCGTGGCCAGCGCCGTCCAAGAGCACTTTGCGGCCGAGGACAGACGCAAGCACGGCGAGCCCGAGAAGGAGGACGACGGCGAGATCGAAATCGTCAACGCCGACTTCTCCCTGGCCTACGGCGGCATGCTTCTCCTTTCCCACACCAATCTCAGGCTCCTCAAGGGCCACCGCTACGGTCTCTGCGGCCGCAACGGTGCCGGCAAGTCCACCCTCATGAGGAGTATCGCGGGCGGCAAGCTCGAGGGCTTCCCCGCAGGACGTCCTCCGAACCTGCTACGTCGAGCACAACCAGGGCGAGGACGCCGACATCAGCATCCTCGAGTTCGTGTCCAAGGACCCCGAGATCGCCAAGGAGGGTCAGGAACGCATCTCCCAGGTCCTCGCCGAGTTCGGCTTCACCGCCGGTCCCGAGGGTCGTCAGGCGCAAAGGTCGGCTCCCTCTCGGGTGGTTGGAAGATGAAGCTCGCCCTGGCCCGTGCCATGCTGCAAAAGGCCGACGTCCTCCTGCTGGACGAACCGACCAACCATCTCGACGTCACCAACGTCAAGTGGCTCGAAAACTACCTCAAGAACAACACCGAGATCACCAGCTTGATCGTGTCCCACGACTCTGGCTTCCTCGACGAGGTCACCACCGACATCTACCACTACGAGCCCAACAAGAAGCTCGCGCACTACCGCGGAAACCTCGAGGCTTTCGTCAAGGTCCGCCCCGAGGCCAAGAGCTACTACACGCTGTCGGCCTCCAACGTGCAGTTCAAGTTCCCCTCGCCCGGCCTGCTGACCGGTGTCAAGTCCATGACGCGCGCCATCCTCAAGATGACCAACGTCACCTACACCTACCCCGGCGCGCCCAAGCCCTCGCTCATGGACGCCTCGTGCCAGCTCTCCCTGTCGTCCCGCATCGCCATCATTGGCCCCAACGGTGCCGGCAAGTCCACCATGATCAAGCTCCTGACGGGTGAAATCATCCCCACCGTCGGCCGCGTCGAGAAGCACCCCAACCTGCGTATCGGCTACATCAAGCAGCACGCCCTGGAGCACGTCGAAATGCATCTCGAAAAGACGCCCAACCAGTACCTCCAGTGGCGATATGCCCACGGTGACGATCGCGAGGTCCACCTCAAGCAGACTCGTATCCTGTCCGACGCGGACCGCGACCAGATGAACAAGTTTGTCGAGCTCGGCGATGGAAAGCCCGCCAAGCAAATCGAGGCTTTGATCGGTCGTCAGAAGTACAAGAAGACGTTCCAATACGAAGTGTACGTATCCATCTTAAATCATTTCCTCTCACCCCTTCCCCAGTTGCATGCCAAAACCCCCTCTTACCTTACAAACAATATGAACCTCGCGCTTACACTCTACTCTCTTCGAATCTAGCAAATGGCGAAACATGCTCCCCAGGCACAACAGCCAAGTATCCCGCGAAACCCTCGTCGAGCTCGGCTTCTCCAAGCTCGTCCAGGAATTCGACGACTACGAAGCCGCCCGCGAGGGTCTCGGCTACCGCGACCTGCAGCCCTCGGTCATCTCTAAGCACTTTGAGGACGTGGGCATGGACCCGGACATCGCCAACCACAACGAGATCGGCTCCCTCAGCGGCGGCCAAAGATCAAGGTCGTGCTCGCCGCCGCGCTGTGGTCCAAGCCGCACGTGCTCGTGCTCGACGAGCCCACCAACTTCTTGGACCGCGACTCGCTCGGCGGCCTGGCCGTCGCCATCCGCGACTTCAAGGGCGGCGTCATCCTCATTTCCCACAACGAAGAGTTTGTCGGCGCTCTCTGCTCGGAGCAGTTCCACGTCAACGACGGCAAGGTCGCATACAAGGGCCAGTCGGCCGTGCACTCGGACCGCTTCGAGGACAGCAGCCGGCCCGACAGCGGCGTGCCCAGCACCGCCGTCAGCAGCGCCGCGCCCTCGGCCGCCCCCAGCGCCGTCCCGAGCGCCGTCAACAGCGGCACCGAGGACAACTCGTCGCCCATGAGCTTCAAGGCCCGCAAGAAGAAGAAGGGCCTTACCAAGAAGGAGCTCAAGGAGAGGGTGGTCAGGAGGCGTCTGCGGGAGATTGCCTGGCTGTCCAGCGCCCCGGGCACTCCCAAGCCCGTGGATACGGACGACGAGGAATAAATGGGTGGTCGAGAACCCCCCTCTTCCTCTTTCTTTCTGCCCTTTCCTCGCATCAAGGGATTTGATGAAGAGGTCTCGTCTCCTGTTTTGCTGGTTTCTCTTTTCCACTTTTTGTTTATTTCCATTCAACGTCTCCCCCTTGTTTTTACGCATGCATAGACTGCCTTGGGCATGAACCAGAAGAAAAGTTTTTGATTTGTTTTTTGTTTTTGTTTTGTGGGAAACACACAAGACAACCATAGACGGAGGATATTTCTCTTGCGGGTTCCCTTTCATGTGAGGCATGGCATCATTGCTCTCTCTCTTTTTTATAACGTTTCCTGCGCCTTTGCGCCCGACGCTTATTTTTGGATGTCAGATGTGCTCCACCAGCCTACGGGATTATAGAAGAATAGAATAACCCGTTAATGAAGAAGATGTTGATTGAAGATTGGCCCAGCGTAGTTTCTTCTTGTTCCATTCCGCATTGGCTTTATTCCCTCACCCGACTTGTACTGCACCACACGCACCTAGGGGAGGGCGTGCTTGACTGTATGTGTCCCCGGGTGTGAGCAACGTCGGGGCTTATTTTTCTATACGAGCGACCTTTGGGTCTCCTAAAAGATGCCATCTACCGGCTACTCTCATAGTCCATCTACTCTGCACCGGTCCCGTTCTCCGCCCAGGATTCGTGTTTCCTGTCCGGTAAAGGGTGTAAACCATCATATGGAGTACTACACAGCTTGGCAACGAAGGTAGGTGTTTGGAAACAACAGGGTCCGTATCTGCTCCAATTTACGAGCTCTTGGCTCACTCCCGCAGGGACTACGCCCCCAGAGGCCGGCCGCGGCTGGTCGGGGTGCTAGAGCCGAGATGCATGTGTGAGATATCCATGACTGGCCTTCTCCTTCCTTCTTATCTTTCTACTTCTCCCCGGCGCCGTCGGTTCTCCGCTTCTAATTTCCCGCCCTCGCAGTACTGCTTCGCGATCGGCGAGATATCAAAGGCCTTCCAACATAGGTGCATTATCTTGCCTCACGCTGATGCCATGGGCATGGTGATATCGCAAAGGCAAGATAAGAAGATAAGTTAGATCTCGCCACCGAAAGTCACATAGAAAGAAGGAACGGCGCCAAGCTCGTACCGGCGGTGAAACCCACAGCGGGAAGCGGCAGAATGGCAGCTGTGATACACGTAGGATGCGGTGGCGGGGGCTTGTTCGAGGGCAGAATGGCGGACAAAAAAGGGCGAGGCGCATTCCTCTGGAAAGCATGAGTAGGACCAAGTCAAGCACCTCATGCCGTCACATTCCATACAGCGAGGCCAGCTGGTGGTAGCCTGCGCGCCTGCGCGTATTGTATATTGGATCATGCAGCATTCAGGTAGATGCAATCTCCTTTATCCATTTTCCGCTTCTCGGTAGTCGGTGAGGACTAGAAGGGGTGCAGTGTGCGTGGAAGCAACGGATAGCCGCCTCGTCACGCTCTGTCAAGGCATCAAAGGAACGGAACAGAAGGAAAGGTGAAATGTACCAAAGCCACTTCGCGTACCCAAGTTCACGCCTCGAGGGACGTGACAGACTCGTGCAGGAAAGGCTTGACGAGCCCCTTCGTTGCGGACGAGGAAAAGAAAGAAAAAAGGCGACAGTGAGAAGAAGAAAACGGAAGACTACCCCAATACGCCATTTGTGTTCTCGGACTGAGCCGCGCCACGATGGAAACCGCGCAGCTCTCTCTCTGTCATCGCGATCCCACCATTGAATACGATATTGAAAACATATGAGCGAGCTCGACAACTTGCCGAGATAAAGCAAAGGGCTCAACATTGGCTAAGCTAATGAGTTTAATCTTGCGACGAGAAGAAGCAAAGCAGGCTGTCTTTTGAAGGCCGGCGTTTTCGCAGACTGTTCCCGCTTTTGGAAAGGGAGTGTGAAGATCTCGTTGATTTCCCCAAAAATAGCACAGAACCCAGGCCTAGTGCGCAGATGGCTGGGGCGGCTGGTAGTGGCCCTGCCAAGGTCGCCGCGCGATAGAAAACGTAAATCAAAGGGCAAGAAAAGAATTCAAGGTGATGAAACTGACTCGTGGGTTCGCGATCGGCGGCGGTGGCGTTTTGGTGAAGGTCAAACCGTCAAGCATGGAGGTTGCCGAGAGGGAGCAGGCTTGCAGATTCTCGCACCACCAACCGCCAACGACGACGCGCCCGTATATCACAGCCAGCTCCTGGCGTTGGGCCTCGAAGGACCCGTCCGGGCAGCGCGTCTCGAATCCGAGTTGATGAGCAGCTCCCCTTCTGAAAGGGGAAGTCATGGCGGAAAGAGGGCGTCGTTGAGATGGGCGCAAGCCCCCGATCCATTAGCTGTATTCCGCATCATCGAGGGATGGATTGATGTAATAAACAGAAGAGGAATAGAAAGCTTTTCGTCGTTATCCTAGCATTCTCTCGAACAATATTGATTCTCGACCCTTGACTCCCTGAAGAAAGTGTAAATTGTTCCCCATGATTCAGAGGCCTTGTGGCGTGTCGTACGCTGGGCTTAGGGGATTAGACGCATGGAAGAGAGCACTTGAGAGGTTGTCGGCCTTCGTTGACCCAACGCCCACCTGAGATTTACGGATCTTTTGAGCCGCAGCTGGCCTCTTGGCCCAGCTTGGCAGCCTGTTCCAGCTTCAGGGCCGTTCTAGGCCCGTCACGACAGGGCCGTTATTCCCCTCGACTGAACTCCGTGATCCAGAGAATTAACTGCCGGGAGTAGTCGGACTCTCCCTGAAGAAAGATTACTCCCACTTGCAAGTGCCAGGTTAAGAGGTGGAGTCGTGAATTGTGGAATTGAACACCCAACACTCCACTTGACATTGAAAACTCCCCATTGACGGGGATGAGGACACCCACCAACAAACCCGGCGCTTCGGAATCTTCGGGTGCCCTACCCACTCCGCGCCGCATCTGTCTTCCCCTGCTGGGGGGGTCACTTGGTCTGCCCACAACAAGCTGGACGATGTGGACTGGCCCTTGGGGAGGAATGCAGGTCCTTTGTCCCCCACGAGAATTAATTAGCCTTGCCCCATCCCAGCACTAAACATTCAAAATCTTGAGACACCAACTTTGCTGGTGGCCAGTGACAAGCCGCCCAACTGAATCCTGTTTGACCCTGCAGCCCTTGATCAATTGATGTTGATTGGCACGACGGCTGGGGAGGTCAGTTCCTTGTTCGATCGAGTTTTGGTCGCAGAAACTCACCCTCGAAAGAAAAAAAAAGGTCATCACAGCCACAGCCAGATCTCTTCTCTCCATCATGACATTTCTCGAGGGAATGCGCACCAGCGACGAATTGCTAGCACTCTTTTACGTCCCCGCCAATAGTGCGCTCCTGGAGCACGGTCGCGTCAAAGTTTAAGTTTGACGGACCTTTCCTGGGAGAGAGACGGAAAGCAGGGCGTGCACGTGGGGATGAGGGAACTAGTAAAAGTTGGCGATCTCGCGCTACATTTCGCCTTTTAGAGGGTTTGCAACTAGTTCTGTTCTCGTTCTAGGCACCGCCGAGTGGAGGGCGGACCATCGGTGGTCCCGTGTGCTCTTTGCAAGATTTAATGCTATGCTATCACTGATGCTCATCGCATCGTTCGATGGATCCATCCATGGATGTCTGTGTTTCTTTCCGTTTTGTCCTCTTTTGGCTTATTCCCCTTTCCTTTTTCGTCCACTCTCCAAGTATCATTCCTTCCCGAGCTGCTTCGGTTCTGCAATCCGTTTTCACCATCGATGATTGTTCCTTCTCCGTCATGGATGGGTCCCACACTGCGGGACCCGGAACGGAGGGTTGAAGAAGACGAGAGAAGAGTGAGACTAGCACGAGGCTAGGCTTCGTCCCTTCCTTCTGAAAACTTCAATGTTCCCCCACCACGCTGAAGAAGCAGGAACCCTCTACCTAAGAAGAGCTGACGGTCGAATACCACCTTGTTCCCAGTATGACGGTTCTGGATGCGCGCAGGGACTTGATGGGGGTGGGGGTGGGGGTGGGCAGAGTAGTCCACAGCCAGCAACCGCTCACACCCATCGCACGCCCAAAAAGTTGTTTTTCGGGTGGATAAGCGTGCACTGGGTACGTAGCCTTCCGTTTTCGGCTTCGCCCACAAGAACAACATGATTCGATTCGTGGGTTGCATGTTCCAACTTGGGAAAGAGCGTTCGGCAGGCTTGTCTACTTCGTAACATCTGGGGAATGACTCGTTTGCGCTTTTCTCGGGAGCCATTGATCCAAGTTACCAAATGGGCTTGTTCCCTGCGCCCTCCAGCTGTGCCAATGAAGTCAATAATGAATGGAATTGAGCGGGGACTCTGAGTCCCTGAGCAGAGAGCTCTTTTTTTCTTCTTTTTTTCTTTTTCGTTTTCTTTTTGCTCCCCTTCTATTGATGTCGCTCAGCAGAGTCTAAATTCGTTGACGGTACGCCGCAGCTCACCCTCGAGCCCACCGACCTTGTCGTTCTCGTTCATAAGAACGTGTAGGTGCGTGGGCTGGCCATTGCGCCTATCGGTACTACTTTGCGTACTCCTCCTATACGTTACTTCTTCTCGCCCTTCGTAAAAGCATCTCTAGCCACCTCGTTCAATGGTCTTTCATTAAATAATCTGCGGGGGCCTCTTCCTTTGAGACTAGCAAAGACCTCCAGTTCATTCCCGTGTCAGTCTTTTGGTTGAGTACAACTCGGGACAAACTCGCCTTTCTATCCTTCAACCCGTAGGCCTTCTCCAGGCTCCTTTGAGTGGGATCACCGCCACGAATTTGTCCATCATCTCTCATTCAGTCCAAGTTCACATTCTCTCCAAGTCACATTCTCTTCACTGATACGACATCCATCGGCGAGGCAATCAAACTCGGCTGCCCCTCCTCCCTCTCCTACTCTCCTCTCCTTCTCCTTACACGACACCCCTCACACACAGTCACAATGGCTTCCCATCCCCAACAACCAACACGCCAACAAGATCCGACAGACCAAGATGACATCCCATCGGGTGCGCACGAACATCAACACTACCCATCCATGGTTCCCACCGCCGCCGTCTCCCCGGCAAGGCCAGGAACGCCCTTAGCAGACGCCTTTGAGAATGAAGTCGACCCCGTCACGAATCCGGGCTCTCCCTCCCTCCGAGACCCCCACGACGTCAGCCCCGGCGCCAATCCCTTCATCAGTCCCGACGCGTCTCTGCCCGCCTCCAGCTTTGACGAATCCAACCGCAGCGTAACGGGCGCGGGCCGGCCGCATCCCGAGGATACCACACCTCGGTATTTCTACTCGAGGAGGGTGAAAAAGGGCGACGTGGAGAAGCCGTGGCTGAAGCGCAAGGACCCCAAGGAGAAGTGGGTAACGATATTACCCATCCTCGGCATCCTCGTGGGGCTGGGCATTGCCGGGTTCCTGGTGTGGGATGGCATCAACAGCGTGGTGAAGCATCAGTATTGCGAGGTGCTCTACGAAGATTTCTCGCAGGGGCTACGCGACAGCATCTGGTCGAAAGAAGTCGAGCTTGGCGGGTTCGGGTACGTGACACATCTTTTTCTCTTCTTTCTTCCCTTTTTTCTTTTTCTCCTTATACTAACAAAACATACCAATTCAGCAACGGCGAATTCGGAATGACCACCACGGATGAGCAAAACATCTTCCTCCAGGACGGCCACCTCGTCATCCGCGCCACGCTCCAAGACTCGGCCCTCATCGAAAAGGACACCGTCCTCAACCTCACGAGCCAGGGCATCTGCACCTCGGACCTCGCCTCGCGGTGCGTAGCCGTGACGAACACGACGATCGGCAACTCGTCCATCGTGCCGCCGGCCCTCACGGCACGCATCAACACCCGCAACGGGCCCACCATCAAGTACGGCCGCGTCGAAGTCACGGCGAAACTACCCGTGGGCGACTGGCTGTGGCCCGCCATCTGGATGATGCCCGTCAACAGCGTGTACGGCGAGTGGCCGGCCTCGGGCGAGATCGACATCATGGAATCCCGCGGCAACAACTGGACGTACCCGCAGGGGGCAACGATGTCATGTCGTCGGCACTCCACTGGGGCCCGGACTCGGACCACAACGGGTGGTGGCGCACCAACAGCAAGCGCGCGATCCGGCACTCGACCTACAGCAAGGACTTCAACACGTTTGGTCTCGAGTGGTCGCAAAAGTACCTCTTCACCTACGTCAACTCCCGCCTGCTGCAGGTCATGTACACCAACTTTGCCAAGTCCTTTTGGGAGCGCGGCAATTTTCCCGACTTCGACGCCGAGGGCCAGCGCATCGAGGACCCGTGGTCCCGGACGGGCCGCGCGCAAACGCCCTTTGACCAGGATTTCTTCCTCATCCTCAACGTCGCCGTGGGTTCGCAGAATGGCTGGTTCGAGGACGCGCCGGGGAAGCCGTGGCGGGACGGGTCGCCCAACGCGGCCAAGGACTTTTGGGAGAATCGGGACGCGTGGTATCCGACGTGGACGCAACCCGAGATGGTGGTGTCCAAGGTGGTCATGTGGCAGCAGTGTAACGGCAACGAGGAGCTCTGAGGAGGGGCGGGGGTCATGGAAACGAGATTTACAAAGGCGTGTTCTTTTTGGTTGGAGCTAGGCACGTACACTATTCGCATGCCGAGACTAAGGCGCGGTATCATTTTCTGCTATCTTTTGTATTGTAATCTTGGGTCTCTATGATAACTTGGGCCATCTTTCCGCTATTCAATCTCTTCTATAGTTGCTCCACGTACACATGGCGTTGGTTCCTCTCCTCAGGTATAATAGATCGTTACAAAGTGAGCCGAACATTTCAGTGTTGAGAAAGCTTGCTTACACGTTTTTTCCGTGCAAAAAGAGGTTTCGCTAGCAACGCAAGCGCTTAGCCGAGCAATGGGAGCCGGGACACGGCGGACTTGCTTGCGCTCTCTCCGCTCCCCACCTTATCCAAGCACAAGCACATGCAGGTATTCCCAGATTTCCGGATCGCCGGGTGTCCGAGTGGCGTCACCGCGATACACTAGCGACCTTGCCATCGCAAATGGATCTAGCGAGAAAAGAGGGCGACGGTCCCTGGGAGAGCGTGGCACCATCTCGCCCAAGCCCACATTGACCACAATAGGAAATACAAGCCAAAGCGTGGCTTGATCAGCCAAACCTTCAGCCCACCTGCCCCACTGTACCACACTCCACGACGCTACGACCGATGATGCACAAATGCTCCCAACCTTTTTCCCTGTGCTCTTTCCCGTTTTCGTTTTCATTTTCATATTGTACCTCTGGGATTTCATCTGCCACTTCTTCTCGCTAAAGCTGAAAGATGGCGTCTAGATTGAACCCGCAAGGCACACTCCATCGTGGTGGAATCGGGCTCGCATGTGAGGCCCACGTTCTGGAGGACTGACCAAATTCGACCGTCGCTGCTCCACCAGACATTGACACCGTCGTAAAGGCGCCACAGAGTTCTCAATTCTTCTTTGGCCAGTGCTCGTGGCTTGCTGTTGTCATTCCACTGTTTATTGTTTTCTTCACTCTATAGTTACGTTTGTTTCCCTTGCTCTGCTACGGCAATCATGCACATGTCATAATGATTCGCCTTGTCCAAAGTTGACGCGGGATTCAAGATGTACGTGTCTGGAAGATGTCTGATTATTCCCGCCACTTAAAGTGTGGGGGAATGACAAGAGTGCAGCGCATCGACAAGCCCGACGGGATACGCCGCTTTATCTCAAGGTCAAACGATGCATGCAAGTTCCGTATGGGTTAGAATGAGCAGATTTCAATCTTTTTCTTTCTTTTCTCCCTCTTGATTTTCGCTCCCTCCTTGAAATGAGACTGTGGTTTAGGACTGGGCCGAGGAAAGGAGGGGCGATATGGAGAGACTCGGCAGAGAACAAAATATTGATTCAGACCAAATTTCTCAGCCGCCCCTCCTCCCAATCTTCCTCCCCCTCCTGTGTCTTATCTCGGCCTTCACTCTAAAGATTCACGAGTTGGACGCTGGCTGGAGAAAGATAGGATGAATCGACAATCCCACGTTGCGAGAGTGGAGCAATCCCTCCCCAACGATACATGCACACGAGGGCGCGGCGCCACTTCTCTAGGCTCGATTCTCGGGACGGCTTTGTCTTCGATCTGAGTCCTCGCGGCACCGCTCACCGAGGTGTCTGGAAAAGAAAACTGTGGCTCTCTCCCCTTTTTTGTTTGCCATAGTGGACGTAGGCAAAAAAGAGGTCTAGGCATGGCCCTGCGGCAGGCGCAAAGTCTTGGCTCATCGAAACGGTGTCTATCCCTGGCATGATTGATAGGTTGGCGAGGGGCCCGTTGGTATCCCCGAAAAGGAGATACACTCCAGTAGAGGGCCCGTTTGTGGCCACGACGCCTTTGATTTCTTCATGTCGGGATTCATCGGGGAGAAGAAGAGGAAGGGGATGGCTGAGAGCCGATTCCAGCTACACTACACACACCGAGCGGTGTCGGCCGCCCGCAAAGATGTTTTCTTTCCCTTCCTTTTTACTTTTTCTACATCCTTTCGCTTTTTGACGGAACCGTGGCTTGGGCCAATGGCGTGGTAGATGAGCACCGAGTCCTCCCAGGGCTTTTGTCTTTGAATTTGCGATGCCGAGTGCGAGAGAGTGACGGATATCACGGATCAAGGCTGAGCAAGCCAATGAAAGACACCACTTGTTCGCAAGGAAACGACAACGACAACAAACGGGTAAAGCCAAGAGACGGGAAAAAAAAGTCCCTGGACTCGAGCCCAACGTCTTGATTCTTCTTCTTCCTTGGCCTGTGTACGGAAGATGCACCCATCGTCGAGCCAATCCAGAAGCGGCTGTGACTGACGCCCGGCGATAGTCCTCCGCGTCCGGAGCTGGATGCCGCCTCTTCTTGTTAGCTCACGACGTTCTCTATCGAGTGGGTTTGGATCACAGTCTTGGGAGGTGGTTGCTAGGTCAATATACTTTGATAAAGAACGGGAGATGAGGCGAGGCCAATCCATCGTTGAAGAGCATTGATGCCATTGAACCGAGTGTCATTTGCGGATTTCCCGTTTCCCTAGCTGAACTAATACTTCTAACTGTCCCTGTCCCCGTTCCACCGGGCGCCGGGCAACCTGTCCTGTCCCAAGAGTGATTCTCAAAAACAGACGTGCAGCTGCGGGCCTGTTCCCTACGCAATATGTGCACTGGAGTATCGAAAACAGGTGATAATTGAGTCTGTGGGAGTCTTGAGTCATGGCCTGGTGATTCAAGTGGGCGTGTGCTGCGGCTGCGAGGGGCGGTCTGCGAGGTAAGATTTACGGGGTGGCTGACCGAGGGCTACGCATAGGTCGGGACCTGCTCATGCATTGATGAATCCCCTATCAATGCGTGCGGAAGTGCGACTTGCCGACGGCACTGGTATGGATTAAGCTGATGCATGGTAAAACGGAGGAGACTCTAGACATGCATTCCTTTGTTCCCCTTCCTTGGGACATCGACACATCCACAGATCCATAGATGCAAGCACCATACCGAGGTAGTCACAGGTGCTGTTTGTGAGAACATTTGAAGGCGAGGGTGTCCGGTTCGGCACCCGGGGATTTTAACACACCATCATTGATGAAGGGGGCTCTGCCCCGTCGCTGTGCCTGTCAATCCTAACCCCTGCTTCCCGTTGCCGCTACTGCATGACGCATTCCGTTCCCACAACCCAAACCCACTTTTGATTGAGCCTCCCCTCCCTCCCCGTTGTTGAGTGCGCTGAACTGAGCGCTGGGAGTTAATCCAGTCAATCCAATCTCGATTATCTCCTTGCAGTGCTTCTCTCAACAGCAGCAGCGGCAGCGGCAGCAGCAGAGTCGATCCAAGGCCGCTCGACAGCCCGTCCCGCGTATCGCCGGATACCTTTCTTCCCGCGGCTTCTTTCTTCTTCCTTTCCTCTTCGTTTCGGCTTAGATTGTGTCTTTTTTTCTCGGGAATACAGAGGGCCAATGGGAGCCCACTCCATCATGATAAACAAAACAACATCAATAGCAACATCTTCTCTTCGGCCAGCCCGGTGACGTACGTTGCAGCAGCTGCTATCGATCGGGCCACTGCGACGGATGGGAAAGGAAGTTGGTCGGTTATCGCACTAGCGCGAGTAGCCATTGCCTCGTCGCTTTACAATCTTACCCGACGTGGGGAGTCTGGTCCGAAAAGAAATCGGAGTTGAGCGTCCGCAATGTCTAGAAAATATGACCCCTTGGTCGGTGAGTGTTTCTTGGCGAGCCAGCCGAAGCGTAATTCGCACATGTAGCCCAAGGGAGTCTGCCCATTCCGTTTTCCGTCAATCGCACAAACGCGGTATCGTCATGGCTCAACGTACCATCTCTGGTTTCTGCGCCGATGAGGGCCATAGACAGGTGGAAAAGACTATCACTGCTAAAGTTCTCCCTCCTCCTTGCTACCTTTCCCGCCATCCTACTTTGCCTCCCTCGGTACCATTCATTCCGGCGCGGACCCAAGGCCCGCTCACCTACCCCTTCCATTTACAACCAATGCAAAACTTTAGCAACAAGGCAGCAAGCGTCCCCCTCCCCTCCCCGCTCCGCTCCCGGGTCCCGTTCCCCCAACTAGAAACTATTGAACGCCAGGGAACCGCATTGACAAAGGGAGTGTGCGCGCGGCGTAGGCAGGCACCCGGAATCCAGCGTAAGAAGAACAACGTCTAGGTCGCCACAGAGTGTAGGGTGGCGCTGAGGGAAAGAGAAAAATCCCATGGTTCTCGATGGTGATGTGTAAAGGGAGGAACCGTTTTCAACCAAACTAGGAAGATGGGACGCAAGACCACGAGACAATTTTGGAGTGGACTCGGGTCAAAGTTGACTCTTCCATCAAGGGCTGCCCCGGGTTCGGCATCGAGCCCGCAGTTTTCCTACGCATCCTCCGGAGGGTGATTCCTTCACCTCAGAAGGCCGGGTCTGGTGTAGACGGATCCTCCTCGCCACCCTCTCTTTGCCTAGCTTGTGGAGAGAAACGGTGGGGTGGCCTTGGAAACGGATGGAGTAGCGTTGACAGGGGTATTGAGGCGCCGGTGAACCTTAAAAGATTACATTGCACGATTGGACAATGCATTCCCAAAAGGGATCATGACTGGACTGATCTTGGGCTCCTGCCACTCCGGGCACCCACTGGTTGGCACGCAGCCATAGGCTTTTGCTCTGGCTTATGTAAATTACTTGCTTGCGTGTAAGCCATCGATTCCCCCAAGCCCAAACTGGAGCTCGTATCAGCTGTGGCACGCTCAGGCGCCGCAGACGAGAGCAAAAAATATCACGGCTCGTACGTGCACGCCACACCGGCCTCGGGATCGCTTGCACCTACTCTTATGTGAGTTCCTCGGCCGCCACCCAACGATGGCGTGGTTGGAGGAAAACTCCAGAAACTCCCACGGAACTGCGGAAGTAGAGGTGCATGGGTCCCCATCGGCAAGCTTTGGTTCCTTGCCTCGAGCTAGGCTAGAAGAGTTGGTGTCCTAAGCCTGCTCCGGTCCGTCGTCGCTGCGCCGTGCGTCGACTTCCGTCTTCATCCCTCTTTGACAGTATGCCAACACGGGCACACTTTCCGTTCCCAGCGGCGCCGGCACCGGGCGGCGAACCTTGGCCTCTCTCGTCGCTCGTCGCAAGACAAGGCACGGTCTATCTCCCCAAAAGTGATATTTCTCCAGTCCACACATCCGTGGATCTTCTGTCAATTTGACGGGATTTCTTTTTGTCTGCTAACCCTCCTACCATTGCCAAAGCCGACAAAGCAGCCCTCGGAGTGGGTGGTTCAAAGGTATTAACATGAATTATGTGGGCAAGATCACCCATCACCTCTGCACCTGCATCGAGCACAGGCGCTAAACCAGCGTGGCAGCCCCTCCGCGCCCAGATATCCCGGCATCGCCTAGCGCTAGGTTCCACAGATCCTTTTTTTTTCTCTTGCCCTTTCCAAAAGAAAACAAGGCCGTCAATAGGGAAAGTTACGCTGTGATGCGGACGCTAGAAACCAGAGGAGAGAGAAAAAGAAAGAAACAAAAAGAGCGTAGAGCGAGCACCAATCGCACTAGCTCCCAGAGGAACGTCTACAACGACACCCAGCCCATTGGGTCGCGCATCTTTGCTTTTCCCTCGTTTTACCTTCTTTCCTTTTGCCCCTCGCCTCTTCTTCTTTTTCTCGCCCTTCCCAATTTGGCACGCTTGGTTAGCCTCTCTGTCCGCCACTTGCGCGGTCGCATTACTCACTGTTCCGCATCCATGACAGCGCAGCTCGCAGCTCTGTGGAGGCGGGCGGTCTGGCGTCGGGTCTCTCATTGATCATACATGATGTAGCTCTCGACGGCGTGTCTCCCTCCTCCTCTGCCCAAGGTTCGCCCTGGCGCCGCGAAATAATCAAACGCCAAAATCAATTGGGCAACATGCAAACGCCCAGGTACCAACAAAGAAAGAAAAAAAGCATTCGATAACCCCCGCCCGCGAAACTTTCCGCCCAGCGTTGGGACGAGCCTCTCCTTTCGGTTTTGCGGCTTGCGCCGCCGTGCCCATGTAGTGAGTGGGCCTTGAGTGAAGCCCCGAACCTCAAATGTCAGTAAGCGAGGCTCTTATCAGAATTGAATTCAGCTCGCCCGTCTCTTGTTCTCCTCAGTGAATATTGACGTAGTGTAATGTATCTACGGCCATCAGCCCGTCAGCCTTTTTGTTTCCTTCTCGGAAGATGGCGAGATGTCTGACCGGGCCAATCTAGAATGGGGCCACACGGCCTCGTAGTGCCCGAGAAATGATGCTTGCATCGGAGGCAATCCTACCCGCATGGCCAGATCGACGGAAGCCTTTCCCTTCGCCTAGCCTTCCCGATTCCGCCATCATTCCCTCGACTCTGGTTCGAGTAAATGTCGTGTCCACTCTTGGCGTCCCGTTCCTCCCAATATCGTGTACGCCCAAGCAAGCCTACTCCCTCTTGAGGGCCGCGCTAGGTGGGGGTTCGGTGGGTGCGCGAGTAAGAAAAGTACCCAGCCATCGCGTGCTCCCGCCAAGTCTTGGTACTCTTGATGGACGCATGTCTGTCTGCCTTTACCCACCGTATTAGTCTCTCTCTCTATCTCGCTGCTTTCCCTTGCCCTTGGCCTCTTATTACCCTTTGCTAGCTACAAGATCTACTCCCCATCCGTGATCCCGCACCAGGCCACTCGGACATCTCCAGAAGCCGTCGATTCACTAACACCGCTGCCAAGCTGTCGGTAGTCAAGCTCGACAAGTCAACGTCGTCTCTCTTTCTACTTCTTCTTTTCTCCCCCTCCTCACACACACACACACACACACACAAATATGCACACACACATACGCACACGCCCCCTTTTCTCGCCTTTCCGCTCTTAGAAAGGGTTCCCATTTACTACTTTCACGTGTAGGCTCACAAAGACCCGCCCCTCGGTCTTCTCCTCTTCTCTCCCTAGACTAGGCTTGCGGTTTTGGAACTCTCTTCGAGGCCCCCTTGTCCTTCCCATCCTACGGCAGGCCCAAGGTACGCTTCCGCTGCGCTCGCAAGTCCGGCCAGTTGTGGAGAGTTCCCAGCGAGCTTGGCGCCTGGCTATCGAGCATCACCGCACATTACAAGTAATCCCTCTCAGGCGTGTGGTGTGTGGGCGTTGACTCCCCCAGTCATTCCCTGCACCCCCGTCTTATTAGTACCACCCCCATTCCCGGCTACTCATACACCTGCCACCACACCTCGTCCCCTTCTTTGCTTCTTGCGCTTGCGCCGAACGAGGGAGGAAAAGAGGAATCCAGAGAGATAGCAAAAAGAAAAGAAAAAAACGGACCAAGGGAGAAAAAGAAGAAGAAAAAAACAACGTGAGCATACACTCGTTGTCTTTTCCAATTCCGCTAAATATCCCTCTTTCTTGTTCTTCCCAAATCCCCTTGAAGGCTAGCGGAGTTGTTTAATTTCTTGTCTCAATCATTCTTCAAACACACACGAACAAAAGAGAGAGAGGGTTATCTTCACAAGTTCACTTGTCGCGACGGAACCCCCTTCTCACCCTTGTCCTTCCATTCCTCTCGATCTAGACCCCCAAGGTAAATACCCCGGATAAGCTCCGTCTTTGTCTTATGTGATCGCCCGTTTCCTTCTATCAGATCCCCCCTCTCTCTCTCCCTCTACTTCTTCTTCATTGAGACCCAGCTAACACCGGCGTTGCCAGCGGCCTCTATCCTCATCATCTGAGACCTCCCCTCTATCCCAACTCTCCGCCACCGTTGCGTGGGCAGCATCCCGCCCGCAAGAAACGCTGGCGTTTTCGGGGACCAACACCCCCACCTCAGCCTCAGGCTCGTCGCCGTAGTCAACATCGTCGTCGTCGCCGTCGTTGCCGTCGCCGTTGCCGTTGTCGCCTTGTTATCGTTGTTGTCCTCGTCATCGTTGGTCTGCCATCGTCACCAAACAACAACAAATACCGCCTGCCACCAAGGGAAACGCTCGCCATGGGCTTCGCGAGCTACTTCAAGGCTTCCACGCCAAAAGAGCCAGCCGCCAACGCCAACGCCAGCGCCAACGCCAGCAGCAGCAAAGGCAAAACCGCACAGCCCGCCATGACGGAAAAGAACACCACCCGCAGGAGATCGATCCTGCCGGCCTCGACGCCGGGGCCCTCGTCCGCGGTCAAGGCCGCGGCCAAGCGCTTGTCCACGCTGAGCGCGCGGAAAGGGGACCGGGTGCGCGATCGGTATCGGAAAAGTCGAGCCACTCAGCGGGCCAGACGCTCGTGCTCGACGAGATACGGCACGAGGTCATGGTCAATTACCTCTACCAGCAGCAGTGCTCGCATTTGTGGGTGGGCGAAGCCTCGGGATTTGCAGAAGGCGTATTGCTGAGGAAGGCGCGGGGTCACTACATGGCGTGTCCGCCCGAACTAGGAACGTCGCCTTTCGCCGTGGCTTGCGCGGCGTTAAACGTACAGGTAAGAATGAGTTCGTTTGCATTCTCTTTTAGATTTCCGCGGGGCCGAGGAGGGAAAAAAACTTGTTTGAGTAAAGGGAAGATGTGAAAATATAGTTGGAGGGGAAAAGTTGAGTGAGTTTAAGTGGGCTAACAAGTGCGGGCCGGCAGTGCGCAATGACGGTCAATTCCCGCGTCATCAAGACATTTCTCCAATGGGCACCCGACGCCGTAGACGTGCCCCTCGCCAACGGCCTCCGCGTCCAAATCCTACCCACGGTAGAAGACCTCCCGCGGGCGCGCAAGAACCAGTTCGCCGCGTTCCTGGCCGCCGAGGGCCTGCTGGTGGTGTGGGACGACGAGGCGCTGCACCTGGTGGACCGCGCGCAATCGATCGAGTCGGAGCTCATGGACCTCGTGTGGAAGGTCGGCAACGAAGACGACGACGACGACGATGACGACGGAGGGGGCGGCGGCGGCGGCGGCGGCAAGGGAGGCGGCGGCGGGAAAGGCGAAAAGGCGCGCGCGGCGGACCTGGACATCGACGAGGAGAGCGGCATGGAGAGGAGGCCCGTCAAGCTGCTCAACGCGGCGCTCGTGTCCATGGCGCTCGTCATCGTGGTGGTGTCGCTGGGCGCCGGGTGGCGGCAGCTCGCCATCGAAGTCAGCGTGGACGGCAACTTTGCGCGCCTGGGCCTGCTCCTCCTGAGCCCCGTGCAGGTGTTTTTCACCATGTTCTTCGCGCAGGTCATCGTCGGGTGCATCATGCAAATCTTTGGGCCCATCCGCCAGCTCACGACCAACTCCAAGTTCTTCTCGGCCAAGCCGCCGCGCCGGCTGCAGACGCACGTGCTGCCCCACGTCACGGTGCAGTGCCCCGTATACAAGGAGGGCCTCGGCGGCGTCATCGCGCCCACGGTGAAGTCTATCAAGCAGGCCATGTCCACCTACGAGCTGCAGGGGGCTCCGCCAACATGTTTATCAACGACGACGGGATTCAGCTGCTCTCGCCCGACGAGCGGCAGGCGCGTATCGACTTTTACGCGGATCATAGTATCGGATGGGTGGCGAGGCCGAAGCACGGCGAGAACGGGTTCCTCCGCCGCGGAAAGTGTACGTTCTTTTTGGTTATGGCTTGGGCAACCTCCCTCTATCCCTGTGCCCCCGCATTTGCTAACCTTTATGTTACTATTGCAGTCAAGAAGGCGTCCAACATGAACTTTGCCCTCATGATTTCGTGCAAGGTGGAGGAGAAGCTCGCCGCGATCAACCGCCCTGCGGACTGGAACCAAAACGACGAGGCTATTGCATACGAAGAGGCCCTCAAGGAGGTTCTCGAGGAAGACGGCAGGGCCTGGGCCGACGGCAACATTCGTGTCGGCGACTACATCCTCATCAGTAAGTCATTTGATTCAACCTTCAACTCGTGTTCCCTCTCCCCAATTACACCAGGTTACACGTACTAACCACAAGGCTTATAATCCAGTCGACTCCGACACCCGCGTCCCCGCCGACTGCCTCCTCGACGCCGTCTCGGAAATGGAACAATCCCCGACGTCGGCATCATGCAATTCTCCTCGGGCGTGATGCAAGTCGTGCACACCTACTTCGAGAACGGCATCACCTTCTTCACCAACCTCATCTACACCGCCATCCGGTACACCGTGGCCAACGGCGACGTGGCCCCCTTTGTCGGCCACAACGCCATGCTGCGCTGGAGCGCCATCCAGCAGGTCAGCTACGTCGACGAGGACGGCTACGACAAGTTTTGGTCCGAGTCGCACGTGTCCGAGGATTTCGACATGAGCCTGCGGCTGCAGTGCAACGGCTACATCATCCGCCTTGCCGCCTGGGCCGGCGACGGCTTCAAGGAGGGCGTCTCGCTGACCGTCTACGACGAGCTCGCGCGCTGGGAAAAGTACGCCTACGGCTGCAACGAGCTGCTGTTTCACCCCATGCGTACTTGGCTGTGGAGGGGCCCCTTTACGCCCCTCTTTCGGCGGTTCTTGTTTAGCAATATCCGCTTCACCTCCAAAATTACCGTCATCTCGTACATTGGCACGTACTACGCCATCGCCTCGGCTTGGATCCTCACCGCGCTCAACTATTTCCTCGTCGGCTTCTTCAAGGGCATGCTCAGCAAGTTTTGTAAGTCTCTCTCTCTCTCTCTCTCTCTCTCTCTCTCTCTCTCTCTCTCTCTCTCTCTCTCTCTCTATTCTCAAGATGCTAATACTCTCCCCCGCCCCCTCGCAAGACCTACCCTCCTTCGAAGTCTGGTTCAGCTTAATCGTCATCTTTTCCGGCCTCGGCAACGTCGCTCTCGCCATCATGCGCTACCGCTCCGGCGAGAACTCTCTCGTGGGCGCCCTCATCGAAAACTTCAAGTGGCTGCCCATGCTCGTCATCTTCCTCGGCGGGCTGAGCCTGCACCTGAGCCAGGCCCTCCTCTCGCACATGTTCGAGATCGACATGACGTGGGGCGCCACGGCCAAGGAGCTCGACCAGTCCAACTTTTCCTCGAGGTTCCCAAGGTTCTCAAGAAGGTGAGTCGAGTCACTGGGACAAAAGAATTCCTTGGACCTAGTCCAGGCATTGTATAAAAGGAAATGGATGAGCGGATGTACTAACCCAAGGGCGCCATCTTCTAGTTCAAATTCTCCATGATTTTCTACCTCGCCTTCGTCGCCCTCATGCCCATCATGGCCCTCGCTCCCTTTGTCCCCCACGATTGGCGCATCACCGACTTCGTCGCCATCCTCCCTCAGGCCTCCATTACCGTCTCAAGCTTGCTCCTTCCCATCGCGCTAAACCCCGCGCTCATGACGTTTTCCTTTTAAAGTCATCTTACACCACATTTCTATGGATCTATCTATATGTTCGCTTATACAACCCTTGACATCTTGCTCGCCAAGCAAGCATCAGAGTCATGTCGACCATCTCGACAACTCTCTCTCTCTCTCTCTCTCTTTTCCTTTCTCTTTTCATCACCAAGTCCGGCGTGCCGCCATCGTTCATCTCCTTCATCTCTCTTTCCCTTTGACCATCACCATAGCTTGTTTCGGAGTCGAGATCAGCACCAAGGAACGGACCCGACCCGCGTTTCCAGTACCACTGTCATTTCGCCTTTTCTTTGTTCATTGTTTTTCTTTGCACCAAAGAGTTTGAAAAATTGTACTATTAGGATTTCACTTTCCACATTTCACTTTCCACACATCGGACGGGTTTCATTTCTGATCGGCCAATGGGGCCTCTTTAGCTGTTCCCTTGGTTGTTTGTTTTTAGACTCGGGATATCCCTCTTCTGTCTTGTTCTTGTTGGCGCACACTGGGCGAAAGGGGTTTTTTCACACACACAAAGTCAACATCGTAACATTTTCTCATCTTGATATCGAGGAGGTATTGGGAAAGTCTTGATCCTTGTACATATATCAATGCATATACAGTATTTCTATTTTTCAAGATTCAACCCTGATAACCGTCTGACCCCCGCACCTACTTGGCAAGATCTTGGCTTGAGCCCTTGCATTGATGGTTGCATCGACATCAATGAATACATCCATGTATGTTTGCTGATACAGCACCTCTATACACTCCCCACATCACGATACTGGCCATCTTGTCCTCCTTTTTCCATTTCCAAACCCCGACGCCGTCTTGTGCCAAACACTAATCTAGGTGCAGCTTCCAACAGACCAAAGAAGTAGCAGAAACCCAGAACTATCACGAGGTCGCTGCCTGAAATCCAATCCTCACATCATCATTTCGCCATCTAAAATTTCGATATTACTACATCGCTCTCATTCGCGGCGGGCAAGCCCTCGCTTACGCACGATAGATGGCCACCAACATACACCTCCCTCGGGTGTCGCCGGGAGGAAAGGGGGTGGGGTACTTGAATCCTCCAGTCCTCCCCTCATCGTGGGGTCTCGAGTTCGTCACAGAGATTGCCAAACAGTACCGAGCTTCTGCTGCGCCGCCTCGTGGACTCCGCCAGCGCGCAGCGCCTCCCCTCCTCTCATTTCCTTTGTTTCTGTCTTTTTTCTTTCTTTTTTCTTTCTTTTTTTCTTTCACTTGACTCGCTAGATATGAAAACGCCCGAGGAAGCTCACTATAATCTGACATACGCGCACGCAAAGATTGCGCTCTAGCATCCTGCTCCGTTTAGTGGTGGGGAACCCCCCTTCCTTCACGGACGTGGAGATATCAAAAATACAGCGAATAGCTAACGGGAAAAAGGGACGACGGGACACGACAGGGGATCGCGAGTGCCAAGAGACGACGAATAAGATACATGTAAGAAATAATCCAGAAATGTAATAGAATCGAGGCAAGAATGAGAAAACAAACCAAACCGCTTGATTCCCTTGAAGCTATTCACACTATCATCAAGGGCATGAGCCCATCTCTTAGCCTGCACTTCCTTTCTTCAAGCCCCTGCCGCCAAGGAGACGCAAAGGATGCATAGAACCCTAGAGATGACTTCCCGCTTAACTCATCCCATCCTCTCTCTCTCTCTTCTTTCCTAAACAGGAATAAGAGGTCAAGCCGAACAATTTAGTGTATATAGATAGCAGCGAACACACCACCATCCTTGATTTTTTTCCCTTGTTTCGCAAAGATCCACGACGGCGCCGCGTGCGCGTCAGCCCCACAAGTTCTCCTCTCGGCCCGTTGAAACCCCGGACCCCTGCCCGCCTGTGCATAATGCCCCTAGTATCTCCATGTAGTATCAAAGTGCCTCCATGTCCCCAAGATAGCATTCGTCGTCATGGCTTGTCAGCTCACGTTAACACGGTCCAAAAGAAAGAGCCTCACCCACACGCCCCCTTCATCCTCCGACCTCTCTCTCTGTAACGTTTGTGCAATCTCGTTTAACATCCCTCTTCCAGACCCCATTGACCAACCGAGGTTCTTCTTCCCCGTTTCCTTTTGCCCTACGCTGGCCCTACGCCCCACGCTCTTCCACCCCCAACTCCTTCCTCCAGCTGGACACCCCCGGTTTCTTTCCTTTTCCTCAGCCTAGACGCTTTAGACGCCTCCCAGAAATAGAGGCGTTACACGGGACAAGGGAACCCTCCAAAAAAACCTACATGTATACACAAAAAACGGGAAATTAAAAAGAAAAGAAAAATGGATAGAACAAATCAAAAGCTCTTCCTCATGGTGGTGACTAGACCTTGCGCCCCAGCCCAGCCCATATCCCACTAAGACCACGCTATTTTCCAACCTCGCCACACTCTCGACCATCTTTGTGCAACCCGGATCCTTCCAAGCTCCCTAGCCCTTTTTTGGCAACTATACCTCTCCTGATTCCACTTCGCGTCAGTTCCCAACTATCTCTCTTTCCCCCTTCCTTTCCTCGACCCTCGACCACGCCTCCCTTCCCACGCACACCCCTTCATGTAACCATGACACCCTCCCGCTCTCCCCCGTCGGGACCGGCGCCGCACACGCACAGCGACCATGCCGTCCCGTGATCGTCTCGTGACCGATCGCGACCTCCAGCAAGTCATACACATCACATCGCCTCCCTTTTTTTTCCCCCTTTCCTGCTCCGTCTCGGTCCATCTAACAGCTACTTTCGCCTCATCCTTCCGGTACCGACGGCCGTCTTCAAGTCCCGACGGAGGTGACTCGGGCCGTTGAGCGGAGGCAACCAACTTGTCTTTTTCTATTATTATTTCCTTTTCCTTGGTGCGCGTCCGATTTCCTCCTTCTTGGCGCGTCTCTTAAACCGCCCGTGTTCCCGTGCTCGCTCGCCTCGTCTCCGTTGGGTCATCAAAGCACATGTTTTATTGCTCTTTTGTTTGTCCTTGTTCGGTTCCGAGAATGTATGTTATCCCTAAGCCCACTTATTCCTGTGCTGGATCAAGATGGTAGGAGCGCAGGTGATGTGTAGGTCGTTCATCGACCTCTAGCCACCAACACCAACCGCCATCCACCACGCCACACTCCCCACTCATGTGTGCTTGCCTCAGCTCCGGCTTGACTCACGATCCAGGCATGGAGAGGTATAGACGATCAGGGGACTTATTCAGCAGGTGCATCAACTGGTTGTTCTTTTTGTGATAATGTGTTCATAAGTTCCAAAGAACAAAAATTAATGTAATGGGATGTTGGCTCAGCTCGATGCCCTATGAGTCAATTCAGGCACCCTCCGGCTGTTAACGGCATAATGTTCCCTACGCGTGTCCGGGAAAGGGGAAGCAAGACGCGCTTACATCTTATCATTTACGTCTACAGGACAGACATGTGGAAAATGGTAAAAGTCAAACATGAGGTCACAGTCCTCAGAGCACATAGACTCGCCAAGAAACAAAGTAGTCGGCTGTATAGCAGGTCTATTTGAATAGAGTAAAATACGTCTAAAATTGATCGAGGAGCGAAGGAGGTCATAGAGAGCCTTGTCGGACAGAAACGAGATAAAAAAGTAAAAGACGAACGCGTAGAGACCAGAACAAAGGAGAGACAAAGGCGAGATAGAGACAGACAGAAACGGACAAGAACAGTAAGGAAAAACAACGAGCTGTATATCCATCACGGGTTAAAATTAGCCCCAGTATCAAGGCCTTGCGGCCGGTTGCTCATACACTAAACATAGACTCTTCGTCCCCCAGAAACTAGGTTTAACCACGAGCACATCTATCATGAGGGTTAAACACCCTCAAGTCTCAGGTCCTAGCCACTGCATGTGTAGGCTAGTAATCCTTCACAACAAGAAACTATTCATTTCCCTCTATTAAGGCGCGATATAGCCCGCCGGGACATTACCCTATACCGCCTCATTCAGCCAAGTGCAAACGAGAAAGAGTGAAGCCCACCTCTGCACCGAAAGCAGAGCATAGGGGCATCCTCAGCAAAAGAGCCGCCGAGCGCAAGAGAGCCGGGCTGCCAAAAAAGAGGCATAAAGGCGCGGGGAGTGTAGACCCCATATTATCAAAGAACCATCTGCGCGTCTCCGATTAGCGTGGAGACGGAGGAGGTGTCGGCGTGTTGGGCGGAGGTCGGGGTCCCAAGGGACCCGGCCGGGGCCGAGGAGGAGGGGTAGGAGGGCTGAACGGGACAGGCATATGGGGCGTTGAGTCCAACGGATCGTGCCTCCAGTTTTGAAGAGGATATTTTTCGTCCCTGGTGAGGTGCAACGGCGTGCGATACCCGCGACTCTGGTACGAATAAGGTCCGTTTCGGCGGCGTCCTCCTCGCGCAAGATGAGAAGCGGATGGAGACAGAGTACGGTTGGGTCTGAACCTCGCGTGATGGCTCTGGGCGTGATGGACGTGGCCTTGTCTTGAATCCCTTGTTGACTTGAGAGTCTCAGGAGAGGGCCCTGAGAGAATGGGGTGAGGGCGGATCATGATGGTTGTGTTATATATGTTTCTGTCTAGAGATGTATCTTGGAAAAGGAAGGCGAGAAGGCTTTTTGTAGAAGAGAAAAAAGGAAGAATGTGGCTCACAGCTTACACGTCAGAGCTTACACCGTTGTTGGCAGTGTTGAGTGTTGGGTGAGGAAAGGGAAAAGGGGGAGAGCAAGGTGATGATCGAGATAGCCTAGGGAGCCTTCCTCGCCGTTGGAAGTGGCCGAGGCGGGAGCGGGAGGAGGCAAAAGATGCCTCGAGTACCGCACTACCGGGGCGTCGGTCCCGTCATCGACAACCCCCGGAAGATTGGGGGAGGGGGAGGGGTGAGAGAGGGTGGCACAGGCGTAGGGCAGAACGGCACACGAGACTAGGGAAGAGCGGGAGGGGGTGACTTCGGCTGTCCACGTCTTCGCTCTGTCACTCTGCTTCTCTCTGGCAATAACTACCCCCAAGGCTGTGCTACTTGGGGAGACTGGGGGC